AATTATTAAACTTAAGGTATAATATATATATATTAATATAAAATTACCTAAAGTCTTATAGCCTAAAATTATAACTATAGCTACCTATTTTTATAATTAAACGCTATTAGTAGCTTAGGGGTAGAAATTACTATATTAAATATTTTACTTATATTTTATACTTAATAAGCACACTAAGCCTTTACTAATAGTAAAGCTAGATTTTTTATATTTATAAGCCTATAGATACTAAGCGTATATACTAATAGTAGATATATAACTATTATAAAACTACTAGTAAAAGCTTACTACTTATATATAGATTAGATTTCTTATTAGATATATATTTAGTAATTTATATTACGTCTAGTATTTAGTATAAAATAAGGTCTTTACTATATATAACGTAATAATTAATAAGAAATAACTCTTTAATAAATTAATAAATAGATTATTAGATAAGCTTTATAAAGCTAACCTTATAGTAATTTAATAATAAATTAACTAGCTAATAGTAGCTAGTAATTAATCCCCTTTATATAAAGAAGCTAATAAGGAAATAAATAAAGTAATTAAGTATACTAATATTACTTTACTAGGCGCTTAGTAATTAGGTAACACACTAGAATTTCTATATAAGTAGGTAAAGTTTATACTTCTCCTTACTTTACTACTATTACTACTAAGCGCCTTTTTTATAGCCTTTATAAATATTAATATAAGGGGTAGTAAAATAAGAATTAATAGCTTTAAATTAATTAATCTAATAGCTAATAGCTAAATAATTACTAATAGTAAAATAATTAATAAGTAAATACCTAAATTAATAGCTAATAGCCTATTAATTAATTTATTAATAGCTAATAGCTTATAAGCTAGTAACTTACTAAGAACTAATAGTTCTAAAATAATAAAGATAGTAATCCCTTATACCTTATCTTATCCCTATGTAATTAGTTTATAAGACGTTACTAAGTGTAAAAAGGTATTAAATTCCTAAGTAACTATAGCTAGCCTATTAGGTAATCTCTAGCTAGTAGTAACCTTACTTAAAGACGTTATAAAAAGATATTATCTTACTATATATATAAGTAGTTAGATTACGCTAAGGACTTTATTTAAGGCTACTTTCCTTATAAGGCTTACTTTATAGTAAAAAATTATAGACTATACGTAAGGCAGCTTATAAGTAATAATATAGTTTAGTATATTATAAAGTTAACTAATAAGTAAAAATTACTACCTTTAGCTAAAGTACGCTTAAGGCTACTTAATTAACTATATAATACTTAATAAGTATAATAATTATAAAGACGTTACTAGTAAATTACTAGTATATAATAAAAGCGTTACTAGACCTTATAGGCTAATAAGTATATATTAGAAGTTACTATACCCTCTACTAATCTATAGATAGTTAAAAGGCTACTTATATAAAAAGTAATTTAAAGACATTAAAATAGTATATCTATATAAGTATAAAATATTAAAATCTTAAGTAATAGTGCTATAAGTAGTAGCTAAAGGGTATTAAGTCCTTAGCTACTACTAGGTATATACTTATAAGCTTAATAAATATAGTTAATTAACTAAATTTAAGGTAAGACTTATTATTTATAGTAACTAATAAGTAAAGAATCCATAAGATACTTATATAGCTATATTAGTAAGTATATTATTTAAAATACTTATAGTAATAGCTACTTACTTTAACTTAGAACTACTTTAATATAATATAATAAATATATTTATTTATACTACTATTAATAAGGTAGTATTTATAAAAATACCTTTAGGCTACTAAATTACTAGCTAGATCTTCTAGTTATTAAAAGCACTTTATAGGCTTTAATAATTACCTTTACTATAGTAAAAGCACCTTAAAGAAAGGCTTACTATATAAGGATTTTACTAAGTACTTAGTAAAAATTACTATTAGAAAAAAGATTATATTATATTCTTTTTTTATATTAATAACTATATATTAGCTTATTACTATATAAATAAAACGTAAGTAAGTAATAAAATAGTAGCACTTTAGTAATAATACTACCTTAAAGGTAGAGGCCTATTATAATAGTTCTTTAGCCTTAAGGTAATTTATAACTAAAGTAACTACTATCTCTAGCTTTTATAAGTAGTATATTATAATAAAATAATAAAACTACTACTAATAAATAATAAATATAAATATAATAAATTATTACTTATAGTAAGGGCTAAGCTACTACCTAGTAAATATATAGCCTTATTATAAAAAGTTAACTAATATTAAAAAAAAGTAAAAATAATTCTTTATATAGTAGTAATAACTTAGCTAGACGTTACTTTTATAGCTAGCTAGCTTACCTACTTTAACTATAATCTAAATCTAAATTACTAAAAGGTAGTAAATTAAGTGCTTAAGTATTTCTATTAAATATAGCACCTTTACTTTAAATATAAAGTAACACTAAGAAGTAAAAATAATACGTTAAAGGTTACTTTAGACGCCTTATTTACTAATAACTTACTAGACTATTATAGCTTATAAGTATATATACTAAAGCTATTTAAAGGGCTTATCTCTTAGTAAGCTAATAAATAAGATATAGTAATAATATTAACTACTAAGGCTAAATTACTAGCCTTATTATTTACTATAAAGGAGGCCCTTTTTACTAGTAGATTAATTACTACACTAAGTATTTAACTATTAATATAAATAGGAACTAAATTATTACTTAATAAGCAGGCAGCCGCTAAATAGCTACTAACTATTTATATTAGCTATAATAATACCTAAACTATTAGGCTTATTACTAAGGAGCTTATCTAACTACAGATAAGGCTATAGTATATAGATATTTATAACTACTAGCTATAACAAGAAGTAGCAGTAGATTAGATTACTATTAAATATAAGAAGTCTACTAAATTAATAGCTAACAGATTAATAAAGGCGCTTAGCGCGCCATAATTTACTATATTTATAGCTTAATTAAATATAAGTAACTAATATATACGCCTTAAAGTAAATTAATAGTAAGAATTAGCTAATAATAAAGTAAAGCTTTACTACTAAATAGATAAGAAAAATATATAAGATATTAAAAGATAATTAATAAATAAATAGGCTATATATAAATAATATTTAGTATAAGCTCTATAGTAATTAATTATACTACTAGCGCTAAGGGGGTATATTAAATATAATAGAATTATATATAAATTAGCTAGTAAATATATAGTTACCTTATAGTAAATTATTAGGGAATAGGTAGTAAATTAGCCCTACTTCTAATAGTAACTTTACTAATAATATCGCTAGGATTAGCTAGGGATTTCCTAACTAAGAAATAAGGGTTTTTCCCTATTTCTATAGTAAGTCACTATAGATACAGAACACATAACAGAATCAATCAAGCAACTATTACAATCCCTACTATTTAACAGGTTCAGAATAACTATTTCTCTAGTCCGGAGAAATCGGCCGACCGGAGCCGGATGCGCGTGATGCACATGAGGGCATCACGACAATTTTCTTATTGTTTCATAAACTACGGCTTCTTAACAGCGCCAAGCATTTGCTTGGCGCTGTCTGAAGGCAGCTGGATACGTGTGATCTCCACGAAAAAAAAGGGCGAAATTTACATCTTCCGTCCAATACGTGATCCACGGGCAAGTTCCTGTTGCTGACCGTGGTCGACCCCCCTCTCCTCTAAGTCTTGGCTCTTGGCGGTGTGGTATCTGGCGGCACGTCTTGGGAGCCCCGCCTCGTCAATTCGTGCCTTCATTAATACGAAAAACCACGCTGAACCAGCCACCTGCAAAGGAGGACTGACACTAATCATTCGTCCATGAAAATACTCCAGGTTAGCGGTAACCTCGTGGAACTGGATGAGCTTGGTTCAAATTGAGTCGCCAAGCGCCCGAGAGGTTACGTTGCCTGCATACAACGGCAGTTGAGCAATGAACTATTTCACACAGTCCCTGATTCAGGTTGAGTACTGTAACCAGAAGCTCATCCGGATTATTGCCCCGCTGGCGCGATGCCGATTGATTGATGCTCCAAGTCGATGCCTGCGAGAATGATACAATGGGTGCGTTGATGTTGACAACTTGACATGGCCACTCCAGAAACCCAGACAAGCCTGTGGCTTAGGACTGATGTGGTATTCGCCACGGCCCGTTGCCTAACGCCCTGAAGCCATCGGGGCTTGTCATACACTGTATTCTGGCGATCGTCTCACTCCTTGTCTCCCGCCGTTCCCTCAGTCGTCAAAGGAGTCAGATCGGCAGATTCGAGTCGATTTTGTGCAAACTCATTAGCACTAGTAGTTCGGCCTTAGCTGTGCGCAACGGTTTTTGTCGGTTCGCCTGAAAAGCATCTGATATGTCAGGCGACTCGCGCATCGCGAATTGCCGAAAGAGCCTAGGATGGTCATTTCGGAGAAAGTCATCGGCAACAAGCATTGGACAACCCTGACTGCGTCTCTTGGCTACCAAAGAGATAAACCTAAGGCCAATCAGGGTAAGGAGCCCCAGGCTGATACATCCGACAGCAGGCCGCAGGAAGGGGGGGAAAATTGTGAAAAGGAGAAAATGCTCGCGTGCTCTCCGGCCCAGTCGGCTGCTATCGTGCTCTCAAATGAGCAGGAGGGCACGCGACACAGCCTGTCGCATAGAGGATCAAGGTGTCTTGGCGACATCGCAGTGAAGTTGAAAAGGGGACGTCGGAGAAGACACAACGAGGCATCGAGGCCTTGGTGTAGCATTGAGAACCTATTGAAACGACAACGTGCTCTCATACACGCACCTCACTGGCTGGACTACCTGAATGGATACGTTCTCAGTACCTTGGAAGCCAAGAAGGCCAAGTCCTTAAGTGGCACCCGCTTCACCAATCTTAGCTCTCGGTGTGGATGGATGCGAGCTCGGCGTAGACTGGGCATCCGTCAAAAACATCCACCCGAATGGTGTCATTCTGTCCGATCACAGTGCTAAAACTGCACAACATTGCTTTCCATGTTCATGTTTTTTTATTTCGCGCAGGCGAAAGAGGCCGAGTAAACCTCATTCACCGGACACACGTGGGTGTTGGTCTTGTTGACGGGCCATTCTCTATAAAGCATCGTGGCGCTCCGAGACTCGAGCACCTTGAGAGATTGGAATCCAACAAACTTTACCGTCCTAAGCCCGATCTTTTTCAATAGCTTGCCGGACAAGCCTCGGTTTCCTACCTTCTGCTCTCCCCATAGAACAGCGACTGCTCCTTCGACGGTGTTCATCATGGCTGTCCTTTCGCAGTACGACTGGATCATTGCCTTGATCAGCATCGCCTTCTGCGGTAGCTCATTCGGTAATGGAGCGAACGATGTAAGCAATAGCTTTGCGACATCTGTGGCAGCTCGCAGTCTCACGATGCCCCAAGTCGGCCTCCTGTCCATGTGCACCGAGTTCTTCGGCGCCGTGGTTCTCGGCGCCCGTGTCACGGGCACCATCAAGAACGACATCATCGACCTTGACCGCTTCCGCCAGACCCCCTCTACTCTGATTCTCGCCATGGGGTGCGCCGAATTTGCCAGCGCTTTCTGGCTGCTTGCTGCCACCAAGCTGGGCTACCCTGTCTCTACAACCCAGACCATTGTCGGTGCCCTCGTCGGTGTCGGTATCGCCGCGCAGGCCCAGGTCTCTTGGTCATGGAAGGACGGCAGTGTCACCCAGATCGCCGCTTCCTGGGGCGTTGCCCCCTGCATCGCCGCCGTCATCGGTGCCGTTCTATTTGCGAGTATCAAGTTCACTGTGCTGGAGCGCGAGAAGTCTTTCGAGAAGGCCATGAGGGTAATCCCCTTCTATCTGGCTTTCACCGCTGCCGTTCTCGCCCTGTTTATCACTGTCGAGGCCCCTGGTGCTCCATCTCTTGAGGAGCTTGGTGCCGGTATCGCCTGCGGTATCGTGCTTGGTGTCTTCTTCGGCGCCCTCCTCCTCGCCTACGTCTTCTTCGTTCCATACGTCCACCGAAGACTTGTTAAGGAGGACCCTCGAATTCGCCTTCGTCACATCTTCCTCGGCCCTCTTTTGTACATGGAGAATCCTCCCATTTACATGCCTGCCAAGGGCAACGAATTCGTCATCGACTATTACGCGAGCGCCCATGACGAGTCCCAGAGCACGAAGAATGACGATGTTGAAAAACAGACCAAGTCGGAGGGTAGCAACAATAAGGACGAGAAGGTCACCGGTAGTGGTAGCAATAGCCCCGACAGCCCGACCTCTGCTCCCCTGTCTCTTGAAGACGTCGAGCGCGGCAAGATGGCTCCTGTTGGAGGTGGCGTTGTCCAGCGATACCAGCGCAAGCCCGAGCCAGAGGAACGCTTCCTCGCACCGACTGCCCACCTCCCCATACAAAACCCAAAGCGCATCTGGAGCTTCATCAAGTACTTCTTTTTGCAGGGTGTTACTCGCGATTGCGTCACCCATGCCTCCGACCAGCTCTCCGCGATTCATGCCAAGGCTAAGCGTTACGACAATCGGGTGGAGCATGTATTTACATATGCTCAGGTTGCTAGCGCTATGATGATGTCAATCGCTCATGGATCTAACGATGTAGCAAACGCGATAGGACCTTTTATTGCTGCGTACCAGGTTTACATGACGGGTGAGATCAGAGAGGATGGCGAAACCCCCATCTGGATTCTGGTTGCTGCGGGTTTCCTCCTCGGTGCAGGCTTCTGGTTCATGGGTCACCACATCATGAAGGCCATGGGCAACAAGATCACACAGGTATGTACTTTGTCTGTTGGTTATCACGTCGAGGCATATCCCGGGTCACAACTTGGTGGTGAACAGGATCGTGGTATTGGTGTGGTTGTTGTTGTTGTTAGTATCTAAGTTATGGGCACCCACTTGTGGCAGCATCCTTGCGCTGCAGGGCAAGGATGGATACTGCCAGGGGCGGCGGTGTGTCACGTGAATATCACGTGACACACCTCCCCGGAGCATACCTCCCATATGCCAACATTGTCGAATACAACAACAAGTTGTCTCCGAAACTAACATCACTATAGATGTCTCCTACGAGAGGTTTTGCCATGGAGCTCGCAGCCGCAATCACTGTCCTCCTGGCCAGTCGCCTTGGTCTTCCAGTCAGTACCACTCAGTGTCTGACCGGTGCCGTCATCGGTGTCGCTTTGATGAATTTTGACGTCGGCGCTGTCAATTGGCGCCAGGTCGCTTTCATCTTCTCTGGATGGATCGTCACCCTGCCTTGTGCGGGCCTCATTGGTGGTCTGCTGATGGCTATGTCTCTCAACACTCCTCAGTTCGGCCAGGGTTAAGATCTTATTGATGATTAGAAAAGTTGCAAAGCATGGCTGCAGTGTTTTAACTCTTAGCGACATGGTGTTTATAGAAAAGGGCCTACTAAAGGGAAGATGTCGTGAAGCTGGAATGGCTTCGTGTGGCTAGTACCAGGAGACAACGCCACGTATGTGGCGTATCACCCGCACAGACCATGTGAGAAGGGTATTTCTACCTACTGCTTCTCCAGTTCATACATACTTTCTAAATAGAACAACTACTTTTCTCGATAATGACCAGACGCTGCGGTTCATCCCAGAAGAGGTGTTTATTATTGTACCTATATTACCGACTGAACCTTGAATAGACATGTAAGTAGCGTAGCATCAAATCTGCAACTTATATTAATAGGTCACTCTTAACCCCTATTAACGGTACGGTGTAGTTCACCCAGTACATATGTGTCGTCACGGGATGTAAAAACCCGATAGGCCGCACCTCTGGCTTGTACCATATTTCAATCCCTTCATACAGTACATAATACTTGTCACTGTGGCGACAACATTCTACGGGAACTTGTAATCACACTTCTTCGTTGGCAACCCTAAGGGTCACTTTGAATCATGTCAAAATCTAAAGAGTGTGATATAGGGTGTATAATTCTGTATAATTAGGTAATACGTCTCTTTCTAATCTCTCTTTAAATAGTTCCTGAATTATTTTGCTGGTTCCTAAAGGCCTGCGGGATCAGTCCGGGAAATCTGTGGTGATGTCTTAATTTCCTCTTGCTTAGTAATTATACACCATTTTGTATGCCATCGCTGAATTTATGTGATGAACCGCAACGTCTGATCATTTGAGTGTAAATAAAGTACGGAGTAGTTGTCCTATACGATCCGTGCGGGGGGTACGCCACATCTACCGTCTCGTCAAATCCGAAATCCGCACAGACCACCTACTAAGCCCATCTTGAGAGGCGGTCAATCCACCTACCCCATCTTTCCATCCTCCGAACTAGGTATCCACCCACTTACCTGTTGCCCATCAGGAACAGTTATTTATCCGGAGCCTACACCATAACTACGTACTTGCTTACGTACACTACCTGCTTCTGCCAGCCCGCTAGCCCCTATCCAGGAGCCCGTGGTCTGTGCGGATCTCGGATTTGACGAGTGTAGGTAGACTGTATGGCGCCACTGGTACTAGCCACACGAAGCTATTCCAGCTTCACGACAACATAATACTGATACATGATTCTTCACGCCTCATCAGTGCACGCCCACAGGAAACTTGATTTGATTATGTGTCCGCACAGTCCTCAAATGTTGTCTATGACATGTTCATAGCGATGCAGCCTATGAGCCGCCCCCTGATAGTGGGTTTATGCATTCCGCACTTCTTGCATTCCTGATCCGAACCCGTTGGTTATGGAAACAGAAATAGTGCTCGTCCGGCGTCGGGCCTTCTTGCATGCATCGATCAAACAAGTTGAAAGTGTCACAACATGAGATGGTCAAGACCATCCACCGTAACAGAGGTCGCTTTCTGGCAGCTCTGTTCAGTCTGCTGACCACTGCCGATTCCAGGACCGTGTGGTTCGATGACCTACGACCACAAAATCTACCGGTATTAGACACTGTTCGGATGGACTGTGGTGCGGAAGCGCGGAATTCGTCCAAGAGCGGTTGCGGTTATTGTACCACGCCAGTTGCGGGCCGCGCACTTAAGGGAGTAGATAGGATCTCGGATGCTTGCGGCTTGCCGAGACCCGTCTCGGGGTCTTGGTGATTACCAGCCCCGCTATCATTGGTCAGGATCGGGGATTCTCATCGAGCAATATGGGAAACAGGTATCATGATGGGCTATCGATAAAGATTATCTCGCGGTCGCTGCACTTATAGGCCACTGATGTCTTTACCCGCGGGTCTGACAAGGTGTCTTGAACGACATCGAGCTGTTATCGACAGGTCCGTTACAAGCCGAGGGCCCGGATGGGGTAGAGAGATGGGAGGGTGTGTCGATGCTCGATGAGGCAGCCACTAATCATCGCGTTGATGACAGACAGGTCTTGGTATACATAGGGTGGCTTGCTCGTCCATTGCCAGTCTCGTGTATTTCAAGTTCTCCAAGCTCTTATGTTCAATCATTGCTGACCAAGGCTCAAATTCCTTGATCCAATCGATACTCTTTTGTACCACCAAACGGCCATCATGGGATCTATACCAGCTGCAGGATGGAGAGAGCTCGATGTCGGTGTTATCGGTGGTGGCATTGGCGGAATGAGCGTTGCAATTGCTCTCCGCCGCGCTGGCCACAACGTTACTATCTATGAGCGCAACGATTTCGCCGGTGAAGTCGGTGCATCCGTCTCATGCGCCGCGAACGGCACCCGCTGGCTACACGAATGGGGAGTGGATGTTGCAAAGGGTGACCCCGTCATTTTGAAGAGCCTCATTAACCGAGACTGGAAGACGGGCGAACCAGTCAGTGTCTACAGCCTCGACGACTACGAGAGCCGCTGGGGCTACGTTTACAACATGTTCCACCGTCAATACATGCATGCCATGCTCAAGGATACAGCCTTGCAGGATGAGGGCAAGGGAAGTCCCGCAAAGCTGCTTGTCAACCACAAGGTGCGATATTTTGTTTGCCGTCTGAAATTTCCTTGCGCCTGACATTCTCTGCAGTGCAAAGGCATCGACTTGGGCGCTGGAAGCGTCAGGTTTGAAAACGACCACTCTGCGACACATGACCTCATCATTGGCGCCGACGGCATCGGCAGCGCGGTGCGGGGCTTCATCGGCGTTCACCCGGAGAAGCGCCCCGCCGAATCCAGCTGCTTGCACGCCAACGTCCTCACAGAGGATGCGATCAAGGCCGGGCTTGTCGACTACTCCCAGGATAGTGCGCTTGAATACTGGGGTGGGCAGGAGGGCAAATGGGACAAGATCGTCCTCTCTCCCTGTAACGGCGGAAAACTTCTATCATACTACTGTTTCTTCCCGAGAGAAGTCGGGGATTACGTGAACCAGGCCTGGGGTGTTGAGGACCGTCCTGTCGAGGAACTGCTCGCGCCATTCCCTGGGCTGGACAAGCAAGTACGCGCTCATCTGGCTATCGGCAAGGATATCCAACCTTGGCGTTTGTGGATGCAGTACGTTGTCACGCATACTCGGTCATTGGCTCTCAGTACAGATATTCAGTGCTTACCTTATGCAGTGACCCGTACCCCTACATCAACAAGGGCATGGTTTGTCTCCTGGGCGATGCAGGACACCCTGTAAGTTGAAGAGGCTCCTTCTGCTGTTGGAACACGCCACTGACTCGAGGCTCCAGATGATGCCTCACCAGAGCCAGGGTGCATGCATGGCCATCGAGGACGCCGCTGCGCTCGGAATCCTTTTCCACCCAAAATACTTCAACGGAGACGTTGCAGAGACTCTAGAAGTCTACAACACGGTCCGCCTGCCCCGCGCCACCCGTGTCCAGGCCGCGGCTGCGAAGGCGGCATACAATATCAACGAGCGTATTGGTGAATACTGCAACCTTGACATGATGCAGCAACCCTTTCGCTGACCCTCGGCCCAGGATTCTCAAATAACACAAACACGAGCACCTACAAGGTGGCAGACGAGAAGGCGAAGCTAACGATCGAGGAAATGAACGCGTCCGTGCTTCGTTCTGTATCCACCTTTTGGGGCATAAAGCTAACGGCCTTGCAGTTACGACATGTACAAGGATATCGAGCAGGCCATTGCTGAGCGGCAAGGAATACCATTCACCCAAAAGTTCATCAGGGGCTTGCCAGTAGGACTCGAATTATCTCCCGGTGTCATTGTCGGACAATAATGCAAGATGATGATACTCGGTGTATGTATATATGGGTGTGAATCTCGGCGTTAATGAGTTACCAGGCATTTTAGTGCGTTGGCAGTAATGTCACATTATTGCACAATATTGGGTCGCGTTTTGAATAAGTTATACGCATCAACATGCACCATGTTTTATTATGAAGCGCTCATGGCTCAGTCATGCGAGGTGTGTGGCGTCCGAAGAGGCCGGAAAACTCGTCTCAGGGCTCGTCGCCCATGCTGCATCTTCCAACCGAATTTAGACGTCCTCCGTCCGACCCATTCAATCGATCTCTTTTCGAGCTGTTGCAGGAGGTTGGATTCGTTTGCTGCTGCAGACCCTCTCGCAGAGCCTCTCGTCTCGCAACATGTCGGCGTGAACGCGCGCCCTAATGCTATCCATCTGACGAAGCTACACGATCTCGATCGTCTTTCCAATGCCTCTTTTCGGCATCGATAGGCCGCCAGACCTGGCCTCTTCGCGCCTCGCTTTGACTTGACCCCTCTTCCATTCCTTGGTTAACGACGCCGAGGTGATGATAAGAGCGCAGTGTAGCCTCACATTCCGCGGGCGTGTCGTTGCAGAGAGATGCTTACAAGCAAAAAGCGGTAGAAACCGTCGCCGTCGATGTTTCATGCAGCCAAGGCGCGAACGCACACAGCGGTGGAGGCGATCGCTAAACGCGACTGCATCCCCCCCCCCCCCCCCTGCTGGCAGATGGTGCGGATGGCGCAGACAGCGCAGTTGAACCGCGGATATCCAAGGCGAACTGCGCTAACATTGTCACCAAGTGGACCTCGAGAACTCTGCAGGTGTTCCGAGCTCCGGTGGGGGGCCAAATCCGGCAAGGGTTTGTAGAGAAAATCTTCCAATCTTTCCAGGACCCCTGGACGCGTCGTCGGCGAAACGATGCCAGCGGTGAAGAAGTGAAGGGCGCGCAAGGCGGCGATTATGCGACTTTGCTTTGGTGCCCAATGTTCAATCTCTACGGATAATTCGTTTGATCTTGGTCCGTGTTCAGTTTGGCCAGCCACTTCAGTGGGCCGTATCCTCGGCGTGTCCAGGGCCGTTGGCCTTGTCAATATACGGACGGGCAGTATTGATGAAGATGATTTGCCATTTGGGCATTGGTGGATACGATCACCGCCGTGTCTCAGGCTGAACCAACGAGTACATATAGATGAGCGTCGGGTCCTGGGTTTGCATTGCATTCTCTCTGGTTTCCTCATCTCTGTTTGGCCCTGACATCCAAGACCCTGCATAACTGCTTTCACGGCCAGCTGGCAGTTGTTGCTTGTTCCTCTGGCGTCACAATTTCCGTTTTGTTTCCGAGTTTCTTCTTTTGTCTTTTCCGATATTACGACCGTTGATACCCCTTCACAATGTCTCCCGCGATATTCGATTCTCACCGGAGAACCCCCTCTGGCCAGGAGACCGAACGTCGGAAATCTGGAAGCGGTTTTCTTTTTCTCAACAACCGTTTCAAGAGGTATGTGTTTGTTTGTTTTCTCTCTTTTCCAGTTGGCCCGGCCACAACGTCTTTCTTCACCGCTCTTCATCTTCCCTCCGTTTCTCCCCACCACCACCACCCCCCTGCCGCAATGCGCGCTCCCCCTTGTTTAATGCCGGACCCTGGACCCGTCTCGCCAGGGCCGGATGCAATAGCGGCGCCGGGGGCCTCGACAATCCCTACCAAAGATGCATGCCCTTACAGTTGTCCAACGGTCGGGCGGCTGCAAGCCTTCCAGTTAGTCGGCTTGCATATTTGACGTGTCTTTGGCACCTTCGAGACCTAACCTAGCCCAAACCTATCTCCAATCATCGTGCCTCTCTTACACGGGTGTTCGTAGTCCACCAACACCACCCGAGGGTAACGCGCCTGAGTCCTTTAGCCAGTATCGCTACTGGCTGGATGACGATGCAATGATCGAGGTCCCTCAAGGAGGGCGCCGCTCCATTTCACCCATCTTGCGACATCCTAAAAGAGTCTTGCCTCCAACAAGGCCGCCATCAGTGCCTGCCCGAATCTCATCCCTTCGGTAGCGTTCCTCTGCTATACCCTCATTCTCCATGCCTCTGCAGTATTGCCTCAGCTCCTTCGCTTTGAATTTGCGTAGGCCTAAATTGTTATGATTGCAGTACCAGCATGGGAGAAGATGAATTCTAACATATTCACAGAGCCCCTACTACCAAGACCACCAACGAAAATGCCACATCTACTCCTCCTACTCCCACCTTTGGGCCCGTCAAGGACGGCAGCTTCATGAAGAGGTCCGACTCGGCCCGCAGCATCCCTTCTCTGCTTCAGTCAAACGACGGTGATGCCGAGAGAACACGACCCATGACCGCGATGCCCGGCAAGGAGAAGAGCTTCCTTGACACCAAAGAGCCTGCTGTTCCCTCCGTCAACGGGGAAACCGCAAAGACTGCAGCCGAGAAGGACGCAACCTCTGCTTCTGCTACCTCGGTTACAAACGGGGCCGAGCACGCCAAGTCCAAAGCTGTGTCCGTGGCAGAGACTGCCCAGACCGCGGAGGATAACGTTGATGACTCGTCTTCCGAGGATGAAGATGATGACAAGAACGAAACCCAGGCCCAAGAGGCCCAGGGAGTCCAGCTTGCCACTCGCGTTGCGGTCGTGCCTCCGCGTCCCGCGACCCCTGAGGCCGACAAACGGATTTCCTACCACGAGGATGCCGACCTTCACATCAAGGTTCGCGATGTGAACGGTGCCGTCGTCGTTTACTCTGTCCGCTCTGCCGCCATCGCCTCTGCTTCCCGCGTCTGGAAGGAGTTGGTCGCTCAAAACACGGCTGCTGTCATTGAGCTGCAGTCCACCGCGGACACCGCTCATGGACTTGATGTGCTCTTTTCCCTCGCACATTACAAATTCCACGAACTGCCTACCATGCCCAACGTCGGCGACCTTTACGACATTGCCCTGGCTTCTGACAAATACGCCGCCACCCACCTGCTTGTCCCTTTCATGAGAGACTGGGTTGTCGCCTTGAACCGTCATGTCCTCATGGCTGGAGCCCGCAACGACGAGGACAAGACCCTCGTTCTTAGCTGGGTGTTCGGTGAGGCTCGCTGGTTCAGCCGCGTGTTGGCTAAGGCGGCTTACAAGTCGCGCGTCGATGCTGAGGGCAAGCTTCTCGACTCTAGAGGTCGTCCCTGGAATGAGCAGCCCATCTCGGATGAGGTCATTAGCATGCTGGCTGCCACTCGTGCCGAGGCCGTCGACAAGATCATCAAAGCCGTCAGCAACCCGGTTCACCGTCTCCTCAACCCCTCTTGTTACCCTGGTGAAGAGATTCGCTACTGCCATGCCGGTACTGATGACGGAACCGCCGAGGACTGTGAGCAGCTTCTCCTCGGGTCCGCCATCATGGGCTTGACCAAGGTCAAGCTTTGGCCGCCACCTGAGCCTACAAAGATCAAGGTCAGCGCTGTCGACCTCGCTAGAGCGTACGGCGAGGTCCGCATCCGGCGTTACCAGATCCCAGGTCTGCGTTTCAGGGATAGCACAGCCGATGGCGCGCCGGTTGAGGACCCTCACGCCAAGTGCGGTTTCGGTCACCGCGAGGTGATTGAGAAGATTCTCAACACCCCTGCCAAGATGGCCTCCGGCGTGATCGGCCAGCTCATCACCAGAGCCAAGAAGTCGGGTGCATTTGACGAGGAGCTTTTCGCGGATTTGAAGGAGTACGTGCAGGATGGCGGAGCTGCAGTTGAGGGCGAGGACTTGAAGAGCGACCCCGTTCACTACAAGCAGGTCCGTATCAGGACTAACGGTGTTGTTGAGAACAAGACCCCCGCCGATGGTGAGTTTCCTTATTCACAAATTTTCAGATTATCGGCCAATAAGCGGTCCGTGTGCTAACATCAGCTAGATGATGATGAGGATGAGGATGATTCCAGCTCCGAGAGCGACGACGAGTAACTTTGAGGACCGCAATTTCTATCTATAGAGATTGCTTATGACAAGTTCACGTATTACGGTTTTGTCTATGATGTCACCAAGCACGATTCATTATGATGAAATACCCTTATAATGTACCTAGATTTCCTTACATGTTCACGTTTCGTTTGTTGAATAGATATGAAAGGCTTCTCATAACTGCCCAACCTGTCACCTTCAATATCAATCAGGGAAGCATCAACCTACGATGAATGTTTATCAAATACATTGTTAGCAACCCTGCACTCTTAGCCCGCGGCTTCCGACGGTGTTCGGTTCATGCGGTCCTTGCGACCAGACGGCAAGCGCCTTTTGTGATGTCACAGTAGGTGAGAGAATGCAGACTTGGAGCTAGTCATTCTTTCCAAAGTTTACCAGGGTGCTTGTGGTCATCAGGAACATATGTTACAACGCAGGCCAGCCCGAGACGCACGCACACATGTTGAGAATACTTGACAAGGTGTAAAGTACTCAACTGGTTGTGTGGAGTGAGAATTATAGTATTCGGATATTTAATAAATGAAACTCTGGCTCTTGACCGTGTGATCAGATGTCATGGTCCAGCCGCTTTTCGACTCCAGTCTGAAGCTCCAGCTTCAGAAAACGGTGAAGTGAGTACTCCGGAATACCACTCATCTTGTATCGTTGCCCTTTCCGTATCAGTTCCCACTTGTGCTGGCGGGGGATGGCGGACTCGTTCGAAGGGAAATATATAACTTCTTCTGGCTTCTTCTTGAGGTGGTGATAGAGGCTCCTCGTGATTAGCGTCCTCCTGTCTGACTTCTGTTGCCATGTGCTGGGTCCTGAGCTTGCTGCCTTTGAGGAATTTGAGCTCGATTATTCTATCGCTTCCGCGAGTGTTTTGATCCGAGTCTCCTGAGGCGTTACAGCCTCGAAGACAGAGAATATTAATGGCAGGAAGGCATGCGCAAATCAGACCGATGCTCACTTCCGCTGTCCTGGCTGCGTAGTTAGTTTCTGCAGATATTCCAAGGGCTAGAATGGGCACACCCAAGAAGAGTCACGCGCATGAGGGTTATTGTGACATCACTCGATTCCCTCAATTTGATCACGACAACCAGCCTAACAAGACTCGCAGCCGTCGCAACACCTCCGGAGCTCAGCATGACGATAACCTTGAGTCGTTTATGCCATGCCATTCGGAGAGTAAGGGCAACAGGTATTGGAAGACATAGAACGGCCATATCGGTGGCGGCACTAATAGTGGTATCCGCTAAATAAATGTCGCGCTGATTAAAACAGGTGGTCGTAATTTCTGGATCCCAGTATCCGGCGATCGGTTGGCATATCAACGTTTTAACAAAAAAGACGGGAATGGTATATAGAGTCAAGAAGACGATGAAAACATATGTTCCGATAACCGTTTTACGGTGCAGTTTGAAGACTCTTATCGTGGTCGAGAGGAGACTGAGCTTTGTGAAATAAGACGAGGGACTATAGAAAAGGGTTGTAATATACGACCCCAGAAAGGACGTTAGTCTGCTGTACGCTGGCGAGTGGAAAACACAGCAATTACCTTTTTGAATCCTATCAGGGTTTCCTTCGAGACTTCATGGATGTGAAAACCGCCACCGAATTGGCTCACTTGCATTTGAGTAATTAGCATCATCACCTTTCACAGTTTCGATGCTTTCGCTACCATTACTCACTAACGATTGCCGAGGAGTACCACCCTAGGGCAATGATCTGCCTATACTTCAGTCCTCCCGAATCTGTCTCGAATTCACTCCCGATGAGCAATGTTCTTACCCAAGCTACTAATGACATCCCTAGCCAAAGAATTTAGAATTTTGTCGTCGGTGTTCTGGGACGTGGCTGGACTCACAATCGTCGGTATGGAATGGTGGCGCGATGAAAGTCTTTACATACAAGCGCAAGACCATGAATGTACTGACCAGCGTCACTGCCAGAATGTGGGTTACGAAGGCGATGCTGTGCAAAACATCTTCAGGCTTCTGTGGGCTGGGCAGTGTACTGTCGGATGACTGGGCTACGCCGGCCTGATGGCACATGTTGCCGAGCCGTGCAGATTAATCGATATGTATGATCGCCAGCTGTATCGGAGCGCCTTGAGTACGGCATAATATATCACTTTCCACCGTAAATTTAGCTTCTTTGGAAGTTCCTGAGCAGTCGAGGCAACCGGTAGTTACGTCCCGAACCCCGAAGCACCTACAAACAATAGAAAGTTTGTGGAAGGCTTCACGAGAACAGTAGATTTAATAAATGGCTGATGAGGCACCATTAATACCAGTCTTAGGGTTGTGGAAAACATGGACTGTCCTGGACTAGAAACTCTGTTTTGAACACACAAGGGCTAATGAAAGAAGCCAACTAGCTCTCGAAGCATACCCCTAAGTTCTTGAATCTGGAAGCCGGAACTGGGCACCGTGGCATTGCAGGCGTGCAACAGAGAGCGCCCGTCAGGTATGTGGCGGAAACCTTCCTTGAATGTGTTAAATAGGCCCTTGGAGTCTAACTACGCGACTCTTACGAGGCAGGCAAAAAGCCGATACGTTTTTTGAGTCGTCCAATCGTTCTCATCGTATGGTTTCAGACTAAGTCGATACATCGACGGCCATGGATAAGGATCATGTCTACTCGGCCATCTAGATTCTAGTCCCTGATTAGGTTTTGGTGTGATACTGAACTCTAGTAATCAACCTTCAGCCAACAACAGCGATAGACTGCGGTAACAATTTCAATATGATATTTCAAAACTTAGATTGCGGCAAGCCAAAGAAGCTTTGGGTTTGCAGTAGCCCAATGCATGACTTGCGTGTCGAACTCATCAGCCTTCCGCACGACGGAAACTGATGTACAGTGATGAATACTTTATTTTTTTCGGGCACATAAAGCCATATAACTAAGAGCTTACTATGTAAGGTGTGTCCAACTTTCCTACTTGAGTAGGCTTTCAAGAGCTAGTGATGCGATTGAGTACATAAGAGCACCCAACTGTTGCGAACGAGACAGTTGTGGCATGATGGCTCACAACCACATCATGCCAAGCAAGGCGGGTCGTACTTTGGATTTTGTGCCCTCGACGACCTGAGCTGGATACGACGTGATGAAACTTGTACGGGAACAATGATCGACTGTATAAATCGTTCTGCATCTCAATATTCTTACAAAAGAAGGTTTCGGTTCTATCGGATGTAATATTAGTTCTCTGCTAGATATAGCGGAACAACTCGAGACTCACGATAGTCTTGAGGGAATTGACAGCAACTGAAATCTATCTTACTGGCCAATATCCATTCTGGGATGCATGGATGAAATACATAATGATATATTCGTGACAACTTGCTGCAGTTTCGGCATTGAATACCCCTATAATATCTCTTCGTTTACTCTGCTTACTTTGGCCCCTTCCCGCTGTTCGGTGTCATCTATATTACTATGTAATGTACCTACAGTAGTATTTGTCGCAGGGTGTATTAGGCACTAATTTCTGCCTGCAATCAACGGTGTCGCTTTTTTCGACATATTTATTGCATCAAATTTGGCTGGAACTTCCGAATGCTTGAGTCAAGAATTTTGCTTCAGGCGCTTCGTATAGTGCGACTACAGGCCCTTCTCTGCCATTTGAACCCTCGCACATTTACCACGTATAGTCAAACATGAACTGGATGAATATCTTCGATGATATCAGTCAAAGAGAACTTACACAAATATATACATTTGATGATAGTATAGTGGTGACTTACAGATGGTATTGGAAATATGGTACGGTGATAGATGTAGTTTCGCCTCGGTCAAAACATTTGTGCTTCATATTTATTAGTTTTGTGGTACTGCAGTTGAGGTGCTGGTAAACTATGGAGATAGACATATTGATCAATCTATGTTTGATTCAGCGCTGGGACTGTTCCATTCAGAGGACTTCGTTCAATTACACTGTAGACATTTCCAATTACCCTATCTCACAGTCGGCTGACATAAGGGTACGCCGTGTATTCTCTTGCATCGAGAATCCATGCTGGCTAAGGACTCGTATCTCACAGTAATATCTGGGAAATTTATGCAGGTATAGAATTGTTATACATAGAACTATCTAAAGGACGGCTCTGACTGATGGCTCACTGCTATAATGACTTTAGTGACCCCATACATATAACCCATTTTGCTTCGCTTTCGACAGGAAAATAGAGCCTAGAAATGCTATCTTGTAAACGACCCGCAAGTAGTGGGGGTTGGCCACGTCTCCATATTGAGCTACATAGACAGCAATAACCCCAGTAGGCGCCAAGGGGGGGCGTGGTTGTGAATGACTATGGAGCAGTTTAGCCGGAGTAAGTTATCCTGATGGTGACATTGAAGTTACAGAGTACATGTTGGTGAGGTCTGAGGTCCACCACGTGATCTCTGACTGCCTTCACCAGCTTCTTCACCTTGCCAGCCAGCAGTCTTTTCCTCCTAGTTACACATCACCAATACCACCATATTCATGGCGATATCGCTGCTCCTCCACAGTACAAACCTTTATTAACTATTATCATTTGTGTGTCTAGACGCTGAGTGAATAATATGAGGGCTTGCAGGCTCTGCTGACTAGTTGACTGAATGACGCCGTCATATCTCCCAACCATCGTTTGAGAGTCGTCTTTGGGTGCTAGCACGAGAATAGTGGAAGAAGACAGGCTTGAATCCTAAAATTTAGCTAGTTCACGATGAGTACCAGTCAAATCAGTGGAATCTATTGCTTTCCATTTTCCTTGTGATCGGCTGTCGTTCAAAAGACTGGCGCACGAAGGGAAGGCCAGGTTGTCGAAGTTGTACAAATCTGTATCACAGAACACGAGTATAGGTACTCGACGCAAGGGGCGTGGTCAATAGGCGACCGTCAAGGAATCCATCAAGGAATCTTGGGAGACTGAAAGGGGTGAATTCCAGAGGGTACGTCACCAAGCATATGCATGCAGCCTGTGACTTGTCACACAGCGCCCACCATTTAACGGCCTCATCTCATGGGCACCAAAGGTATGCCGCAAACTTGCGCTTCCTTCCAACAGCCCTGCCACCGTAGCTGTGGCAACATGAATCTTCCGTCTCCGGCAGTGATGGATGAGGCGAAGCATGCAGCTACGGCTTGCAGTGCAGCTGTTGCGGGTAATGTGGCTTAAGCGAGGCTCAATATAATATATTGTCTAAGCCTATCCCTTTTTCTTTTTCGTTTTTCACTTTTATTGGCGGTCTCTGCTTAATGCCTCTTGGGTTAACCTACCAAATCTGGGCCCACCGTAATGTTGACCCGGGGCGATGAGAAGCTTTCAAGTTTCATTTTGATTAAGCCTCAGTTGTTGTTCACAGAAGGCTTCATTGTTAACCCCAGATACTACCGTGGCTTAACCCAGGGTAGATGATGATGCACAAACAGCGTGGACTCCACTAGAAATCTGGGGGTGGTTCCCCAGGCCAGGGTACCAACATCCCAGTGAACAGTCACTTGTCCGCCTAATATCTATCTGTTGGACAAGAAATGGACAAGTGTCGAATCTAAAGCAACATGAGGCCAATAAAGTGGTGGTTGCGGGTCCCGGCCCCCGAACTCCAAATGAGCTCCCTCGGCGTGATGATCCGGCCATCAGGATACGGCCAGGCAACTTGAGACGTCAGCTTCAACGCAGCCCAATCTCACGGGCCATTTCTGGAGGAGAAAATGTCGCCGATAGGCAACGAAAGCAACTTCTCCTTTGCTCCAAGCCCCAAGGTCTCAACACAAGAATAGAATTGCAATGGAAACTCAAGGCAGGAGGTTGGTCATTATGAGGCCTGCCTGGGTCCGGACTCGACGAGAGTGAGCGGGCGAATCAAACAACACCACGTCCAAGTCATGACCCCTGGTCATTCTCCGGGAACGTGCAGCCGGGTCAGTGCGATTCCATGTCAGTTGCGTCCCAATTGCCTCGAGCTAGCCCAAGTAAAGCACAGTGATGCCCAACCCACCACAACATGCGCACAAAAGGGAAAAAATAGAAAAAGAAAATGAGGCCAGTCATATTCAGTTCCGCCTGTTTGCCCTGCCGAAACGACTGGTTGGAATGCCCATGTCTCCGGCATTCCTGACTCATCTCACCTCACAGCAGCCTGTCTGATTCGTTTTCTTATTCCCATGGTGCCCTGTTCGACCCCTGCAAAGTAGGGCTTCGAGCATGTTTGGCCCCTCGACGAAGCAAGCTAAAGCAAGAGGATGGACAAGCGCCGACGATGGTGTTGGCGAGACTCTTCTGGCGCAGATACGAAGCAAAACACGTATGCGTCAAACTGCAAAATACAACGCCAGATATTGGATACCGTCCAGCAACAGGAGACTTACACATATTCTCTTCTGCCACCCGGGGTTATTGTACAGAGGTACCTAATCTTACGTTCAGTTGTCGTCACAGCTAATGCCCGTTTGCCCAAGGCCACGGGGAGCCCCTGGTCTCCCGCATTTTAGGCCCCCAGCAGGCGGGATGCGAGAATGGATTCTGGACGGGGGTCCAAAGAAACCACGGGGCTGCCGTTGACAGGGGTGATGTGGCCATGGAAAGCTGGGCTTGTGTCTCTTCACAACAAAATGGACCAATCAGCCCGATCACCCCAACCCGAGGAGCCGTCAAGTGACGACGTTGCGATTGCAACATTCAACGCTACTCTCTGTCCCGGCTGCATTCTGGGATTTCCGCCAAACGGGTTCGGAGAGGTCTTTCGGGCCCGCCCATAGTGCCACACCCCATCCCTGCCACTCGCTCAGAGGGACCGGGTTAACAGTCTCGACGCTCGAGGACTGCTTGAGGTTGATCAACGTGTGTGCCCTATTGGACGGGGGTAAGCGCGCTGGGGCGGCCACGGGACGAAGGCGGGCAGTGTGTAATATCATTTTCTGCCGGTTGGGCTGTTGTTGTACGATGATCACTCCGCCTCCCTTTCTCCTTTTCTTCCCTCCCACAACAACGTACTCTGGATATTTTGAACAAAACCATCTCGCCGCCTACACCCAGATTTCTCTTTCCGATCTCATCATTATTTGATAGTAGATCCGAACAGACCCGCTATGCAATATTACCCCTCATCGAATTACCAATACACTTTCAATGCCACTCGCAAGATTCATCAGTCCCAGATCAGACGTCCAGCTTGGCACATAGCTTGAGAAAACTCAGAAAAAAAAATAGCATCATTACTTATCAGAGCTTTGAGCTTGAACAAACCCCATTCATATCGTCAACTTATCAACGACCCCATGGCTCCCACTCGTGACCTTGCGCCCGCGAAGGGCCGCAATCGCTTCAGACTGAGGCGGCCCTCAGTCTCCATCCCAGACAGCACTCCTCTAGAGACACTCGACTTCTCAAACGCCAACGTTTCCGACATGTCACTCGCTCCCATGGATCGTTCGGCAGACAACAGATCCGACTTGAGTACCAGCTCATCTGAGGCCTGGAGACGCAAGGACGGCAGCGCAAAGCCTCCTCTCATGTTCAAGCCCCCTGCCCTCCGCTACCGCCAGTCTCGTCCAGAACTCAACCGGCCATGGAGACGTTCTACTGAGAATGTTTACCCTTCTGCCGACGAAACAAATGACTCGGACGTGGAGTCGAAGTACAGTTTTGACTCTCACTCCACCATCACGACCGCTACCAGCGTCGAGGATTTTGATACATACCCCAGCAAGTCTGACGCTCACACCTCAGCAGTCCGGACTCGGCCGTTGACTGTTGAGAAACAAGTCGTAAAGACAAATACCGTTCCACCTCCACCAGCCAAGCCCGCCAACCTCAAAGGCACCCGTGTCGATATTGTCGCTCCCAGCAGACAGACCGTACATATCGAGGTGGCGCCCGCAGCCCCGGCCCCTCCCGTGGTACAGCACATAACTTCCCAGGACCTTCGCGAACGTGAGAAGGTCGAAGATGGGCTTCTCAAAGAGATCTTTCGCGAACGTGTGAAGGTCGAAGATGGGCTCCTCAAAGAGATCTCCCGTATGAAAGAGGAGACCAAGAGCCTCCTCGGCAAGCAGTCTGATACCGACAAAAGGCTTGAGGACGCCCTGGAGAGACTTTCTTCCCTCTCTGCAGACAAGGACAAGGTCGAGAAAAAGCGCCGCGAGGAAAAGAGTCTCAAAGACAAGATCGCCCGCGATTTCGAGGAACAGAGCCGTCTCCTGAATGAAGTCAAGAGCTGTCTCAGCGAACATGAGAAGAAGCTTGAAGATGTTGCACGTGAGCGGGACCAGCTCAAGGGCATCAAACAACAGCTGGAGGCCAAGTCCAACGACCTTGAGAAGGAAATTGCTCTTGAAAGGGATGCAAAGGAGGAGGCCGCCAACAAGAACGCCATCCTGCAGATGGACATTGCCGAACAAGAAAAGATCAAGAAGCACTTTGAGACTAGGTGTCGCGACCTAGAGAGGAGTGTCGGCGATGCTCACTATGTAACCAAGGAGACTGAGCGCGCCCTCATCGAGAGGATCGCTGCGCTGGAGTTGACGAAGGAGAGCCTTCAGATGCGCGTTACGGGACTCGAGAAGGAGCTCATCCTTAAGGGAACCGAGATCGGAGACATCACTGCTGAGCGCAACCTCTTGCGTATGGATGTCGACAAGTACAAACCCCAGGTTGATCAACTCAACAAAGAAAACGGTGCCTTGGCCGAAGCCAACAAGGGCTTGCAAGCCCGCATCGACGATCTCGACCAACAGAAGAAGGGTCTAGAAGCCAACATCGAGAAACTAGAGACCGAGAAGAAGAGCGCTCTGGAAAGCTACGATGCTCTCGAAACCGAGAAGAAGGGCCTCGAGGCTGACATCGAAAATCTCAACACCGAAAAGAAAGATATCCAAGACCAATTTAGTGCTCTCGAAGTTGAGAAGCAAGAAGTCGAGGTACGCCTCACACAACTCGAGACCACCAATACCGACATTCAAAGTCGGTTTGAGAGCCTCGAAGCTACCAAGGGCGAGCTTGAAGTCAGCAAGGGAGAGCTTGAGACCCATGTCAAGGACCTTGAGGGTATCAAGGTCGAGTACGATATCCTCAAGGCCCGCCTTGAGGCTCTCAAGGGCGAGAATACAACCCTCAAGACGCAAATCGGCTCACTTCTCAAGGACCAGGATGACAAGAGTTCCCAGATCCTCAGCCTCGCGGAGGAACGTAACAGCCTTCGTTCTGAGAACGCATCGCTCAAGGATGAAAATGAGTCGGTGACGAGCGAGCTTAGGCGCGCAGAGTCGCTCGTGGGCTCCGTTGCCGGCTCAGCTGCACCCTCCGTTAATGGCTCGGCGGCCCCATCTGTTGTGGGGTCCATCGACGACAGTGACGCGGACACAGTCAAGGGCGAAGATGAAGCACAGCCTGCGACCGAAGAGGAGGCATCTGCACCTCCAGCAGAGGATACTGTTGTAGCTCCAGCAGAGGAGCTACCTGCACCTCCAGTAGAGGAGACTGTTGCGGCTCCCGTTGTCGAGGAAGTCAAGGATGACGCTGCCAGTATCAAATCCGCAGCACCTTCCGAAGCGGTTCGCGAGCCCGAAGTGGCAGAGCCAGATGTGACACCCGTCGAGGATGGTACTGCTACCGAGAAGGCCGAGTCCGTGTCTGCTAAATCAACTACTCCCTCCGAGTCGGCCGTCATGGAGGAGCTCCGCCAGCGTATCGCTGAGCTACAGGATCGCAACGACCAGCTGCAATCTGAGACTGTCAAGCTTGGCTCTCTGATGGCAGAGAGAGATGATTTGGCCACTCGCGTCGCCACGTTGGAGCCGGAGGCCGGCCAGGCGCCACATCTACGTGAGGAGAACGCGGCCCTGACTTCGCAGCTGGCCCTCGTCAACACACAACTCGACGGCCTTCGTGCCTCTTACGATGCGTCTGTCGCCGAGGTCAACAGTCTAAAGGACCAGATCGGACAACTGCGCGGACGCTTGTCTACGCCATCGCTGCAGGCGCGCTCCAGGGAGTCGTCCCGCGCGAGACAGCCGACGAAGACCAAGAAGGACAACGAGAAGAAGAAGGAGCAGTTAGTGGTTGTGCGAAACCCTAATGAGCGGGGCGGAATGTAAGTTGAACCCCCCCCCTTTCCAACGATTCACCTCAGCAGGATGCTGATTATATATCTAGTCAAATAATGCGACGATGCGACCTGCGCGCGAAGAGATCCTCATCTCAGCACTCGCACTCGGAGGGTGATAAGAGCGAGTAACTATCGCCAGTAATTTGGGTTTACGGGTACGGTTTAGGGAAGGACTCGAGTAGTAAAAGGGTATATCTGGACATTTAGCGGCGATGGATTGGATTACCTTGTTAACATTTCCTTTGTGTTTTCATATTATATTATCGGGGCACACAGCATGCACGAGCTCGGTCAGCGTTGGGTCTTTCAGTGGCCTTGGATCTCCTTTGTAAGGTCGGAATGTGGGATAAGAACGGGTCGGATAGGGTTAAAAACATGTAACGGATTGCATGGGCGGATTCTGGAAGATGGGTGCCCTCAAGGGCGCGTAAAGCATACATCATGTAGACTTCGTATCATGTAGTTAGTACTCAAGTTTTTGGATTAGACAGTGTCAGGTCTTGCGTCTGCTTATGCTATTAACATCGACTTCATCTTCTGCCGCTACATTCCTCTGCTAATCTTACTTTTGGCCCGTCGAACCTTCACCGCGGCCCAACCCCCTCAAAGACGCCATTACTCAGTTGCGGGAGGTTACAGATCGGACCCTGTCTCGTTTATTGTCTCAGCCAACTTGCTGCAGTAGATAATATGCCTATGCCGCCGAAATATATCAGCTTGAGCAGGCAAGGCTTGCCCCAGCTCTGTTTCTAGCCTCCCTGGGACCTAAAATATTAAGCTTTTCTGTCTCACCTCTCTCAACCATCAAAATGTTTCTGAGTACCGGGAAGCAACACTTTGGGTCTTATCACAGGGACTCCAAGCTAGTTGCACTACTAGCTCAAAGACTCCGAGGTCGTCGTCCATTCCTCTGTTGTAGGCCTTCCAATTCAGATCGATGACGCAGTACTATGTATGGTATTCTCGCTTGGAAACCATTACTAGCCTGATCATAACGGCATCGACTTAGCCGCATGAGGAAAGACGATTCTGAATCAACATGGATCCGTCCAGCATAGCTACGCGGACGCACTCGGCGCTCCAGAAAGCTTCCGAATCCGGCCTGGGAGGTTCAGGCACAATCCCAACAAGCGCCTTTCTAGTCTGGGTGCCATGAGGGTTTGATGCTGAACAAGACCGAATGAAGCCACTAATTGGCCGGAGATGTCTCAGGAACGGATATGGGAGCATATGTGGCCAGGCCGCAAGCGATGACAACCACATTCCAAACGAGGGCTTGGATACGGGATCAGCTTGAGCTCAGTTGGACCTAGCAAAGCTGTCTAGTTAAGCTGAACTCGCAGAGCAGAGCACAGCCCCGCAGGTGTTGTCCTGGTGTTGCAAACCTGCAAGCTCAGAAGTATATGAGAAGCCAAGTTTCCCCTCCAAGTTTGCCCCAACTTCCCTCATCAGCTCATTCGACTCTCGCTCCATACAACTCAAAGACAATCGCTATCATACAGCTACCAGAACACTTCATCTCTTCACACAAGTCCTCCGATATCCATCACCCGTTTAACATCAAAATGAAGTACTCTGCTGCCATTATTGCCTTCGCCGGCTTTGCCGCCGCTCAGACTTTCAACGAACTGCCGCCATGCTCTCTTCAGTGCTTGGCTAAGGCCATCACGGACGACGGCAAGTGTCAAATCGGTAACACGGCCTGTCTCTGCAACCCCGACAACTTTCGGAACATTTTCTCCGCCGGCACTGTTTGCGTGCTGCAGAGTTGTGGCCCTGATACCGCCGTCAGTAAGTGGAATATGGATTACGAGATCGCTGCCCGATAGGTTTTGGTAGTCGGATATTGACCTTGAACCCTTAGACCAGGTCATCCCCGCCGCTACGCGTATCTGTGAGGCCGCTGCATCTTCGGCCGTTCTCTCCGCTTCATCTGCTGTCTCCGCCGCTGCCTCCTCCGCCGTGGTTGCTACCTCCACCAGGATCTCAGCTGCCGCATCTTCGGCTGTGTCGTCTGCGATTGGAACCATCCCTAGTCCTATTACATCTGCACCACGCCCTGGAATCACCCGAACCTCTATCGTCACCAGCACCGTTACTACCATCTATAACGGCAATCTCACTAGAACGACTACGCAACTTCCCACCACGCAAGTTCCCGTCACCGTCAACGGTGCTGCCGTACAGGGTCCTATAGGTATCGCAGCTGCCATTGCTCTTGGAGCCCTTGCTTACCTGTAAGCGTTCCGGTCGACTATGTATCAGTCAGTCAACATATCGTCTACGTGAATGGTAAAGCTTTCGACCGAAACTTCACTTCGTTAGACAGACTTTGAGTTCTGAATCGAAGGATGGACATTTAGATGGCAACATAGGTGGATGCCCCTTAATAGACTACTTAATATAATAATTGAAACAAGCAAACGTCTGTTGAAGTTTCCACATCGTGGTTTTATGACTAAATATTGCAAACTGACACCATCACTCTCTTGAATGGCTGAGTGTACTCCAATATCAATGATAGGCAGCAATTCTGCTTCCAGAGCCTCCAATTCATAGCTCTAGTCATGGATATGTTGTTACATTTCCTGTTCGCCCGGCAGATTCTAGGGACGCTTTTGATTGTCGTCAAAGTGACTGTGGTGTTTAGTTGAGCTTTGGATAATAGTCTCAAGTAACCAAAATATGCACGAAGCTCATAATCATAAGCAAATACCTGTCTGTTGTGCGACGCGTCATCGGCTGCTATCCTTACGCATTTCCGAGGTTGCATATCTTATCCAGTGGCTCTCAAAAGCCATGGCGCTCTCATGCTCCTTAGTCATTACCTGCTTATTACGGAGCACAGGGATTGTAGCTTGGGAAGGGCTCGAGCTGTGCTTAATGCAACGGGCCCCGCAGCATCAATAGCTCCGTTGAGCGCAACCCATGCAACAGCTCGTCTGCCATTACGGAGATGCGTCGGCTTTCACTCGGTGTCGATGATTATACGGCAAGCAAAGTAGCCTTATGGATGGTCGACTTGGTTCGTCGGGGAGCCAAACGTCTGGCAATTGGTCAATCAAAAAGCCGCCCAGGGTCTGAACTCCTAAGATCTTTCCCTCATCTTAAACATTGCTATGTTCGCGTCTGGTCAAAAAAGTGTATAAAGGCCTGCGGACCCTGTCTGATTCCTAAGAACGAGGAACAAGCAAACCAACCCTTATTCGCCAGACTTCTCCATCTTATCAAGTCTTACGCATTATGTATTTCCTTAAGCTGATTCTTTCTGGGGTCGTTTTGAGCTTCCTCTCCCCCATAGCCGCCGTCCCTGTGCAGGATAGTCCGCGCCAGCGTCTTCTTGACGGAAAGGGTTTACCCATAAAGTACCGGACTGCATCGTCGCCTTACACGCCCGGTCACAAAGATAAATACGACACCCCCGTTGACTCTGTCGGCGACAACCTTGATCCATTGCCGTGGCGTAATGGTCTAGGAGCCTCCGTCTTAGGGCCATGGAACGATGCTCGTTCCAGACAAAACCCAGATCTCGTGCGCCCCCCCAGTACAGATCACGGAAACCTCGCCAATATGCGATGGAGCTTTGCGGATTCCCACATTCGCATTGAGGTACGTCTGCCGTTCCGAAGTTTGGAAGCGACAAAGTGTGGCTTACTGGCGTTACACAGGAGGGCGGATGGACTCGACAGACCACGATCCGGGAGTTGCCCACGAGCATCGAACTTGCCGGAGTCAACATGCGCCTGGACGAAGGGGTCATCCGCGAACTGCACTGGCACAAGGAAGCCGAGTGGGCCTATGTCCTCGATGGCAGTGTACGTGTCACAGCCATCGACTATGAGGGAGGGAATTTCTTCGATGACCTGAACAAGGGAGACTTATGGTATGTTTAAGACCAAAGTTGGTCTTGTCCTCTTATGCCTATGCAAATGCTAAAGAAGTTTACATAGGTATTTCCCATCAGGCGTGCCTCATTCTTTGCAAGGTCTCGGCGAGAACGGAACAGAGTTTCTCTTGATTTTCGATGACGGACATTTTTCTGAAGAATCCACGTTCATTCTGACTGATTGGCTTGGTATGGTCCATGAATTGCGTGATATCATACGGGGCTATGGTTCCTAACACCATTCTAGCACACACGCCAAAGTCTGTGATTTCAAAGAACTTCCACCTGGCCCCCGAGGTCTTCGCCCACATTCCAGAAGGGGAGAAATACATATTTCAGGGGACCACGCCAGGCTCAATCGGACACGAGGCGCCTACCGGAAAAGGAGTGAAGAAATCCAAGTATCAGTTTACACACAAAATGCTGGACCAAGAACCGAAAAAGACCTCTGGCGGCGAAGTCAGAATCACCGACTCCAAGAATTTCCCAATCTCAAAAACCATTGCGGCAGCCCATGCGGTTATCGAGCCCGGTGCCCTCCGAGAGATGCACTGGCACCCGAACGCTGACGAATGGTCTTTTTTTATCAAGGGGCGCGCCAGAATTACAATATTCGCCTCGGAAGGAAATGCCCGAACCTTTGACTACGTTCCGGGTGATGTTGGTATTGTTCCGAAGAATATGGGCCACTTTGTTGAGAACATTGGCGACGAACCTGTTGAAATGCTCGAGATCTTCCGAGCCGACGAATTCAGAGACTTTTCACTATTCCAATGGATGGGAGAAACCCCCAAGAAGCTGGTGGTTGACCACCTTTTTGCCAACGACCCCGAAGCTGGCGAGAAGTTCTGGGACAAGGTCCGCAGCGCCGAGAAGGACGAGATTACCAAACCGAACGCCGAGGAAGTCCAAACTAAGTCTGACGAGCTCTAGTGGGGAATCCTGAAGGTTAGCAACAACGGCTTGGCAGATCCAGCCTTGGCAGTCTATGCTTGCGATGTTTGTTTCTTAACGGATGAAACGCCTACAGCAATGCCATTATATTAGATGTTTATAGATATTGTCAATGTCTTAGTCAATGATCGTATTTTCGACCACGCCAATGAAAATGGTTGACATGCATGATAATTTTCTCGACTCTTCCGTGCTCTCATAATTATCGACTAGTGAACCAGAATCCAAGTTCACCGCCATTGGCGAGCACACAGACATTAGTCTGCTGAAAGCAATGAACCCTTTGGCCAGGTTTCCGACAAGCTGAGCTCAAATTGGTGTCCATGCGGCCTTTCTCAGTCTTTGTCCCAAGCCCCACGGGTTGCTGAGTTTCCGGTACCAAGGTTTTGCATGATCCTTTAGTCAGCCCACTGCACAGATCGCCATTCTTGCTTCTCAAACTAGAATCATTACGCGCAGACGACCTTTAATTTTTGACACTATTCACTTCTTCCTCGCAAATTCTCTTACCGGCAGGTCTCCGAGGGAAGTCCGTGGCAAACGCAGCGTAAGCAGATGCCGTGCCTCGAATACATTTCCCAAGTAGGGGGTTTATGTACGTGATCACTCTTTCGGCTTGGTTGCACATGATTGCAATAGGCTGTCAGTGGCCCCTTGTTCACACCATCCCCGAGTTGTGACAGCTAAGATGTCGCGCCTTGACGTGCATCCAGACCACAGGCCTCATCTTTTTTTTTTTTGCCTCCCCTTGTCTAGACTGGGCTTACGACAGGGTATGACCAGTGACAGAAGTCATGGCCATGAAATAAAGCGGGCATTCTTGATGTATCAAGAAGGTGGTAAGTGAGGTGTTTTGTGTCGAGTACAAGAAGGGCGCAGGTTGAACCCCGCACGAAACGACGACACCATCATATCGTTCCAATAGCTCCGTTTCAGCAGTCACAGCAGTGATGTAGCGCTGACCATGCTGGCTCAGTATCGTCCAATCTCTTGCGGCCAGTGTTCCGCAACGGTTATGGCGCCGGGCTTCTCGGACAAGTAGGAACACTGGGATTGTGTCATATCTGCCAGTGACATCCGGCGGGAAAACGCGTGGTTAATAATACCCAATCCTATTTCTGGAAATTGAGGGTTGAAGAGGGGTAATTGCAAGCAGCATACCTAGCATGTTAAGGGGGGTGAGATGAGACCGGGATGAATTTCAGCGAGGTGGGCAATAGGCCCGTGGGCAAGTCGACTGCTCATCTCATCCAAACAGCATCATGAACCGGTTTGTTGCACATATGGCAGAGTTACACCGGCTGGGAGGACGGCCTTATCACTCGGGGTAGATGGCGGTGATATGACTTTGGAAGAAGTATTATATGGAGGATCATCGACAGCCTTCATAGCCCTTGTTACCCGTTGGCCCACAACCCGCTTGGAGCCCGCCGAATCCCTTCCCTCCCACTCAAAAACTGGGTGACAGCCTCCCCCCGGCTCGTTCTAGCTTTGCATTAGCTTAACCCCGGTCAACGCCGGGTTTTGCCCCGGTCTGTATCCCCGAGAACACGACTCCTGATTCGCGGGCTTGGCATGTCCACATCTAGTGTACCAGGAAAATCAAAGCTTGTCCGTCGCTACCGAGGCCTACATACAAGGATAAGGGTTTCCGCCGTCGTGCCCACCCGCCGGCCCACGATATTGCGTTCTCCCACCCAGATGAGCCCTGTTTGGAGACAATGGGGAGCGGCGGGAGCGCTATTGGACGGGTATGTATGTACCCCGCATCTTGGCCTTCTAGTCTCGTAGTCAACGCTGCGGGAGGGAGGTAAAGAAGTGGGATGGACTGGGCTTGCGTTGAGCTAGCGCTAATGTAGGCAGGTCGGCAAGCAGACGGATAGCGCCGCGATTACGCTTCCTCTTCGGTTCGTGATAAATGATATGACCATGCAGACCGGGATGGGCCTCTGTCACTCTGGATTGCTCGAACATATTGGTTGTAGATCATACAAACCGGTCAGACGAACACATGGGTGCGTGGGCAGAAGAAAGGTCTAGAGAAGACCAAGTGTCCAGATCTTGATATCGTTAGCCTGCTATCTTTTCTCGCCAACCTGAATCAGGAAAGTGATTATGCTGTCCTCAAGACCGCCATGCTTGAAGCCCATGTATGCAACCTGGAGGGCGCGGGGGTCTGCCAAGGGATGTTGTCATTCCTTACCTCCCGTTGCTAACGCTGTTGCCTTTGTGACTTGGCAAGCTTCGCTCACATGGCCTTTACTTGACCTCCTGCATGCCTAGCCATAGGCTTACGTCCTGGGTTCTTCCCAAGCCGGTGTTTACGGCTATTACATCTCAGGAACGCGGCCGAACAGTCTTGGGTAGCCTTTGCTGCGATCTCGCTAATTCAAGCGTACATTCCAAGATTGTCTTGGTATCCCAATAGATCTTTGCGGGCTACGAGCCAAGAGATTGGATTTTGGCAGACCAGCTTAGCATTGCGGCTCCCGGGATTCAAGTTACAAAGAACAAGTTCATGGTGAATCTAAGTGGCAGTAAAAATAGATGCGGAATCCAAGGTGTCTTGGGCCTTTGGCGATGTCGGATGAAGTATGTGGGCATCACCTCAGCTGACGTGACTTGTTAATCCGATACCTCTGTGTCTGCGCAACTTCTCCATGCTTATTTCTCGTGCACTGGGATTAGGGATGCTCCATACGTCTATAGCGTCCATTTATTGCGCACCCAATAGCCATTCATCTCATACTCTCCATCGTGATGCCGTGTAATATGTGCTTCGCCGTCTGTTGTTCTCGCTCCCTCTCTGCCATCGGATCGCGCGAATTCAATCCAAGTTTGATGAAAGCCTGCACTAGCAGGCAGGGTAAGAACTTTGACTCATGTTCTCTTCTTGGGGTAGTGTGAGTCGCAGTACTTGCAGGCTAGCTTTCTGACGGTGCGACCCCACGTCATCTGAAGGGTGCTTGCTTTCTCGACGCGACCCCAATATGCTCCAACCATCCACCGATGCGAGGCGATGGCATTTCACGAAAGTGAAAGGTGATTAACTGCATTAGTCTCGCTGTCTTCCGGGCGCGAAGGGATACCGAGTGTAGTCCGAAGGGGGTGTACTGCAGTTCCGTGCCTAGGTTGGACAAAGTTGGTACAATGGCAGTGATGCTACAGCAATGTTGCTTGGCCTGGACATCCCCGTCACTTTGAACGGCCAAGACTGTATGCTGGACGGCTCGCCGTCCGTCCAAAGTTTAGATAGCCTTTCCAGTATGGTCTGTGTTGTACGGGTAAGAGGAGATTTGCGCAAGAGGCTGCTGCAGTGCGCTGATCAGATGGAACTGCAGCAGCCATAAAGAAACGGCACTGTCAGCCGAGGAGCTTGGTATTATCTCTAGAAAATCAAACAAGACCATTACGAGGTCGGATGAAGTGCTGACTCAATTATTGATCTACACTATTTCTAACGAGACTTGAACCATCCCAACCACTGAAACCAAATTCGTCTGTTCCTATATCAATAGCCACCTTGTGGCCCGGAGAAGTCTACCTCTTCTGTTGTCCGTCTTCCTCCTGAACAGCGACATTTCAATCTGCGTCGCCGAAATGGACAATATCAACCGGCATGTTGAACGATTGAGAGACGAAATCACGACAGACACCACCCTCGCTCGTGTTCACGATTTTGTCGTCTCAGGGGCTCCAAAATTGCCATCCGCCGCCGGGGTTTATCTCCTCGAGAAGATCCCCATAGTCCAGTGGCTGCCTCGATACTCTCCTAAATGGCTTATCACCGACTTCATCGCCGGGCTGACTGTAGGCGTCATGCTCATTCCTCAGTCCCTAGCTTACGCAAAGATTGCAACCATTCCCATAGCCAACGGTCTCTATTCGAGCTGGCTTCCAGCCGCGTTTGCAGTTTTCATGGCAACATCAAAGGGTGAGTCATGGCCCCAGAATGTGTAATTGGTGACGACACTGTTCTGACTTGGCATCTATCGTATATTAGACCTCTCAACCGGCCCAACCTCTATCCTGGGTCTCCTCACTGCCGAAATCGTACACGATCTGACTGCAGAAGGCTTTGACGCCTCAGCGATAGCCTCCTCTATTGCCCTCATGGTCGGGGTCTACTCCCTGGTCATCGGTCTTTTCGGTCTAGGGTTCATCCTAGACTACGTATCCTTTCCGGTGTTGACGGGCTTCATCTCGGCCGCCGCTCTTGTCATCGCATTCGGCCAAGTCGGGTCCCTCGTCGGCCTCACAAACGTTCCCTCCGGCGTTTTCAACGTTATCGGTGACGTCCTTCGCCGTCTTCCAAAGTGGGATGGCCCGACCTGTGGTATCGGCTTCGGGACACTCCTCATTCTCATCGCTCTTGAGAAGGTTGGCAAGAAATGGGGCAAGCGACACTTCGCCATCAAATTCCTCGCCAACTCGAGGGCAGTTATCGTGCTGATAGTTTTCACTCTGATCAGTTATCTGGTGAACCACAGCCGTGCCAAATCCGATTACTCCTGGAAAGTAAGCCAAGTGAGCACTCATGGCATTACTCATCCTATTGTGCCAGCTTCCAACCTAATCCAGAAGGTTGCAACAAGAGCTGTTGCGCCCTTAGTTGCCAGTACCCTGGAACACTTGGCTGTCGGCAAGGCATTTGGAACGAAGAACAACTACCAAATCGACAAGAATCAAGAGTTCAATTACCTTGGTGTTGTCAACATTGTCAATAGCTTCTTCAGTACCATGCCCGTCGGTGGTGCCATGTCTCGTACAGCCGTCGCCTCGGAGTGCGGCGTCAAGAGTCCTTTGACGGGCCTGTTCACTGCTGCCTTCATCCTGTTGACCCTTTATGTCTTGTCTCCTGCTCTTTATTGGCTTCCTTCCGCCACTTTATCTGCAATTATTGTAAGACGCATTGAAAATCAGTTGACAAAGACTCGCTGACGCAGTTTCGTATTGTAGATCATGGCCGTTGTACATCTCGTTGGTCCATTGTCGCTCTTTTACCGTTTCTGGCGCATCTCATTCCCTGACTTCGCTGCCTCAATGGTCTCTTTCTGGGTCACCATTTTCGTTTCTGCCGAAATCGGCATCGGCGCTGCAGTATGTCACCCCTCTCAAGCTTACATTGGCTTACGCTGATCTCGTCCCTAGGTGGGATGGAGCATCGTCTGGACCATGTTGCGATCAACCTTTGTCAAGCCCGTTATTCACTCCAGCAACAATGAAACTACTCACACTATCCCCCAGCCGATTACCCGCATCGTCAGCGACGACGGTAGGCGGGGTACCGAGAACCGCACCGAGAACTCCGGCATCGCCATCCCTAGTGACACTATCGTCGTCGACTTCAACGACGCCATCTTCTTCCCTAATGCTGAGCGAGCAAAGAATTCGACTCTCACAGCAATCAAGCTGGTGTACCCTCGCGTCGAGACCAGCATGAGCCAAGACGACCGCGAGCGGCACTGGAGCGTTGCGGGAGAGAAAAGACTGGAGAGGATAAGAGCACAGAGGCAGATCCGGCTCAAGGAAACGCCCCTTGCAGTTGTCGTCTGGGACTTTACCATGGTACCATTCATCGATACGACAGGTCTCACGGCGTTGAAGGAGCTCAAAACTGAGATTCGGTCGCATTCTGGTAAGAGCGTCCAGATCCGGATGGTGGGCATGTCAGACAAGGTCCGCAGCCGGTTCTTAAGGGCGAAATGGGTCCTTGTCGGCTTGGAAGAGTGGAGGGAGGAGGACGCTGACTTGGTGTACCCCTCAATGGAGACTGCGATCTGGGATCGCGATGGAGAATCTGGACCAGACTCCTCCATTGAAAAGAAGGGTTAAGGACTTGGCATATATACTTGATGGCTAGCATCTGACTTCTTAATGACACGGGTTTGGCGGTTTTGTTACAGGGAAAGATATATCAGCTGCGCGTATACCAGCAGTCTCCTATCAGATGTTTGTTTCTGCATTCTGTAACTATCATGTTGACTTCGTTTTTGTCGTCCGGAAAGGTATCTGAATTGCCGGCCGCTTTGAAGAAGACCTTGAACCTCGTTATGTGTAGATATAAGGAGCCCAATAAATGTAGTCTGCCGTGGCAGATTGCACTGGCGCAACTCGGGTGGGTGGAAGCAAGTTGAATGCGCTGGACTACGCTGATGGCAACTAAACAACTTTCATCCAGCATCACCGCATGAAAAACAAGATCACCAAAATTGTTTCAAGAATCAGTTTCACTTCAAAGTATTTTAACTGCAGGAATGACCCAGTGTTTCATTCATGCTGTCTCCGGAACTTATTGTGCACTCGGTTGATGTTCAGGTTCATCGAACCATGTCGGAGACGCCCTTCTTTCTCTCTAGTCGAATACCTCTATTTCCTTATCGCGTCTTGGTTCCTTGATGCTGTATCCAAAATGCGGATACCACGACCACGCGAGCCGACCTATGTCAGAGGATGGCCCTAATTGTGCGTGCAATACTTTCGAATATCAGCGGCGGAGGAGAGAGACTCGTTCAGCTCAAAATAGGCCTGCCACAAGAGAATGTCAATAGCGATACTGTACAAATGGTAGGGGGGGCTGCGACTAACCAAATACCTGTGATTACAGCTTTCCCGTTGGTTTCTCACATAATGTCTCTGTCTTCACCCAGTCAGTAAGGAAACCCTTACTGGTAAGCCGCAATCGTCGTTCTTTGTTGTGCCTCTTCATTCATATCCTGCATCTTTGCTGCAGCCACCGAACATGACCTCGCTAAGGGGGTACTTCTTGAGACATGATATTCATGGAGGAACACCCGGCTGGCTAGGCCAGGCTTCCGCGCCGACCACCTTTTGACGGGAAGACGTTGCGGCTACCCAGCGGACCGACGGTTAGGAAGGACCAGTGGGTACCCATATGGATATCAGGTCGAGAACAATGACGCCCTGGAAGGTACAGAGGTCTTCAGACTTTTCCTGAAATCCGACTGGGAATGGCTCCATGAACCCGCGAAGCAGAAGCTCCGCTATTGCCAGCGAAGGGGGCACCACCAATGACACGGGCATACCCGGAAACGAGAGTGTAGGGTGGGACCTCGAGGCACGCTACCCTGCTTGCCCAGCAGGACGAGTCGGCGGCGGCAAGAACCCAGCTGGACCGACCCGAGACATTCACAAGTGAAGTCTGAGGTGGTTGAGACCGTACCGCCAAAAGGCAGAACCGGAATCCGGAGGGTGATGCCTCAGCCCAAAGTAGGGTGAACGACCGATCCAAATGGCCCTGGCGATACACGCATGCCCCGGCTTCCGAGCTCTCGACATCTCATCAAGAAAGAATTCTTGACCTCTTAGGGCCCAGCAACGGCAAGATAGGCAGGTGGGAGAGACACAAGAAAACAAGGCTGGGACACAAATGAGAAAATTGTGGTGCTTACCTTGGAAGCGGTGACTTGGTGGCGTTATCTTGAATCGGGTGCCCCGAAGGCTGGGACGTCTGGTGGGAAGTTGTTGTTGTTGTTGAGCATTTGTTGAGAATATATGTTGGAAGGTAAAGTATGAATGAGGGTGAGAAATCTCGAATGGGGGATGAAAACGTATTGAAAGATGATGGAAAGGTGGTTGTGGTTGAAGCTGAGGTGGTGAGGTGGTGAGGTGGAATCGAAAAGAGTTTGAAAGTTGATAAAAGTTTGTGAAGACGGGCGAAGAATAGAAAGATAATCATGCAGAAATAAAACTGGGCAGATGAGTAGAAGGGTGAAAACCCTGTAAAACGTGGGCTTGCAGGTCGAAGTGAGGGTAAGAAACACGGGTGGAAGTGAAGGTGAGGGTAAGAGGCTGGCTTGAGAGCCGTGCTGAAGCCCAAATAAGGAAGGAGAGGGGGATACGCGGCTTCACCTGCCCGGGCTATAAGATCTCAGCCTCGGCTCTCAAAATCTCACTTCACCTTGGACAAGACTCTTCTCCGAATCGTTCGCCACCACTTGCACCAAACAACAACAGAAACGACGGGGAGTCAAAGATCAACAAGTCCATCCTCGGACTCTCACTGTTCTCAAATCCTCCATCGATACCTACTCAACATCCTTTGCTTTGCTTCTTTTCTGATCGGTAAGATTTTCCCATTGCATGCTGAGTTTCTGATTATCAGCACCGGATTCAGCTACAAATCAATACGCATGAGCGCACTGAGTTGCAGTCACTGGGCTGTGCCTTCATAACAACAACTTCTTTCTCTGTGATACTTCATATCTGATGAAGCATCTTCCTGACTCTTTCTGCAGGGAGAACTTCAATCCTTTCACACAAAATACCCCCAACTTCAACACACAAGATGGCCAGTAACAGCATTGATAAGCTAGAGATGGTGAGTTGATTTCTTATACCACATGAGGCTTTCCTTACTCTCTACTCCCCTTGACGTACTCATACTTAAGACTGTGGACTAACTGAGAAAGGCTGATGACTTTGCGGACTTTGAGTTTGTCTTCTCCATCGAGGACATGGAGAAGGCTCTCGCAGCAGCCGTTGTAGAGGCCAAGAACGATCTTGCCAAGTATGAGAGCAACCATCTTGACGAGGTTTCCCGTCTCAACGACACCATCACTATGCTTGAGAAGCAGCTCACAAAGACTGGGCGTGAGGCTAAGAACGAGCTTGCAAGAGCAAGAGCAGCCATCTTAACGAGGTTTACCGTCTCATGAACACCATCACTATGCTTGAGAAGCAGCGCGTAGAGACCAAGCGCAAGGCCATCAATGAGCTTGATAAGAACGAGAGCTACCATGTTGACGAAGTTTGCAGTCTCAATGACACCATCGCTACGCGTGAGGATCAGCTCACAGGGACTGAGCATGAGGCTAACAAGAAGCTTGCCAAGAACCGAGAATTCAGACAAGCAGTCCAAGAACAACAATAACGATAGTCGCAGTATTTCCCGTTTCAATCGTACCATCCACAAGCCTAAGATGGTTAAGGAGGTCCAGATGAATGCCAGCGCAGCTTATGTTCTTAACGAACGCGTCTAGGAAACCTTTTTTTCTTCATTGGTTTCTTCATGTGTCTCCTATAGTTGGCGTTTGGGTTTTCAGCAACGAGGTCTATGGGTAAAGACATCGGCATTGGGGTGGCCGAAGGGGAAAACAGAGATCATCTAGACCCTAGAAACTAATCAATTGTTGAGATGAACCATTACAATAGACCAGAGACCTGGAGCTGGAGGTCTGGTACCAAGCCTTACGGCTCTTCTAGTGCTCGAAACCCATGATGTGACGATGTTGATGGGTGGCGTCAGGTGTATTGGACAAGTTCAGAGTAGAAACTCCTGTATTTTCATTTGAAGGCAATGATGATGTTCGCCTGAATGTAGCCTTCCTCTCCGATATCATAGAAAAAGAAAACCACGTTTGACCCGCAACAGCCAACAAAAGCCCATAATCTAGGTAGACAACATATTGGTAGCCTGGCTTGGTAAGGTTAAGTCAGCCAACCCAGGTCCAGCACCCTATCAGCCACATCTCGGCCGACTCGGACACCTGCGCCACAGCCAAATGTACCCCTCCCTGTACGAACCGCTGGCCCAGTCTCTCAAAGGCGGTCGCCCGATCGGGAGACCTCCCACACCGAAGATCAGCGGGGCAGTTTTTCTGCCGAGCGCTCGGTGAACAATAATTTTATCCCAAGAAGCCTCAATCCCACCCATCACCGTCACAAAGACAACCCAAACACCCAATTGAGCAGCAGATAGTCCTGCTCTCCCCACCTCTAGTCAAAATGGCGTCCCAAGAAAAAAATATGCCATTCATCAAAAACCTGGCCTCCAGCGGTTCGTCCCCCAGCCCCCTCCCCCCGTCCTCATCGCGCGCGCGCAAGAGAGAAAGAGAGAGACAGAGGCCCAAACTCCCCAGACCCTAACCCCCCTCAACCGAAAGGATAAACCGAGCTAACATCTATATTTCCTCCCTTTCATCCAGACCGCAAACTCCGGACCCAGGCCCTGACCTCGCTCCAGACCTTCCTCGGCTCCCACCGCTCCCTCAGCCGCCTCGACGCCCTCAAGCTCTGGAAGGGCCTCTTCTACGCCATGTGGATGTGCGACCGCCCCGTGCCCCAGCAGAACCTCGCCGCCGAGCTCGCCGCCCTGACCGCCTGCCTACGCGACGACGACGTGCCCGCCTGGCTCTCCGCCTTCTGGGAGACCATGGCCCGCCAGTGGACCGACATCGACGTCCTCCGCATGGAGAAGTTCCTCCTCCTCGTCCGCCGCGCCTTCGCCGCCGGCCTGCGCTGGGTCCGCGACGCCGACTGCGCCCCCGCCCGCGCCGACGCCCTGCTCGCCGTCTGCGCCGAGTTCCCCTTCGAGCTCGAGGGCGACCTGCGCAAGGTCCCCGTCGGCCTGCGCCTGCACGCCGTCGACATCTGGGTCGACGAGCTCGAGCGCCTCGGCATGCTCGCCGGGGACGCCGCCGACGAAAAGACCGTCGCCTTCGCGCGGAGGCTGAGCCAGCTCGTCGAGCCGCTCAAAAGGTCGCCCGTCAAGACGGTGCGCGCAAAGGCCGCCGACGCCGTCGAGGACGAGAGGCTGCCGTGGGTCAAGGGCGAGGCCGACGAGGACGCGACGCCGGCGCCGGTGACGGACGGCGACGCCGCGGATCAGAGCCGCGACGACGACGACGAGTGGGGCGGCATTGACGAAAAATAGAGGAACAGCGGCTTTTTTTTCCCCTTTTTTTTTTTTTAACTTTTGGGTGGGCTTTCCCCCTTGTTTTTATGTCTTTGCTGCATGGGACGGTGAACACGGCGTCTGTTTTATTTACTTTTCTCCTCCTCTGCATGGCTTGCTTGCTTCATCTTTTTTCTATAGAATGGGAAAGGCATGGCTTTCCACACACAAAAGTTTTCAGGGACACTTGGACGGCGGTGACGGGAATAAAAAATATAAGAGTAAAAATCGAAATCAAAATTAAGCAAGTATTATGCATGCGACGCTATTCTATATGTTCAATGGGCTCGTCTTGTGCCAGGCCGCGGCCGGATATGTGCAACCAACCGGTCGGGCAATGACGGTTATTTTCCCGTCTTGCGTCTGTCTGGGTATCTCGACTTTTCTTCCTCTTGAATGAATGAACCACGCTACTCCAACGCCTCAATCGCCCCTTCACAGTCCGCTCTTATTATCCATCGCTCAGGAGCCACGCACAGCAGCTCAGAGCGACGGTGGCCGCCGCCGCCGCCACCTAAGCCCCGATCCTGCTCTTTTCCCAGCCCGCGGGGCCGGGTCCCTCGTACTTGCCTCTCTTAGAGATGACTCGGCCGAGACCTGGGTGGACCTCGGCCTGGAACGGCTCGAACGGCACCTTTTCTCCGTCGATGCTGATGTAGCCGTTTTTCTGGTTCCGGGGGATGATGCGGTACGCCGAGATCTTGCGATACGAAACCAGAGGGTTGTCAAACAGCTTACCGCTATCGACGCCTAGGATCAGGCTCAGCTGGTTCGATACGGACACGTCTCCGTTGATGCAAACGAGGTCCATAAGGCCGTCGTTGGGGAGCGCCGCGGAGAAGAAGTTGGCGTCAGCGGCCATGAAGGGCATCTGGAAGTCTGAGTCAGCTCAGTCGTCTCGTGCACGAATCCCCCCCCCCCCAAAAAAACCCAACTTACGTTTCCGCAGTAAAAGTTGCCCATCTTGTCATGGGGTATCAGTTCCCATCCGTCGGGAAGATCTTCGTTGATGGTGCCGTATTTTAATGGCGGGAGCCCTTGCGGCTCCGCATCTTGGTTCTGGGCGGCGTCGGCATTCTCCGCTCTGGGCGCCTCGGCCGTGCCTAGGCTCGTCGATGAAGCTTTGTGCGTATACTGTCTGTAATGCTCCTTGACGCCGGGTTTGTCCTCGATCTCCACCTTGACGGCGAGGTCGCAAGGATAGCACTTTTTCTCAAAGATCCTCATGAGGTATCCCCACGTGAACCGAGCGCCGCCCATCCACCGCAGGTGCTCGGTGCCCAGATCGCTCTCGGCCACGATACCAAGTGACTGGCTCAGGAAGCTGAGCGTCCGTCTGTCTCCTTGCGTGATACTGATCAGATCCATCGGGGTTTCGACGCCCTTGATGAGGGCGAGGGCGGCGATGGATGCCCGGTGCGAGCCGTAGAGGTTGATGCTCATGGCGTTGCCCGAGCCGCAGGGGATGTGCGAAACGGCAATCTTCCGGAGAGCGCGCGCCGCGTCCGGTCGCTGGGCCAAGCCGTTGAACACCTCGTGGGCCAAGCCGTCGCCAGAGCAGGTGACGATGGTGTCGAACGCGTCTATGTCGACCTCCCGCGCCGTCTTCAGAGCTTGACCCGAATAGGTCGTCAGCTCGACGTCCATGGGCATGCGCGCGGCCTTGAAGAGAGGCTCGCAGTCGACGCGCCACTTCTTCTCGGCGCCCCCCGGGCCCGCGTGCGGATTGACCAGGACCTTGGCTCTCTTGCATCGCTTCGCGGGCCCGTAGGCTTTCGTCAAGAGGGTGTCGACCCATGATTGGACGTCGGCGCCATCGGCCTCGTTGATGGCAAAGGTCAACTTGGCGGCCTGGACCCTGTTCTTTGCAACCTGCTTGGCGTAGTCGATGACGAGGGACTCGTTCGTTTGCTCGGCCCAGAGGACGTTGTACAAGGGAATCGTGTGCGTGGCCGAGGTCGCTGTCGCGTAGGGTGTTAGCAAACTGTGACAGCAGGGATCAGGCGCGGGTGTCGTAAAGACGGACCTGATGCGCCAAAGCCAGCGAAACCGCAAGTTCTATGAGCTTTCGTTGCCGTAGGGTCTTGGAAGGGTCAGCCACCCGAGCATCACTGGCGGCAGAGCGCTTGTGGGTTCCAACACACCTTTCAGAATGAGATTCTCAGCAACCAGGGTTAGAGACTTGTTACCGTCAACCTTGATTGCGTCGAGGGGCCCGATTTGCGAGGCAGGTTTGCCGTACAGCTGGGAGGACTCGGAGATGGACTCTGTCACAGCCGGTGCCGCGTTGGTCTGGCCAGGGACGTTCGCCATGGTGGATTGTAGCTCGAAGAGGCTGCGTCAGGCTGTTCACATACTAGGGCGGGCGCGATGGGGGGGGAAGGAGGGTCTCTCGCGCCGGATTGACAAAAGACGTGGATAGGTATCAGGACGTGATAGTTCGTATTCGTCTACGAGTTGGGAGGTAGTAAGGCGATGATGTGGTAAGCGACAGGCGAAGAAGTGAGGAGAAGAGAAGAACACCGGACCCGTCGGGACAGGAAGACTAGCTGAGCGAGTGAAGAGGGGGACAAGGGCAAACAAGAGAGGCGAGGAAGAAAAGGGGAACGGGTCGATGTCAGCAGGAGGCGCGACGACACATTGTTTTTGTCACTCGTCGACTGTTCTTTATTTGTTTATTGGCCAAGGGAGTAGACGGCACCCTGGCTTGAGTGCGTTGTTGGCTCTTCCCTGTAATCGCGGGGTTTTCTTTTCTTCGGTACGCGAAAAAGCGAGATAGATAGAGCTAGAGAGAGAGAGAGAGAGAGGAGAGAGAGAAAATGAAGCAGGCTGATCAGCTGTCGTATCTTTCCAAACAAGGAAGAAGGGCACACAGGAGGGTGAGGGACAGAAAGAGGAAGGAGTCAGAAGGGAGCATGTCCTAGAGCCCATGATGGACAGACAGAGACACATTGCCAGGTCAAGGTTCAGGTGCAGGATTGTTTGTGGACGTGGATGGCACGGTGTACCTGCTCAATCCCCGTCCGGCTTCAGCGGGCCCACGGATGGATCGGAGATTGACCCACACATACGGATAGATATATACTTGACTTCTGGGTGACCACTCGCATTGGAAACATGTACCGCGCTATTGTCGACACTGATCACGGCGGTGCGATAAGCCCGGACAGCAGGCACGGATGCGCGCTGCACTGCTGCAGGCCGTCCAACTGACGCTAATGCGAGGGGTCCGCGGGCACCCGTGGCGGGCACCCTCGCCGGCCGCCTGGTCTCGAAGAGGTGATGTAGCCGAGAGTCGAGTTGAACTTGCCGAAAAGACTGCCGCAGCTTGATGCAAATTTGTTGGACGGCGTAAACGACGACGTTTTAGACTGCTACAATGAGACTTCAATGCTAGGCAGATAAGGGGAATATACACGGCGCGAAGAGAGGAGAGTGAAAGAAAAGGACCATGGGATGGGATATGAAGCCCGACACGCCCCCCCCCCCCCCCCCCTCCCCCTCCAAGCCTTATTGGCAAAGGGTCCGATCCATCGACAAGAATGCAAGCAAGGTCCGGGTGAATACCTTATCTGGGGAAGGAGGGGGGGTGGGTGGCTGGGGTAGGAATGGAACATCAATAGTGCAACCTCTTTCGCTGGAAGCGGTGACTTGCTGTCTGATGCATGTCACGGGCTGTCAATCCTTAGTTGATGGTGATGTTGTGAGTACCTATATCCGTATACATCATACTATCTCGTGCCCAAGAGACTAATTAGTGACTGACTGGGAATGACGTGGGGGCTTTTGACGCCGACCAACGCTAATTATCGTACTCACGTGCCCGGCCTTCCGCGGCCTGGTGCCCTCGCCGTCTCGAGCAACCCCTTCCCGGCTGCTAGGTTTGAGGTTCTATATCATGCTGATCCTCTTTTCCGGAAAAGATCTGCATGCGTTGCGAGAGGGGAAGACAGAGAGAGAGAGAGAAAGAGAGGCCAAAATGCCTTTGCCGACTCTATCCTTTGGACGACGAGCAGACAACATCTGGCAATCATGCTCCCGGTCCGACCGCCGCCTCGCATTGTACGAGAAGCGTTGCAAAATAGCGCGAAGAGTAGCGCTAGGTACTCGGACGGGCGGGATAGAGAGTGAGAGGACAATGCCTTTGTCATCCTTCAGACCTCGAACTTATAGACAGATAGGGGAGAATGAATGAATGAATGCTACGCGATTGGGGTCGGGGAGGGAGAGAGGAGAGAGTAATAAAGGCGGAAATCGTCATCTCCACGTGGAACCCGTCAATGTCTGTGTCTGAAAAAGAATGCCATCTGGCGCATTTAGGTCGCCAAACCAATCTCCCATCCTGTTTCCCCAATCATAACATGATCCAATGTCACAGTTTGTTTAGGTCAGTTACCTAACTAAGGTAAGCAAAACGGGAGCGGAGATTCCCTAACTGGCGACGGTCGAGCATCCAGGGCCACCTGTCCCGCCACCACTCGGCCAATGGGCACCTTCCGTGCGCGCTTGATCAGGCAATAATTGGCCAATCAGCCTTGGCCCGCAGCGCCGGCTGCTCCAGGATACCTGGCAGCCTGCGTACCTACCTGGCTGGGCACGTACCTACCCCGGCGCTCCAGATATCGGGCGGGAGGAGGGGCGCACTTGCCCCGGGGACGGCGGTCCTCATTCACAATCTCTCATTGTTGCGGAAAACCTTTGACTCACAACGCATTGTTCTCGGTGAGCCAATCTCAAATTCTTTGCTTTATATCACTATCCCCGTCTCGAGCACGATTGCAACCACATAACGCAATCTCGCCAGCTACACACACACTTACCTATCTACATAGAGGTAAACACACATAAACACCCATCAAGGCCTGTCATGGCCTCTCAGCCTCCTCCGGTCGCGGGGTCCGGCCACACCGCCGCCGCCCTGCCGCTCATCGACATCAAGCCCCTCCTCAAGAAGCTCTGGCCCGTTCCGGAGGCCGGCCTCAACGTCACCCCGGACGAGATCGCCGAGGCCATCTCCCACTTCTTCACCCACCAGGTCTCCGACGCCCAGGCCGCCTCCCTCCTCATCGCCCTGCACTTCACCAATCTCGACCGCCGCGCCGACGTCATGGCCCGCTCCGCCTACGTCATGCGCCGCGCCGCCGCCGCCGTCGACCTTGACGACCTCGCCGCCGTCATCCGCCGCAAGGGCCTCGCCGCAGGCGCCTACGCCGGCGGCCTCTGCGACATCGTCGGCACCGGCGGCGACGCCCACAACACCTTCAACATCAGCACCACCGCCAGCATCCTCGCCTCCGCCCTGCTCCTCGTCGCCAAGCACGGCAACCGCGCCAGCACCTCAAAGTCCGGCTCCGCCGACCTCGTCAACAACATGCGGCCCCGCCCCCCCGTCCTCACCGCCGTCTCCCCCGCCACCGTCTCCGCCGTCTACTCGGCCACCAACTACGCCTTCCTCTTCGCCCCCGTCTTCCACCCGGGCATGCGCTACGTCGCCCCCATCCGCAAGGAGCTGCCCTGGCGCACAATCTTCAACCTCCTCGGCCCCCTCGCCAACCCCGTCGAGGACATCCTCGAGGCCCGCGTCATCGGCGTCGCCCGCAAGGAGCTCGGCCCCGTCTTCCTCGAGGCCCTCCGCATCGGCGGGTCCCGGAAGGCCATGATTGTCTGCGGCGAGGAGGAGCTGGACGAGGTCAGCTGCGCGGGGCCCACCCTGGTCTGGAGGCTGACCGAGACGCCCGACGGCAGCATCGCGACGGACCACTTCCGCGTGCAGCCCAGCGACTTTGGCCTGGGGACCCACCCCCTCGACACCGTCTCGCCGGGCAAGGAGCCCGCCGAGAACGCCGAGATCCTGCGGGGTATACTCGAGGGCGAGATGGCCGACGACGACCCCATCCTTGAGTTCGTGCTCATGAACGCCGCGACCCTGTTCGTGGCCTCGGGCATCTGCGAGGCCGAGTCTAGCAGCATGGGCCCCGGCGACGACGGCCAGGTCATCACCGAGAGGGGACCTGGCGGAGGACGATGGAAGGAGGGAGTGCGGAGAGCGCGCTGGGCCATCAAGAGCGGCGAGGCTTGGAGGCAGTGGAGCGCATTCGTCGACGTCACGAACGGATTCAACGAGTAAAGGATTGTGTGATTAGAAAAGACCCATTTTGTGAGGTTATACGATATATATAGAAAATAGAGGGGGGGATGAAGGGTTGGATGGGCGGTTCACCGGTATTGAGATGAATTGGAACGGACATGACGGCCATTGACATGGTTGCAACACTAGAAAAATTAGGCGCCTCGACATGCGCGATAGCTCCGACGAATCTGGAGTCCCAAAAGTTTTTGTAGCACTCTTCTATCATAACTTTTTGATGCCTATATCCTCATCCGGGGACAGATGCAGTAGCACATATCCCACGCCCGACCTTTTCCCTCCCCCCCAGTCTTGGCTTCCCTTCCTCGACCAGGAAAACACCTGCCCATATCCATTTGGGTTTGCTCAAATGTTAGGGTATTCGAGGGCTGCAAAATGTCGCAAAATATCGCAAAACTAAGCTCGGCTTAGCTCAGGCCAGCATGAGCCGGTTCGTGATCCTCCGGAAAGGTGACAAAAGACGCTGTCCTTCACTCCTAGGCAAAGACGGTTACCTCGGGCCATCGCTCATGCGCCGCCTTCTTGAGGGTTTCGGCTTCGCTGCTTCTCCACGCCTTAAGAATGTCGTAGACTTCCGCGGCGAGCTCGAAGGTGGCCTCGGGCGCCTTGACAACATTGGCGAGGTCGGCCTCGGTCTTGGGTCGGTCCTCCCCAAGAACTCTCCGGGTCTTAAGCGCGGCGACAATGTACGGGGGCTTGGACTTGTTGTTCGCTAAGAACTCCTCGTTGTATTTCTTCAGGTCCCCAGCAGGGGGCGTAAACTCGGACTTGATGAGTTCTTGCACCTTCGCAGGCAGGCTCTCGAGGGCGGGTCGGACAACGTGAGCGAACTCAACGATCCGCTCGTGGACCCTGGGGTGAGCCTCGTCCAATTCACGGGCAGCGTTGAGGCAACGTAGCGCGAGAACGTACTTCTCTGAAATTGTGTTAGCACTGTTTGTAATGATGGAGGGTTGTGGAAAGGCTTACTCCTGCGCAAGTAAACGTCGAAGCCGGCAAACTGGGCCTGAATGTTTTTGGGGCTGAATTGCAACAAAGGAGTGACGAAACGCATGGCGGCACCAAGGGGCTCGGCGTCCAGGAGCTTGAGGCCCAGAGGATCCTCGTCCTTCTTCTTCGGTTCTTCGCTAGGCTTGCCCTTGTTGGGGTCCTGTTTGGATGCGCGCTCGGCGGCTTCGCGCTCCAAACGCTGCTGCTCCTTCTTGGCCTTCTTGGCGGCCTTCTTCCTCTCAGAGGCGTCGTCGCCGTTGGCATCGCCGTTGACGCCGTTCGCTGACGGACGATCGGCGCGCTTGAGGTAAATGGCCACGGCGTCCAACGCAGCTCTCGAGTAGAAGGGGTGGTCGCGAAGGTGATCCTCCCATCGGACCATGTCGACATAGGCTCGGATTTGGCCCTTTCTCAGAGAGAAGCTGTGGAAGTCAAACTGGTCTTCTTGCCAAACATCGAAAATGTTGTGGACAGTGTGGAATCGCTTGAGCGCCAGGGCGTCGTCGCCCTGTCTGGCACACGCCTCACCCTCCTCTGTCAGATACCAGACACACTGCATGTCCAGGAGATCGGCAAGCGGCCCGCCGACGGTGTCTGCTCTGGTGAACAGGCCGACGGTCTTCAGTGCCTTGTCGTTTTCGTTGTTGCGCAGCTGGTATTTGGCGGCCTTGGTGTTGATGTAGCGGTCCCGGGTATCCAGGGTACGGGCCTTGTCCATGGTCTCGGAAGCCTTTTGGAGGTTGCCCTGGTGCTTCCATATCCTGGCCTTGGTCATGGTGAAGTCGACGCTGTCGGGGACCTTCTCGATAGCCTTGTCTACGTACTCGTGAGCCTTGGCCAGATCGCGACTCAGGTGGTAGTTGTAGTGTTGAGCGAGGAAGTAGAGGGCCGCGGCCTCGCCCTTTGAGCGGTCGCCATTGGTCGATTCCGAGCTGGAATCCTGGGACTCTAGGTACTCCTGAGCCAAAGCCTCTAGGGCCTCCTTCTTTGAGGAATCGGAGTAGAGGTGCTTCAGGTTGGCGAACGTTGAAGGAACGCCCTTGTTGAACATGAGCGTCAGGTACTCCCGGGCCGCAGTGCGGAAAGCATCGCCTGGAGACGTTAGTAACACAGAAATCAAGCCACGAGGGGCAGACCTACCGGACAAGAAGCTCAGGGGCAACCGGCGAGGCGCATCTGAGCGGGGAAACTTCTTTGCGTATGTTTCGTAGACTGCTTTTCTGGCATCCAGATCACTGTCGGCAAAGCCATGGGCACTCTCCAAGCCCTTAAAGTAGGCAGGGCGGTCCGGGTTGCGCTCAACAAGAGCCTCCCATGCGGCAACGGCCTCCTCCTTCTTGGCCAACTTGACCAAGTACTTGGCGCGCAGCTCCAAGTATTCAAGCCTGTCGAGGCTGTGCTTTGCAGCAGTCTCGAGGTGCTCGAGGGCTCGCTGGTAGTCACCCTGCTCTGCAATGATGGTGTTCTTGTACATGACGGCCTCGGAGTTCTCGTAGTCTCCCCGGGAAGGCGTGGACTTGAGCGTGCCCTCGTAAGTGGTCAGGACGTTCTCGGCCGCGGACAAGTCACCGGCGAGGTGATGGGCGATGGCCAGCGCAGTCCAGCTCTGGCGCAGCTGGGGGCGCGCCTGCAGCATGGCTGTGCGACTCTGGATGTACCCGGCATAATCGCGCATCTGCACCTGAAGGATGGCCAGGTCCCGCTGGATCTGAGTCGACTCTGGCTCGAGCTTCAACGCAAACTTGTAGGCCTTGATGGCCTCCTCGAAGTTCTTGTTGGCGCGGTACAGCAGGCCGTAGACGTGCCAGCAGATGTGCGACTTCATATCCACCGTCAGGGCCTCCTTGCCCAGCGCAAAGGCCTCCTCGGTCTTGCCCTGCGCGTTCATGATGAGGGCCTTCATGGCCATGGTGTCGCCATGCTTGGGGTTCTTCTTGAGGATCAGGTCGGCGGACTTGAGACCGCGCTTGTACTGCTTGTCCTCATAGGCACGGATGACGGCTCGAAAGAGGGAAGCCTCTTTCGAATTGAGAGGTTGCGGCATCGGATCGGTATTTGGCCGGAGTTGGAGCTACCGGCACTAGTATGAAAAGAGGTACGGCTCGTCGAGGAGGAGCAGAAAGAAACGAGCCTGCGGCGATTTGGGTGACGCCAGAGATGCGAACTGTCTTTCTGGATGCTGAATCGCAGGACTTTTGCCTGGAGGGGCCGTCGAGGAGGGGTAACTGCAGTCGTCTGACCGGAACGGCTCTTCGAAGAGAAAAGAGGGTGGGATCGACGAGCGGGATGCAAAGAGCAGAGGCCGGTTGTGTCGGGGACCGAGTCTCGTGTCTTTTCGAGGAGAGAGAGAGAGAGAGTGGTGGAGGATGTTGGTGAAGGTGGAAGATGGTTGAGACGTGAGTCCACAATCGGAGCTGAGTGTTCACAACCAGAACGGAATTGAAGTTGGAGAAACTTGGTGCTTTCAGCCACACAGATGTTCCAAGGCTGCGGCGGGCTGGCTGGCTTCAGTGGCCGCCCATTTGCCGAGCCCAGCCAGAGTATCACCTGAGAGTACCGTCCAGCGGCACCGCGGGGGCTGATGGTGGGGCAAAGCCACTGAAATGGCCGCTTTCCACTGCAGGCGCGCGCGCGCACGTTCCACCCACTCTCGACAATGAGCAGTCGTTCGTTTGGTGGGGGACGATTTTTTGACTGCTGGAAATCGTATCGTCATGGATACTGACTGCAGCATTTGGACCAGAGACGCAACGATCGCTAACCCAAGGTACGAGAGAGAACCTATTTACTTTTTGCTCGTTGTTCTTCAGGGTTCAAATGAAGAGCCCGGTGTCCCTGCCCAGAACTCGATTGAGGCTTGCTTTTCTTTGCTGTGAAACGATCAGTCGTGCCATGGGGTAGCTATGGCCGAAGCACTTTCACCATTCTCTTCAGTCTATCATTACTTATCCAGCCGTGTGTTACAATGTTGTTACAAAATGCACAGTCATCACATGCTGCCCTGCAGCTGCGCCTGGTACATCAGGCTGAACTTCATCGCTCGTCTCCCTCCCGGCCAGTCCTCCGTCGCCAACTCTCCAGGGCTTGTTCCCACGTATCCGCAGACTCACCGCACCTTTGCTTAACCATGTCCCAGGTCCGTGTCCTCACGATGTTCTCGACGCCCTTCTCTTGCCGTATGAGCATCGCGAGCTGCTCCGTCCGGGGTTCCCGCGGGAAGAACCTAGCCGAGTAGGGGTCCAGGCGCTCGTCAACAACCCGCTCCTTGTCCTTGGCGTCCTCAATCTGTCGCAGCAGAGCTTCGGGGTCATCGGGGTCAGGGCTCGTTGCAACAACTCCGCAATAGTGAAGGACCTCTGCGCGGGCGTGCCATGTCGGAAACAGCGCTTTATCCTTGAAGTTCTGGCACGCCTGGGGGTCTATCTGTCGCGGGAATGTGCGCGACGTCCGTTGGGCCGTGGAGGTGGGGTCAAAACCGGCGCGGGCGGGTGTTGCTAGAGCGTTGAGGTTCTGGGTTATCGAGTCGTCGATGCTGGCTCGGGATAGTCTAAGAAAGGCTGATGGGACATATCAGAGAGATGCCATTTTTTTAGGGAGGTAATCGGGAATAGTTCTGGATTAACCAACCTCTCAAAGACCCTGTTGAGAAACAGAACTGTGGCGTGAGGTGCGGTTGAGATGGCGGTTGGGCCATGGTATCCTCGGGGAGAGGGTTCGAGGGTTTTGCGCCGGCCGCCACGGGTGACGACTCTTTCTTCCAAAGTATGCCCGCCAGGTTGACAGATGCTGTTCAAATATTGGGCTATGGTACCGAATGATGCAGAAACGAAATGGTAAAAGATTGAGCGTTGAGGTCTGCGCAAAATGTTACTAGGAGGTGATGGCCACTGCAAGTTGGATTACGTCGTCAACGGCAAGCTGTAGAAGAGCTCGGAGCATGAAATGCCTGGGCGCTACGTACGATGTACTTGCCTAGATAGGTACTTACCTAGGTAGTGGGTAGATAGGTACCTACTCAGGTACCAAGCTAGGCAGGTACCCTTGGCAGACTGATATGAGCTCTGATTGGTGTGAACAGTCCAACCAATCACATGTCAAAATGAGCTCCTATGATGGACATCTTTCGGATTATCATAGGACCGCTACACGAGTCAGTGATCCATCCGTGTTGCCTCGCTGGTCTGTGCGGCGTGCCTGCCGAATGTGGCCTTATGCACCGTTGGTCCCTGTTCCAGAGTGGGTTTCCAGGGATTACCAGAGTCACTCAATTTCTCTTTTCTTTTCTTATCTCTTCTCTCCCACGTGTTTTTCTGCTTTGACCGAACCTTCGGTCTTTGAGCAATACTTTTAGTGGCCTGACAGGCTGACATGCTTTTCCATAGCTCCGGGAGCCACAACCAAATGCAGTTTATTCGATCCGAACCTCGTCATTGTCCCCCACCTCCCATCATCCTGCCAATTCAACCCTTACCCCCTGGACACACAGGCATCAACATCCATCACTTGACTATTCTAGGATCTGTTCCCAGGTTGCATGCCTACCCTCTTTCAGTCTGGCCTATTCCCATATCCCCACCATAATTATGGAGATGGGGTTTCGTTTCACCCCGGTGAGCCAACCATCATCTCCTGTTCATCTCAATACGCAGGCTTGATGAATCGGCACAGACACGATGTTGGCTTTTCTACCCGAGGTTATCCTTCTTGTTTCTTTTTGTTCTTCGACCGAGAACCGGGGGATCGCTTTCCGTACAAAAGATATCAGAATCTCTCGCCTTATCCCCCACACTGTCGCCTACATAACTTGGTGGCATACCCGCATTGCTGGGCCTAGCAGTGCTTCATCTCGCCAAGCTGCGCCTTCAATATCCCCCCTGCCTAGCATCATCGCCCCAGCTACCGTATTGGGACCGCGCCGTTTTGTTCTGGACTACCTATGGGAGGAGCCCTACCTGTTCGTCAGGTTCGCCCCCCCCCCCCCCCCCCCCCCCCCACGTCTCACGCGTCAACGTTACCCATATTTTCCCTCTCACATAACCTAAAAGACGACGGCTTCCTCTCCAACTTTGTTGGACCCATCTCTGAACTCGACGCCATCTTGCACTAATGCCTTCGCCTTTTGACCAGTCCGGCCATGGACTCCCCGGGACGTCTCCCCGGCGTAGGCCTGGCCGATTTGATACGCGCTTCGGAGCTCCTTGCTGACCGGTTCGATCTTGTGGCCAAGAGCCTCAACACGGCACCAGTCACCTTGACTGCTGTCGCCAAAGAATGCCGTGCCGTCACCGATGCTCTGCGCCGTTTCAAGTACCTCCGCGAAACCATCCCGGAAACACTGGTTTTCGATCCTGTTCTCCTCGACGAGTCCTGCCATGACGCCTTGAACTCCATTTTCAACGACTTGTCGTCACTCGATATCTACAGCACACGAATCCGCCCTGCCACGAGTGACAGTAATGTCGACATGTCCTCGGGTCAGATCACCATCATCTGGAACGAATCGTATTTAAAGCAAATGATTCGTCAAACCAAAATCAGCCGCCAATCTCTCGCCTTTCTCCTTAATTGTGTTCCAAGGTCAGTCAGTCACAGCCTGCTTGACCAATCTGTACTTACACCACAAACTCAGCGAACATGTTACATCCAAAAACCTCTCTACATTCATGCATTCTTCACGCTCAGTGCCATGGCATTGTGCCATGAGCCCAGCAGTGCTTAACAAAGGCAGTCGCTTACGGCTGTCAACCACTAGGGCCCGCCCGCGACCTGATATCTACCCCATCAGCGACCTGTCCGGGATTCACTCGGCCTTGAAGAGACTCAAGCCGCCTCCGGGCACAATCTACCGGCAAAGTCCGCGAACGACCAAGGATCTTCACGACGCCATCGACCACGAAGACGAGGCTGCTGTGGTGAAACTGTTGCTTCAGAGAATCGACCCAAATGTACCTCGCTTTGGCTCAAAGCTTTCGCCTTTGCGCCGCGCTCTCGGCCGCCAGACCCCATCCCTCGTGACGTTTCTGGTTATGGCCGGCGCAGATCTCGAGGACCGCGATGATCAAGGCGAAACGATTCTAATCACGGCCGTCAAGTACGCGTACTCCGATAAGATCATTGCACTGTTGTGCGACCTTGGCGCAAATGTCAACGCTGTTGACAACCTGGGATGCTCCGCTTTTCACCATGCCGCCATGTCAGCTAACGAAGACGATACTCTCGCTGTGCTTATACATGCTGGAGCGGACGTCGATCACAGGGATTTCGCAAGCCGGACGCCTTTAATAGCAGCCGTCCAGAATTACCGTTTCAAAAACATTGAGAAGCTGCTTGAATACGGCGCTGACCTAGAGACTCGTCTGCAAAATGGCCAGACGGCGCTCCATGTCGCCATATCAATGAAAAGCAGGCCCATGACGGAGTTTCTCTCAGATCAGGGTGCCTACCTCGACCGACCGGTCAATGGGCATACCGCCTTGACATACGCAATAGCCACGGAGTGTTCCGATATTGCCGAGGTGCTGATCGAGGCGGGTGCCGATGTCAACTTACCTGGTTCACAAGGTAACTTTCCGCTACAAGCCGCAGCCGCAGTTGGAGACCAGCGCACCACAAAGCTTCTACTTTCCCGAGGAGCCAAATACGAGGCCATTGGAACTGATGGGTTTCTACCCGTTCACATAGCAGCCCATGAAAATCAAGTCGAGGTGCTGCGCCTCCTACTCAAGGCCGGATCCGCGATCGACCCCATCACCGAACGCGGCGAGACCCCCCTCACAATTGCGACATACTTTGGATGCTTCGAGGCCGCTCAATCTCTGATCGAAGCCGGCGCGGACGTCGACTACGCCACACTTGGGGCCGACAATATCATCTGCCAGGCACTTAAAGCCGGCCACACACGCATCGCCGTAGCTCTAGTCCAAGGAGGTGCGGACATCACTTACACGTTACTACGAAACGCCAGCATGACGCCGCTGCATCTTGCAGCCCACTATGGGCAAGACGACGTCCTTGCCGCCATGATTAACGCAGGGGCTGACCTAGAGACCCGAACCTGGCCTGGCTTCACGCCGCTCTTTCCCGCCGTCCGGGCTGGCCATCTTTCTACTGTGCGTCTGCTCCTAGCAGCCGGCGCTTTTCCGAGAGTGCGGTCGATGTCTGGCGCGAATCTGCTATTTGTCGGCATTGCCGAGCCCGCCATGATGAAGCTTCTCATAGAGATCGGGCTCGATATCCACGAGCGCGACTACCACGGCGCAACGCCACTCCATTACGCAGCTCTACATGGCCACACTGCAACAGTGAAGCTCCTACTGCAGCGGGGCGCGACATTGGTCCATGCGAGTGCAGTCTATGAGACGCTCCATGACTACAAGCAGAAAGGCCCTTATCGCCAGGGTACTCCCGCCGGCCTTGCACGGCAAACCGGTCATATCAAGATCGCTCGACTAATCGAGGGCTGGAAATACAAGCCCTGAGGGGCAGTTCGTACAATCTGCCCATAGTCTCTATCTCTTTTAAACCCCACTTTATACCTATACTTTCTTTCCTGTCATATGTTTACGGAGCTATCACGGCATCATGAGATACCCGAAGTAAATAGTCAAGCGTTTACAGACGCGCGTATCAACCACCATCGGCCTATACAGGCTTTTTCTTTTATCCAAATAAACTACATGAACGACCTCAGGTAACCGTCATCAGGGTGATGACTCTATTTGAGTATATGGGGCAATCGGTATCTGGTGCAAAATGCTGCCACTGCTTCAAATGTTTTCCCGCGCTATTCCTCGAATTCAAAACTAAATTACGGAGTATCTACCCTGGCCAATGGCCCTCCAGCCCGCTCACCTCGAACACCCACAAGCTCAGATAAATAACGATCCCCGTCCAACTCCGTAGCCCATGTAGCCGACCCGGATTCCGTTCCGTTTTCAGACACCAATTGCAGTTATCGAAGAGCGAGGAAACACATTGCCCCTGATGCTGGTAGGTGCTAAATCGTCCTCGTCTACACGGGCGGCAGCAGATATATCCAGAGTGCATATCAGTTGCCTGTATTCGTATCAAGAATTGTCATCCGTTAAAAATGAGGGAAGAAGTCAGACCACTCTGGGGTTTCGTACAATGCAGAAGGAGCTTCTTTCAGGCTGAGGAAAGCCTCGACAACCAAGAAGACTCTCGCTACCACAAACACAACAATGATCGAAACAAGAACCAACCGTTTCACCTTCCTCATCCATGGCTTCTGGTAACGCGCGCTGGTCAGTCGTGCCCCTGGTGCCGCTCCAGAAACGAACACGTCGAACCACGGCCAGGCCTGCCGCGCGAGGAAAAAGATCCATAGAGCAACTCCGGAGCACGCAATGACCAGAGACGCGACGAGCCACATCCTCCGTTCTATCTGCGTTGGGAAGTGATCGACCCAGCCTATGAGATGAAGCCCGCCGTACGCTGCCGCAGTGAGGGCGAGGACCGAGCGCAGCACGTCGCGGTGAATGTTGACCTGGCCAAGACCGAGGTTGGAGATGGACGGGAAGTTAACAATGTGAGAAACGATGTATTCCGTCTCTCCAAGGAAGACGCCAACGGTGGGGACGAAGGTAAAGTAGTATGGTGTGTATGTCGGGCGGGCAGCACACATTGCCCAGAGGCCGTCTGCGGCCTTTGCTGCCTCCGCCAGGCGGATCGGGTTAACGGGTTTGTGTTTGTGAGACTTCTGATACTGCTGAACGTCGGCGAAGATCCTCCGGCAGTAGAGATTACTATGGCGCAAACTAAGATTGATGTACGGCGGCACGAAGTACGTCTGTAAACACTCGGGTGAAACTGTAGGTTTGGACTGATCAATATGATACATGTATGCGCTTCGTGGCACCCTTTGCGTGTGTTTTTCGACAGTTAGGGGTGATAGGTGCGGTCGAATATCGCTTATATCAAACCCAAGAAATCCGGAAGGCTCTCTGATGCCGGGTGACCCGATGGACAAATGCGTCGTGATGAGGATCTTGGCAGCGCGCTGGTCTTGACTCCCCTCGCCTGTAAATTCTTGTCCTGGCATATACTGGAAGCACCGAATGTCTGTTACACCATTTATAGCGTCTATGGATGAGCAGACTGTCATCAACGACAGAAGGTTATTGGTGCCCCCCTCCAGTACCGTTGGATCCATAACATCAAATGGTTTGCTCCACCAAAGCAGGTAGAGAAGCACGGCGCATGCGACGTGCCCACATGTGTTGATCTCCAATAGCGACACAGGGAGCTTCCTTATGAGACGTCCGATGACTTGGGTGACCATCCATCCGGCCTGGATGCAGACGAGAGACTTGGCCATCCAGTCTGCTTTACTCTTGTCCTGGATCTGCGATTCATGGATGCCAGGCAGCTTCCCCATAAACGATAGAAGCCTTAGGCCCTCCGGTGTGACGGTAACCCTCCTGAACGCGTCATCTTCGTTGTCGACAGACGGCAAGTCGACAACAAAGCCGCCCATGACGGCGTAAAAGCACTGCGTCATATCCCACGTGTGCCTTGATGGCATCTGACCATCTCTTCCCTCTGTTCTGTTTGTTGCTACTCCTGCACTGTGGCGATAAGCAGTGTCTTTTTCAATCTCTCTTTTCAGCCATCGCGCAACGATGTATTGCGCTGCCGCCGTCGCCACGACAAGCTCAGGGGCGAAGATGCCATAGAGTACCCACTTCCCCCTTTCTATTGCCCTGCTCCTCAGGGTGGAGCGGATGGCGGGGACGTTGAGATGGAGGGCCGTCCAGACGCATATTGTCAAGGTGAGTACGCAAGAGCAGATGAGGCCAAAGGTACCTCGCCCGTTGGGTTCCGAAGCCCAACCGGTTGTTGAGGGATAGGCGTTGGCGGATCCTAGTATCGGGAGGAGAAAGAAAGATCTCAAGCTGCAAATCATTGATATGGCCGTTTGTATTTTTTCATATTCATATGACCCGCGAATTAGTATCTGAGTAATGTATAGTAGCCCAGTTCAAGAGAAAACCTGTGTTGAGTCTGGGTGAGGAGTTGCGGTTAAATACTTTGAGTGGTACCAACTCGTATAGGGTGCGCCACGGTGCGGGAAGACATAGGAACTGGTCATAAGCGCTGCGGCTGGTTGAGAAACATGCATGGGGCTATAAGCTAGAGCAGAGTTTCGCCACCACCAACCAGGGTGAGGAACCAATGACGATTGATATCGTTACACCTTTACAAGAGAATCATGGTATTCGGGTTGGGAAATGGAAATATGCCTTCAGAGGCTTTCTCATGCAAAACGTCCAGACTGTGGCTGCCGCCTAGGTACTAGTGTATCGTTCCTAGGGCACGAGTCTTGCATATCACTTCTCGATGGTCAAGCCTGCAAGTCTAGGCTAGGCGATCGTGTTCAATAACAGAGGCCATTTGCTTTGGTAATTTACCAACTATGAATGTGTAGTGATGGTGTTGACCTACACAATTGGAAAATTGTCGGGGACAAAATAAAGTTGCACACGACAATATCCCGACTGACAGATAATGGAAGTGGGCATGAGACTGGGCTAACTCTTGCTCCTGGAAGCAACGTTGCAACACACCTCACACAAAGTTTATCTGTTTGATCCTCTTCGGACCAGACATGACGTCGCGATCCATCGTTTCCCATTCCATCATGCCATCGACAAATGCCTCGCCGATCAAAAGCCATAATGGTGTGTCTTGTCCCGACTCATCCTTGAGTCGTCTGGTGATGACGGGTCTCCCATGTCCAATCAACACCATGACAGCATCTCCTGGTTGAGCAAGAGCAGGCGCCAGCCCAAGGAGCCCCGAGTTCGTAACAATAAGACGACGGTTTCTCGTGCGTGTTTCCATGGCTTGCCGCGCGGCGCACGTGGTCAGACTTTTCTCAGCGTCCCAGTCTTCTCGGGGGAAAGGTTCGAAGTACGAAGACAAGGGCCGATGTCCGATCAAAAGATCAGCACTCGAATAAATGAAATGCCAGTTCCTGTAAAAAGGCGATTCTGTAGATGGCTCGTCTTCTGGTATTATTTCGGTCATGTCAGCTGATATGCTTTCGAAACTGCAGTCATCAAACCATTTGAGAGTGCATTCATACCTGGAAAGGCATGATAAAGGCAATCAAAAGATTGCTTTATTCCCTGAACATCGGTACCACAAGTCAAAACCCAAGACACCCGAGGCCCTTCTATCAATCTCTTTGCCACTCGGCTACGAGGCGATTCTGTGTCCACAAAGTCATTTGTAGCCTCCGGGCCGAACTCTGAGCTGGATGTGTACTTCCCCGTTGGCTGGACGACCCCCGCCCGAAATTCCGGGGCATAACGACTTCCTATTTCCATGTCTGGCTTGGATAACGCTCCAACTCCGTCGACAATCTCTGCAATGAAACCGTAGCATGCAAGAACCGTTTCGTTCCTTATCTTTGGCTTCACATTGAGGCCATCAAACACGAACGCTTGCTTGTTGCCGCTGGCATGCCAGTTTCCTTCAATCGCCCCGATTCGTTGCTCAGGGGTCCTGGCAAGATATGGAACCCATGATGGCAGGCGTCTTCGATCCAACAGTCTTCCCTGAGCATCCCGCACAGGCATTCCACATCCATCTATCAGCGAGAACAGTTCGAGACTCTCGCCCTTTGTGACACAAGCCACTGCAAACTCAGTCAGAACGGTGGTGATGTGTTTGGTATAGTCCACTGTGAGCCCAAGATCCGGAAGTCCGGGAATGCTGAGCAGGCCATAGACAGAATCATGTAGATGATAGCATTGAGCTCCCGACGCCAGAAGTAGGGCTCTTAGAAAGGCGGACCCATGAAGAATGCCGTCATTCTCTCCAAAGTTGGAGTAGATAGGCAGCCAGCTGGTGTCTACCGGAGGAAGACGTTTTCTATGACCGTGTATCTCCAACTGCGCTATTTGAGCGACATGAAGTATTGATAAGTCATTCCTGACTGGCTCTTGGGTGAACTGATAAACTGTCTTAGGCAGCTTCTCCTTCAATACTTGTGAAAATGCCGTGTAGACAAGTGCTCCATCACGAATGTACCGCCATTGCGTGACGCGGGAGCCGCATACAATAGGCATCCCTGCTCGGCCCATGCAGAGCTCCTGTATAATCCATAGCCGACGCCAGTAAGGCCGGTCGAAGAATTCGTACAACCGAAAGTCATCTTCGTACGATTCCAAATCAAGTTGAGAATACATCGTTTTGAGCCTAAGGAAGCTAGTTCGCAGACGGATTTGTGCCATATGCCTCCAAGCTGTCGCCGTGAAGGGATCACTTCTATCGAATGTTTCGACGTACTCGGTACGGTACAAGGAGCTTAGCATTTGGAGCGTGTCGATAACTCCAGAACTCCCTCCGGTTTCAAGGCCGAGCCATACAATCACGTTAGCCGCAAGCTTATAGATCGAACTCATCAGAGGAATCTGGCTAGCCTTTTCGGCTGCATCGGACTGATTGATGCATAAGGCGTCTACCCAAATCTTCCCACCTCGCTTGAAGTAATCCATTGTCCTGAAACGGCGGAGGCCTGCTGCTAGGTTCACCCTGACATCAACCTCCATGCCGTTAAGGTAAATCGAGGCCGTGGGTTGTTCTGGGCCCCAAGAATATGACATGGCCACATATGACTCGGGATCGATCGGTTGTTTTCGATTCCTCGGCCTTGGTGGATGAAAGAAAGGGTTGAGATGTTTGGTGTCTAGCTTACCCTCCCAGGTGACCGAATCGTCAAGCAATATGTTTCGCCGAACTTTGTCATTCAACTCCGAGTTCTGAACAGTAGTCTGCAAGTCCTCGAATGATAGCATGGTAGCTAATTCATTGAGCGGAAGAATGATTTCGTGTTCAGGCTTTGAGTCTTCCTTGTCGCCAAATTGGGGCATCAATCCCTCGTTTGTTCCCTCGATTTTAGCGACATCTCGTCTGAACGAGCCACCGAAAGGCTCGTGGGACGTATTTGTCACCTCGTCATCAAAATCCACGTAGTTAGCTGGAAGCAGACTCGGATCATAGTCCTTGGGTTCTGCTGGGAGGGTTGCAGTCTCAATCGTACAGTGTATGGGTGCAGATTCTTGTTGGAATGGTGCCAAAGGATGTATGGTAATGAGTCGGATCTTTCGTTCAGATATCTCCAGGTTTTTGTAATTCATTGTCTTTTACGTGAAAATGGTCATTGGCAGTGCTGCCGTTGCTGGTCTGTAATAGCTTCTACCAACGTTGAATCGACTTGGCCTGGCTCAACACAGTGAGCAATGAGAAAGGTGCCCGGGCTGTGGCCAGGGTATATAAACATGTCTCTATCTCTGCTGCGGCTGACTTGCATGCGACTATTGACCAGGGGGCAGCTGGGCTAGCCAGATCTAGACAGAGATTCGCTGGAGTGAAGCATGGAATTATCTATCATGGACAGTGCATTTGTCCATTTCAGTCCCGCCTCCCAAAACCAAGGAGTCACGCGCTCTTCTACTGTCCAGAAAACCCTTTCTTTGAAGGTGGAAGGCTTAGGTGCACGGCATGCAAAGCTAAGTTGGTTCAATTCTCAGGTTGGCTAATTAAGCTGGGCATGTTACGGATTACGTTCATAGATACCTTCTCCAAGTTTATTTAACAACAGAAACAAGCCTCCCGTTCGAAAACTAAGATTGGGCAAAAGAGTCGTAATATGAACTGGGGGAGTTGACGATTGGCAATGGGTAGAAATGGCGGATCTGCGCCTGCCCGCAACCCACTCGTGCCGCAGTCAACGGCTTAAGCCGAAAATGGCCTCGCATCCACCACCCCCTCCGGCTGTGTGTTCTAGTGGATTATGATTTCTCGTTCACAAGTATGTGCACTTGATCCCGAGAAGGTCGCAGGTTCGAGCCCTGCCACGGTCATGGTCAAATATTTTTGCTATCCTACATCGTAATACTTGTTACAGTTATCCCCGGAGCTTTGCTTGGTGCTCTTACTAGCAAGTAGTCTTAAATTCAATGTGTTGTATTAAGCTGTGCGTGTTCTTGCTTGTTTGAAATACTTTTCTATTGATTTATTCTACTTATAGCTTAGTAGAGCACATAGGTACTTTGGCATTGAGGAGTCTATATGTGTATTCCACAACGAGCTTGATCATATCTATGGTTGGCTTCTCTCCCTTCAATCTTTCTACTTCATAGTTACAAATTTCGCATTGTTAATTTGCGATGTGCAACCGGGGTCAGATGCCGGGCTCCAAGGAAACCATCAGCTGCCGAGCCCTCTTTGCAGCTTGCACCAAGTCGAAGTCTGCCTTTAGGCCCTCCTCAATCTCTTGAAGCTTACCGGCCCATATCTTCCACTTCCTCAGTCCCAGTTGTCGCTTCTCAGAGCCATCGGGATGTCTGCCAATCATATTGTCATGCAACTTCTCGCCCGCCAGAAGCAGATACTCTACTGCTACAAGTTGAAGACAGTCTCCTCTTGGACCTTCGTCGTGGTTTTCCTCAAGCCCTTTCGGAATGTCAACTCTAGGGTACTTGGACCAGTTTTCGAAACAGTCGTTCCGACCAGACTGGATGCATCGAGCAAGAAACGCTGATAGGTTTATCCATTCCTTATATGATTCCGCAACATCCGGATCGTCGGGGCTGGACATATCGCTTGCTATGATGCGATTGAGTAACAGTCTATCAATAACGCTAGGGTATTTCTCCATGACTCACGATAACTGCCGCTCCAGTTGTCTTCCATGACAGAACCAAAAACAGGTTCCTTTGCATACACCAAACATTTTTCCTATAACAGTTTGTCAGCAAACACTTTTTTCCGGCTAGAACACAGGTAGAGCATAACTTACGTTCCAGATTGTGACTTCCCTTGTCGGCAGCTTCACAAGTTCGACCAGGAAGTGCACCAAGAGTTGCTGTAGATCATGATCATAGGGCACAACACGAGCCAGGTCAAACACCAGTTCATATAACGTGTTAAGGAAGCCCGCAGTGCCCTTGTCCGCTTGAAATTTTGAAAAGGGATCGGAGGGTAAATAACTGTTGTGGTAATATTCGTCAACTTGTTGCGCGGCCTCTGTGGCGGCTGAAGCATTTGGCGGTGTAAAGAGTCGTCGGGATATTTGGCAAAGACCATTCTCAACATCGTCAGGCGTTTAATGGGACATTCCCTATCCAGAAATTGGATCCAAGGAGCCTTAGGATCATTTGGGTAAGGGGGATGGTTGACGGTGACCTCCATTGTTGATAGCGCAAGTTGTAGCCTGGTGGTTTTGCTTTCTGAATGATAAAACGCCTGATGTTTGTTGGTCATATAGCCGCGAGATAAGCAAGGAGGGACCCAAGCCAAGATGGTGATCTAGGGCAGACTGGTCAACGGATGGCGATGCTGGTTTCTGTTAAGTGACTATGCAGGAAATAGACGCCGGCGGCCAGTCTTGGCACCTGCTGGCCCTAAATTATGGCACTGGGCCACAGTTGCTGTTGGCTCTAGCATGCAACATCTTTGTTCCCACATCTCAGCGCCTTTCTCTTGAATGTACACCACCGCTGTGTTTACCCGGCCATCAAGATGGTCCAGTCCTGTACAGCTTAAATGTATCCATCTGTTGGTCCGGCTGCGTCTTCTATATTTAGGTCTGAAAACTGAGACATCAAGGACTAACGAAAATATGGGCTACCAAAGGGCTACAAGACAGGGCTTTGTTGCTGTTGGAATGCCACAGAATGTATTATTCTCAGGCGTAACGCCGGTCAGTTATTGACCTACGTCGGCAAAGATAGTAAACCACGCGCCTGGAATAACTCGTCCCAGGATTAAAGTGATTTGCGATCAAAGTGATGTTTCATTTCTATCCTGGCGAGAACATGCATTCGCAACTCCTAGTATAGGCCTATCTATTATGCTGGCAATAACTGTTATTTAACCTGCGAACTGTCCCCTTTGCTACTTGACATAGGTTTCAAAAACATGCTCGATGTATCCCTTTGTGTTGTGTTCTAGGTGTTGACTGAAAAGGTACGCTTTGTTTTGAGATACCTTGATTTAGGCAACTCGCTAATCCTTACAATTTAGGCTATATTAGTTACCCGGCAGCTATAACTTGGTCATCTGAGATCACTCGGAACAATGGGAGATCAAAACGTTAGGAGATACAACACAGATATTGCTGCAGGCTGTACGGTACGTAAAACACGGCACCCATCTCTGTTCTCTCAGTATGTCCTTATGCACAGCTATTGGTGATTATCTGGTCATACTTGTTACACATTATAGGTATTATCCAGAAAGAAAGCAGACTCGGGATCTTGGTATAGCAATTCAATACCCCAAGAGGGAACATACCTTTCAAAGTAACGCAAGCAGTAGCCCGTTCAGCGCCACCCAAGGACCCACGAACAGCATCGAGATACCCGAGGGAATACCGAAACCAGGAGGGCAGTGAGGGCGATATGTACCATAACTTCCAAGATTGGGAAACACATGGCGGTCGAGCTGGCACCACGAAGTACACAGAATTTCCCGTGCCCCTCGCCGGAGTGCAGGCGTTTGATTACAACAAAAAGGCCGCTACGGCGAAACAAGTCGCTCAACCCATCCACAAGAATGATCGCAAGAGAGCCGTTCAAAGACCACTTAATGACCCAGGTCCGTTCCGGGCTATCACGGCTCAGCATCCCAAGCAAGTCATAGGGGTTCTCTATCACCCAGAGGGAAATTCTTTAGGATATCAAAGGGCCACTCTGCAACCACTCGATAGGGTTGGCCGGGTTTCTGTTCAACAGCAAAAGGAGTACTAACTTCGCAAAACCCAGACTCTGAAGTAGACGAGGCTCTGACTTGGTAGTTAAGAGGGCTGCCAGAGCAATTATAGCATTTTGCAAGAGATATGTACACTGGGACAGGACAGGTTCCGTATCTACAAGCTAAATGGATATTTTTAATTTCTAGACAAATTTCCTTTTCGGTTGATTAAATTGGTGAATATTGAGTAATTTATTCCGGAGGAATTCTTTCTCCGAACCAAGCCTGACAAAATGATTGCCATTCTCGCGTCTCATTGTATTGAATATCAAGTAAAGTTTACAACTCCCTCCTTACTTGGCTCAGATGTCTCACCAAAGGCTCACAGATAGAACTCCGAGCCGGCAACACTCCAAGTCGAAGATTCCTCTTGCATGGCCGTCCCCTCTTTCATCTATTACCCCGGCATCCCTTTTGCAATCCTCAAGACCTAGCCACCGGGTCGCTCATCTTCCATGCCCCCAAGACGTCTGGGGTCCTTCCATTGGATGTCGTATAGGTCGTCGAGGGTATCTGGGCCCCGTCCTTCCCCTACCAAGACCCCACGACGGGCTCTTCTACATCCCTTCCGTGACCCGCTGAGGCTCCGACTCGGACTCCTATACCTGGCAGCTGCTGCTTAGCTGAAGCGCCGGGGGTCCTGGCAAGACCACGCGCAAGCCGAGATGGGCTGATGTGTTCGAGAGCCCGGAGTTGAGACTGGGGTGGTATCAAACGCGGAGGCCGTATACGGAGAACCTCTGCATCAATTCGGTCCAAAATCCTCCCAGGCCTGGAGCTGACCCCTTCGCGCCGCACCTCTCAAATACTCTATTGGATGTTCGCGGGGTAACTCGACCCACACATGGCGGAAGTAGTTCGACTCTAAGCAGGTGAGCCCAAACTGTGGGTATACAGACTTCGAAGGGTCCATGGTTTTTCGGCAGCCGTAACGAAGAGCCTTGATCGTATGATGCTCCCGAAGTAGGATTCAATAGAGTCGAAGAATTTTACCATGAAGGGAACCTTTCGGGTTATGACCACTCGAGCTGACATGAAGGGCAACGGCGCTAGACCAACTGTGACGGTGAAATCCACGAGAGCGGGAAATGCTTGGCTACTTATGTACCCTCCCAATAAACAAGCCGGGAAGACTTCTTTTTCTTAATTAATATTTGGTAAAAAGCTGTCTCAAACCATCCGTGGCCGTGGACGAATTTCTAAGACGGAGATGCTATAAGACAAGAAAGAAGAAGATAGATATAGGAACCAGTTTCTCTAGGAAACGGGACAGTCATCTAATAAACTCGCCAGCGACTTGCATCTAAACAATACGTCTGAAGTCAACCGCTATTCTCCCAAAGTCCGATTCTACATCGTACGAACCTCTAGAATTCTCATCAAGGAAGCGATTTACAGCTCAAGATCCGGCAGAGCACATCTAGAATCTTGGATAGTAATCGCTCAATGCGCCAACTACTTTTCATGCTATGCTAGCTTCAGGATGCATGTACAGACCGCGGAAGTGTTGGCCGATGGTGGGATGGGAGGAAGAAGGGCAAGGCCACCCCCGGCACATGACTAGTGGGAAGAGGGAAAAGATCTTCAGGGTCGGCAAGTTGGGACCAAGACAACCATGCCGATTGATATAACAAATGGCCCCGGCCCGGGCTCAATTCCGAAAACAGTTCTATCTTTGGACTGTTCTTGCGTCGATTACTTGGCGTTCGGGCACGAAGCAGTGAACAAGTAACGCCAAGCCAACCGAGAACCTCGCACAATGGAGGGCGCTCTTCTGCATGACGACTGTTGATATTAATGATTCCCAAAACATCACCGGACACTTGGACTTGACCGAAAGAGCGGTTATGTTGGTTCTGGCGGTCACAGGGCAATGCTACGCTACAGAAAGCACCTGGTTCGGGGCGCGGACACAGTCTCCGACGGACACTAAGCCTCCAGTTCTGCGGGGGACGGGAAAGGTCGAAAATAGGATTGCTCCGTGGGCGATTAACGAGGCGAGGCGACGTGACATGGACCAGGTGCCGAAGACAGCCTACTGTTCTACCGCTGCCACCATGGGGACCTTAACCATGGATGGTCTTTCAATGATATCCGTAAATGGCGAGAGATTGCAAATGAGATTGACGAAATATTGAGCTCTTGCCCGATTCTCCCAAAAGTGGCCGGTAATCAATAGTGTGGCTGGCCCTGGGGGTGATGCATGAAGATGCACAGACGATTGGATATGAGCATGGGAACCCCATGACTAGGTATGGCTGGGTACGAGATGGAGGCTGAAAAGGAGATGCTGGTCGCATGGATGCGAGCATGGATGTTGTTGTAGGCGGGATTGATGAGCAGCCGTTCGCAGCAGTGGATTGACGAGCCAAGCCACTCGGAAAGCCACTTTGGCCACGCTGTGGTCATTTGGGCGATGGAGGAGCACTGACGAGCAGGCCCAAGGAGAAGGGAACGCCGGATATCGATTGACGAATAATCTCCCAGGCGGGATTTTCATTTGGACACCGTCACGCTTTGGTGGGAAATGGTAATAGACTTTGACGACTAGCCACGCGGTGCTCAGTGAGCACTACGGCGCGAAGCGAGACTAAGAACCGGAGGCCGGACGTTTTCCAGACCTCTACATCCTGGTATAGCATGGATGGTGATCAGCTTCGGATCATAACGATGACGACGAATATAGGACGGTATGCACAGAAATGAACCAGACTAAGCGAGACCCCTAGCCACCTGGATGTGTCGATGTACGAATACAGCTCTCTCCCGAACAAGCGGCCCGATATGGCTACGGCTCTTGCCGGGCTTGCTTACCTTGTCCTACGAGCTTTGCTTCGGGGCACGGGCATGAGAGGGAACAGGGAGGAAGCATGTGAGATGGCAACGAGCGGAAAGGGGGGACAGAGGAGGACATACGTAGTAAGGAAGAGGGAGATGATAGATGCAAAAAAGAGAGGGGGGGGCTTTTCGACAGGAGAGCAATTAACATGGCTAGGTATGTAACACGAGAGGGCAGATGAAAGCAGCAGTCGTTGGTTGTGAGGCGAAGGAGATGAAGGCGGTGCAAGGGGTGCTACAGAGCTTCGAAAGTGATGCCGTGGTCGCCCACGATAATGACGCCGAACCAATATTCGCCTGCCCGTCGCGTGAGAAACGTCCGCAGCTGAGATTGAGAATAAGGTCAAGTCAAGGTAGCGCCTCAGTGATCCACTGAAAGTGTGGCTTTGATATAATTGCCAGTTCATGCGAAGAAGCGTGTGGTACGAGTTGGCGATTCGTTGCACTGGTGGGGGGGTCATTCGGTAGCACAGGAGGTGAAATTTGATGGAGCTACAAGTACGTGGAGGAGACCGGGCCAGACCTCCTGATGGAACATGCAGGAGCAGTACCGGGTTACGTAACGCAGCAGTGAGACAGCGCTAAAGCAGGACCCAGTGGAACTTGGGACACAAGTACCTCGGAATACTGGGACAAGTCTCTTTTCCGTATCGGGTCGCGTGCAGAGAGTCTGACATGAATAACAGCGATGATATACATCCTAGTACACGTACAAGAGGTCAGTGACCCGGGTCAGTTAGGCAAAGAAGAAGTGAAAAAAGACTACTGTTCCTTTTCGTCGGCGCGACTTCAAAATCAGTCTGTCCGCACTACCTACTTACCACATGGGTGGCCGAATGGTCGCTTTATGCCGTGCAACCTAGACAGTGCTCAATGGACACAACTCAAAAGTATCGCTCTCGAGGTGCATCGATCTGACTAAGACGGAACGGGGTCGCTGGGGATGTGACTGGTATATCAGAAGGAAGGCAGAGAATGATTGTCAACAGCGGTCTCCTTCCAGTCACGGAAACCGGCCCCGGGCTCACCCAAGTTCCGGGGGAGGGGCAACACGGGGCTGGTAGGAGTTGCGAAGGGGAAGGAGGGGCCCTCCTATCAGTCGCAGAAAGAGCAGGAGTTTGAGGAGGTAAGAGATCATGAAGCATGGTCAGGATGACGGTCGGGTTGTATCAAGTTTAACCCTTCACCGACGGAAGGACTGCGGGAGGTTCCGGGCAGTCTCCAAACACACAACACCTCAGAGCTAGAGGGGTGTACCGGACAAAGGATCGAAGACAGAGAGCAAGAGAGCCGAGGTACTGAGGTACTAGACATTCAATCTACCCATCATCTAAGGTTAGATAGGTAGACATCGTATCGTTGTGTACGGGTAAGTACATATAACGGCGAGGATCTCTAGCCGCTCGGCTCAGTGGCAAAGACGGGATGGATTCCACTGGGCTAGGTAAGGAAGCCTACCTAGTGAATAAGAGGGGAATTTATTCATGTTATTTTATTCCTATTTTCCCACCCGGGTCGTGCTTCCGGATGGATACGTACCTTTTGTCGTGATTTTAGGCCTGTCAGAGACTTGTGCGTTCTGCCTGAAAAGTTAGGGATGCATTCTATCTTTCCCTTCGAAAAAAAAGAAGAAAAAAAAGGCTAACGGGGAACCCACCCGTCACCCGTGGGTGGAACGGAAAGGGTAAGTACTATGTAGGTGCGTGGCTTCTTCCTCAGCTTGGTACGGTTGTGATTTTACGACAAGTGATATCGGATTATGGGCTACCTAGTATTATGTATTTCTCCTCTCTTTAGTGGTCGTTTTTAGGTTAATATTACATGGGTGTCCTTTCCTTCCTTATACTACGAATAGGTAGGTACCCATAGGTAAAGATACAACGCAAGAGGTGTCAATCACACCACATTTCGAGCGCTATCGTCTTCCCACTACCTACCTATTTGCTGGACAACCCACACCGACACCTTTTTTTTTTGTCTCCCCTTCCCTTCTATCGCCCCTTCCTAAATCCTTCCAGTCCACTTCTTCTGTGGGCTTCGCTTCGCGGCAACAGCGACTACTCGATCTCGAACATTCCCCTGCACGCCCCGACACAATCGGCCAATCCTGGACGGTAAGCCGACCCGCGTCTCCTTCTCTCCACCATCCTGGATACCGGACAACAAACACTGAACAGGGCAGCAAACCGATGTCGACCACTTGGCAAGACCGCATCGAACCCCCGTTTCCCACTCCTCGCCGGCCCGGCAACTACCACTTTCCGAAGTTCCAGGGATCGAACCACCCATTACCACCACCACAACCTCCATTTTCGCTGCCTCCTTTCCCTCTCTCTCCGACTTGCGCGTTATATTGTACAGGTATCCATAGATGCTGTGCCTTGAGGTACACAACCCAACCCAATCCATACACAATCCCCACCCGGTCTGCCTTGCCTGTGCCTGTACCTGCTTAATCCATCATCTCTTCGCCGCCGACGTCCTTTAACATCGACAGCCCCTCTTCCGCCATTTACTGATAGGTTCCACCAATACGTCGTCTTCCCTGACTAATACCAGACGGTGGAGGCAAGTTGCGGTCGTTATTCCTCGTACCTTTCTTGCTCGCTGCGAGGTACCGACCGACACGTTGACTGTTCGGGAAGCACGCCCAGCCAACCTGTGGGAGGTGTCGCGCTCTCTCATCTCACTCGCCCCCCCTAAGCTCAGCAGAGAGTCTGGATACACCCCGGCCGGCCACACCCTGGCTCCTTCCGCCCTGCGCGCACGCGTTGTAACAGCTTCAACAATCCAGTCGCGAAAATTGTGCAGGCCTGGACTCACCACCTCCTTTGCGCCGCACTCCGTTTCTTAGTGCAATCCGGGTTCTTCTCGGCCGACACAACCCAACCACCCGACCTCTACGGACACTCTGTCCGTCCTCTGAGCGTGCGCGCGCGCGCACTCACCAATGAGACCAGTGCCTGCCTCTTGCTTGCTTACACATTGGATTTGCGCACTGCACTGCACGTTGGATTGCATATAGCAACAGGGGTCCAGCTGCGGAACACGGTGAACCACACACAACCGCCTGCTCCTCTTCTCCTTCCCCGACGAGACGAGAACTCCTTCCGCGCAGTTGCTACCGCTTGACAACACTGGCCCGAAAAGGTCACCACCCAAGTCGACCTCGACTTCCTTCGCACACACCCTCAAGGCCTCCTTCCCCCCCCCCTACGCGTACCCTTCTTCGTCTCTGTTCCTACTGCGGCACCTCCGCACCCCCCTCCCCCCCCCCCCCCCCCCTCCTCACCAAGGACCAGCAACAGCAGGCAAGACAAAAAAAAATATACACGAAAAAGCCGGAGGGAAAAAAAAAAAAAAACCTCCCAGTCGCGCCGTTCTGTACAGGGACCACCACAACTGGCTCAATCTGCGCCCCAGGGTGTCGCGCATCCACGCCTCTTCCTTCCCCTGGTCGACCTCAAGAAGTCCAATCGTGGCTCCATAAAAATTTCTAATTAAAATCGAAATGGCTCAAGAAGGCACCAAAAGCACCAGCACCGGCACAAGCACGAGTGCCAGCACCTCCAGCGTGCCTGTACCCGTGCCTGTGCCTCTACCAGATGCCAACGACGTCGTCGCTGCCAGTACGGAGCCCTTGACGACCTCTACTAATTCGGTCCATCCCCCGACCACTTCGACCTCTCCTCCTCCTCCTCCTCCCTCTGTATCTGCTCCTGCTTCCGCCCCCACTCCCTCACCTGCTCCTGCTCCAGCTCCCGCGCCCCTCCTCTCTGCGACGACGCCGACCTCGAGCCTGACTTCGACCTCGATCCCAACCTCGATCTCGACCCCGACTTCCTCCGCCGAGATCTCGTCGAACGCGACTGCGAACGCGTCCGTTCTTGCCACGACACCAGGACCTGCGACTAGTTCTGGGACCGAGCCTGCTCCGGCTGCTCCCTTTGCTGATCCTATTCTTGCCCCCCCGCAGCAGAACGGCCAGCAGAACGGCAACGCGAGGCCGTCATCCTCGCCGACCATGTCCCACCATCACCAGCCTCAAAGAGGCTATCCGAGCCCCAGCAATTTCCCCTCACCCGGCGCCTTGGCCCCGAACCAATACTCCTACCACCCACAGCAGAGCCAGGCTTCTGATCCATACCGAGCCAGTTCTGGCCCTCCGGTTCCCTCTCTGCCGAGCATGAAGAGCCTCGACCATCACTATCAACACGGAGCGCCGGCTCCTCAAGCGATGCCAATGCAGATGCAGATGGCCCCGAACCAGAGCATGCAGTATTACCTGCCGCCGGGAGTGCAGGGCAACCCATACATGACGCAAGACCTAAACCACCTGAGATATCAGATCCCCCACCACGATCCTAGGCTGATGCGCGGTCCCGGCGGCCCTAAAAAGGTAAGTTTGAAGGAACTGGTAGTTGAAGGCTGCTATGGCAGCATCAGCTTGTTTGGATAAGAGCTGACGGCTTTGTAGGAAATTAAGCGCCGGACGAAGACAGGCTGCCTGACGTGCCGCAAGCGTCGCATCAAGGTCAGTAACAATTTTGTGTTTTCCGTGACCTCTTTGTCTCTATCGCTTTTTTATTTTATTTTCATCTTTTTGTTTTGTTTTGATCTTCTTCCCTTTTCTGCCCCCTCCCCCCTTTTCACCCTCGATGGAATGCTCCGATGCAATAGGCGATTTTGAGGCTGTGGAGACTGTCTGGGCACCTGCCAAAAGGAGTGCAACACCATTTGAGGAAAGAGGGAATGTGACAATGGACAAAGAAACATAAAGTTTTCGATAAGCGAATCCAGTCATGGTTTCTCAAGGCGAGAGGGTGGGAAAAAAAACGGTCGCTTGACGTTCGCTTGAGCTCGAGCTACTGCGAAGCGAGGACGGGAGCCATGCCGTGGACCACGTTCCGGGATCGCGCCCGCGGCTGCGCGCCCGCAGGGAGGAGCAATCTTCCGTTCCTGCAGAACCGACCGCCGCCCGCTGAGCACTGCCCCTCCCATCCCTTCTGGGAAGAGGAGGCCCAAGCCTCAGCCTGTCAGGACGCTTCTCGCTTCGCCTCGCCTCGCCTCGCCTCGCTTCGCACCTTCCACCTCCAAGAACCCCCCAAACTCCAGCCACCGTCGACCTTGGCTATTGGCTAGCTTAGCTTAAGCCTCGCCCGCGACGCCGCTGCTTGACTTCATCCCAACTAACCTCACCTCATCTTACCTTACCTTAACCTCATCATCATTCCCGACTCGCAGTCACCTCTACGGGCAACGGCACCAGCAACTCTGCGATTGCCAAACCCAAAGCCCCCTCCCCTCCAAAACTGTTCATTTCTTGTCGTTGAGAGACCCGTCGTTGATTGATATAACCGGGCATCTTATTTGATCATCGTTGAAGGTTACTTTTTTCTAACCATCTCCTCTCAGTGCGACGAAGCTCACCCGACTTGCAATAATTGCAAAAAGTCGAAGCGCGAGTGCTTGGGCTACGATCCTATTTTCAAGCAGCAGCCGGGCCCCTCCGCCATCCAACCCGCCCCAAACACCCAACGAGTGCCGACCCCGACCATCCCGTCTGTGCCTTCGTCCGTCCCGCCAACGGTTCCGACTGTGCCCTCGACCCCCGCCGCACCTTCCGTGCCTGTGCCGGTTTCCTCGTCAAACCCCTATGGTGCCCAGCCGGCCGTCTTGCCCAGCTCGTACAACCCTCCCGTACCCTCTTCTCACTCGCCTCTCGATCCAGCCCTCTCCTCGACCGCGTCCAGCGTTAAGACCGAGACGACGTACGACTTCGCCGCACCCATAGATCCTGCTTTGCAGACCTTACCCATCCCGGCTACCGTACCCTCCGTTCAGGCTCACTCGTTCCCGGGCGAACAAAGGGCAGGCTTCGACAACCATCTCAGAGGTGCGACGCTCCCGCAATCATTGTACATGCCTTGTTCTCTTTTAGCAGTTGCTCCGTCCAGAGTCTCGTATACTGACTGTGACCACGCAGCCAAAAATATGAAGTTCGATGACCTCATCGGCCTCCTGGGCCCTGCCGCCCCCACCCAGGAGATTGCCCTCACCCCGGAGCTCCTCACCGAAATCATCAATATCTACCGCGAAGTCTACGCCGTTGGCCTGCAAGCTTTTTTCGAATCCAATTGGTTTCAGAAGCAGGATGTCCAGGGCAAGTTCTTTCTCGAGCATAGCCAGCCCCTCCTCAGCCAATTCGCTTCTTTCCTCAAGGTAGTCCAGTCTGTGCCGGCCAATGACCACACACAGATGGCGCATTCTGGGGTCCTTGAGACGCGTTTAATTTGGGCGCTGGCTACCCTGCCATGTAACAGCGCCCCCCCTTCGACGAATGCTGAGGCCAAAGTCCTGCCGCACCCCGAGGACCTGACGGAAGCTGCCAACCGAGTCAAGGTGCTGGAGGCTCTTCTCTCCGGTGACTTCCTACCCTCAAATATTCTCGCTCCTCCGGTCCCTGATGCGAACCCTCACCGCCAGCAGGAGTTTGAGTTCTGGCACAACTTGGCTCAGTACTTGTGCTACCACGATGCCGCCAAGCGCGATGAGGTCCTTGGCCGGCTGAGACTCCAGCTAGGAGGCAGGGAGAACCGTGATCTCATCTACTCTATTGCCATTTCACGCGAGCTTTCTCCACGTGTTGAGCCAGGATTCGAAAGGAACATTCCTAAACACTTGGACGAATCCGATCCTAAGAACCGGTTATGGGTTGCCAATAAGTTCATCCAGGACGAGGCACAGGTCACTGGCGGGACGACTAACATTGTCCGACGATTCAGCGAGATTGCCATCCGAGCCTACATCAGTCCTGGCGTGAACATTGCAGCACACTCTAGTCCGGTTTCAGCACAGCCTTGATCATTCCGGTCAGAATCTCCTTAATTCAGCATTTTACACTCTGTAGCATGTTTCAGGCTCAGGGACGGCGGCAGGGGAGAACAAAAAAAAGTTTTTTTTTTTTTTCATTTTCTTTTAAAAGGCGTTACCAGGAATGGAAGGAAAGCATGGCTTTCGATTTTTTGAAGTTTTCCATTTCCTTTTTTCAGGCGGTTGCATGCGAGCCAGCACTATGCTGCTTGTCCTATAACTCTTTTACAGTCGGCATCCTTGTATAAGTAGTCCCACCCTTAAAATTAGTCATATTCCAGCATGGCGGGCGGTACAGAGGAAAGAAAGAAAAGTGGTTTTTCTTTTCTGTTTTCAGATGCAGCTAAGCAGGTGGTTGCAGGGGGGTGTCATCCTTATTCCACGCCTTTGTGGGCACGGCAGACGTTATCATAAGGTCCCGGGCATAGCCTGCCCTCTGTGTACGATACTAGATAGCAGATTCACCTGGGTTCTAGAAACAGGACACCGGTAGGAATCAAGAAATACAAAGGCTTTTGCAATCATCAACTTGGTTTGCTGCGTTGGAGGCAAAATCTAGCAGTATGCGGAGGCCTGCAGATGTAGGTTGAGAACTGCACAGCGGCCCGGGATTCCGATGGATACACCAGATGCAGCCGACTGGGCGACGCTGCAGAGCGAGAGAGAGATAAACCCAGGCTTAAGCGATATTGGCGTCTTCTTCTCCAGTTAGGGGGATTACATGCCAGAGGCTTATCCGGATGAGCAGTTCGGTATCGGATAAAGTCGTGGCGGTGGTTGCGTTACTGGTGGGGGGGGGGGGGGGGGGGGCATGACTGCAGCAGCGGGGGTGGCTCACGAGTTTCAGTGAAGGAACCAGTCCAGCACTGTACAATATCGTGGAGCCGGGCGAGGGTCACGGTATCGTTGGCCGAGCCTGGATCGGCCTTCTCTATTCCGGTTGAAATGGAGCTTCCTCGGTCCCGGTTGGCTCGGGCCAGTGCCGGGTCAAATTGGCCGGGACGGCGGGGGAGCAATCGGGGGGTCCCCTAGCGGAAGGGGGGGTAACAAAACAACCGTCGTGGAAACACGGCTGACGCTTGGAGATTGCAGAGGTTTGCGTTTTTTGGGGCCACTGCTTTCGCATGTTTCCCGCGGCAAGTCTCAGCCTCTTTTTTGCCTGATATATATATATACTTTTCCGTCTTGTAAACGCGCGATCTCCCCGCTACGGGTCGATATCCGCCGAGGCGGCAGCACTCCGAGCTCCAATTGAGTTTAGGTCCCTCCCCCTCACCCCCCGCCGATCGTCGTCCCCCCGCCCTCTTCGCCCACCATCATTCAAGCTTGCCGTGCGACGACTCGACGGGCCGAGATAGGCACACCCCGCGCCGGGGGTTTGGAGGGGCATTTGTCTTTCGTTAACGACATTCGTTCCCTGACACTTTTCCCATACCCGGCGCCTTTTTTTCTCATTCTTTATTTTTTTTATTGAACATCACCGCAGAAGCCCTCAAGTCTCGATTCTTAATTCCCCCGGTTTGATATCGAGTGTTTGGTTAACGTGCGCAAGGCGATTGGGCGAGTACGCATCACCTCTAAATCTGCCCACCGCCCACCTTTCGTCTCTCGAGGGAACCCATGCCGACATCGGACGGACGGATGGGCGCCCATAGCAGAAATGATCCATTGCTGACCAGGCCTGGGATAGGCTTCGTAGAGAGTTCGCACTCTCGGCTATCGTTTCGCACAGACAGCTGAGTGCTCGTTACCGCAACCATGTCGAGACCAAAGGTCCTCCAGCTGGGCGAGATCGAGCAGTACGTTGACCCCCTCCGTCACACCGTCCCTCGTCTCGCTTCCTCCTCCCTCGGCTCGAGCTAACATGCCCCCGCAAGCGCCCACGAAGCCTGGTCCGGGCTGAGCTCCGTCGCGGACATTGTCAAGCCCAAGGCGACCAGCCGCGCCGAGTTCCTCGACGAGTGCAGGTCCGGCGCCTTCGACGGCGTAAAGGCCATCTACCGCACGTTCGCGAGCGTCAGGACCACGGGGCGGATTGACGCCGAGCTGCTTGCTGCGCTGCCCGAGAGCGTAGGCTTCATCTGCCACAACGGTAACCTCCCCCCCTCCCCCTTACACTCTTAACATCTGGGTCCGCGCCGACGCTGACACGCCGCGACAACCAGGCGCCGGCTACGACCAGATCGACGTCCCGGCCTGCACCCCGCGCGGCATCCTCGTCTCCAACACCCCGACCGCCGTCGACGACGCCACAGCCGACATCAACATCTGGCTCATGCTCGGCGCCCTGCGCAACCTCAACGCCTCCGTCCTCTCCCTCCGCGCCGGCCGGTGGCGCGGCCAACCGCCCCCGCCCCTGGGCCGCGACCCCCAGGGCAAGGTCCTCGGCATCCTCGGCATGGGCGGCATCGGCCGCAACTTCGCCCGCAAGGCCGCCGCGTTCGGCATGCGCGTGCGCTACTTCAACCGGACCCGGCTCGACCCGGCCCTCGAGGCCGAGTGCTCCGCCTCCTACGTCGACTTTGAGACGCTGCTGCGGGAGAGCGACGTCATATCCCTCAACCTACCTCTAAACGTGAGTTCCCTCCTCCTCATCTCTTCATCTCTGGTTCCCCTAGTCCACCCCCCTTTGCCCTTGCACTCTCCCACCAGATATTCACGTGCTTCTACAAAAGGAAGAGCACAAGAAAAAAAAGACATGGCTGACCGGTACCCCCAGTCCCACACGCGCCACACCATCTCCCACGCGCAGTTCGCCCAGATGAAGCCTGGCGTCGTCATCGTCAACACGGCGCGCGGCGCCGTCATCGACGAGGCCGCCCTCGTCGACGCCCTCGCGTCCGGCCGCGTCGCCAGCGCCGGCCTCGACGTCTTCGAGAACGAGCCCGAGGTCCACCCGGGCCTGCTCGACAACCCCAACGTGCTGCTCGTGCCGCACATGGGCACCTGGACGGTCGAGACCAGCGTCAAGATGGAGGAGTGGGCCATCGGCAACGCGCGGCGGGCCGTCGAGGAGGGGCGGCTCAATAGCGTCGTCGTCGAGCAGAGGGATCTGGCGAAGACGGGATAAGGGCAAGAGAGCATGATAGAATTAGAGAGAGAGAGAGAGAGAGAGAGAGAGACCCTATCTGTCGGTGCCGCCGAGGAATGTCATTGGCAGTCCGGTTAGCAATGCGCTGCACCTAGTCCGGCAACTTATAAGCACTTTTTTGAAAGCAAGGTTTTACTGAGCTCGGCAGCTACCATCTCAGCAGCGGGCGAGATTGAGTAATGTAGACAGTGCCAAGTAAGCCTGCAAACGACATTTACACGCATGCTGAGGGTACCAGTCAGTGTTTTTATCAGATCAAGAACCTAGAGAGGGCTACACAAACTAGAAAGCATGGGATGCCGCAATCGCCAACAGCACAGGGGAAACGTCGACAGTCACCCACATTCAAACAGATAATCACTGGCGCAGAAAACATCAATTGTTTGCTCACAGGACGCATATGTTCGTCTATGCGAACCACGGTTGACGGGTTCCAGTCCTTGAAGCTAATCTACCATTGTACCCTTATTTCCCATATCCGGGGGTTGAGTCCCTGTTTTGTCCCGCTCGCAGAAGTCGGGCCGACGAAAAAACAAAAAACAAAATGCCATCGTCTGGGGAATCACTATTCACAAGCCAACGCCTAATTTTTGTTGAAAAATCTCGCAGCCAGGCAAACCCCCAAAGCTTTTAGAGTTTCCAGCCCGTAACCGCCCCCAGCCGAGATTCCCTTTCCCAGATGTGTCATGCAAGTCATGCTGTTGAGAACACACGTTGCCAAATGTTATGGTGTACGCTCGTTGAAGTCGTTAATCAAAATGTTTTGAAAATCCAGTGGCAAGACTGGATGTGAAAAGAAGGCCGCTTAGTAGCGGTAGATGTCGCTCTTATAGGGACCCTCAACGGCGATGCTGAGGTACTCGGACTGGACCTTGCTGAGCTGAGTGAGCTCAACGTTGCAGTGAGCGAGGTGAAGTCTGGCGACCTCCTCGTCGAGGACCTTGGGGAGGACGTAGACGCCGACGTCGAGCTTGCCAGCCTTGGCGAACTCGACGTACTTCTGGCCCCAGGCGGCGTCACCGTTCTTGTACAGCATGATCTGGGCAAGGACCTGGTTGGTGAAGGAGCAGGACATGACGAAGGAAGAGTGGCCAGTGGCACAGCCAAGGTTGACCAGGCGACCCTCGGCGAGGAGGATGATGTGGCGGCCGTTCTTCATGAGGAAGCGGTCGACCTGGGGCTTGATGTTCTGGACGCTCTGGGCGTTGGCCTTGAGCCACGCAACGTCGATCTCGATGTCGAAGTGACCAATGTCTGTGCAAAAAAGTGGTTAGAAAAAGAAGAGAAAAAAGAACATGCAAAGAGCCCGGAAACCCGGGAGACTTGTGGTGAGTACTCACTGCAGACAATGGCATCGTTGGGCATGGCCTCGAAGTGGACGCCAGTCAGGATGTCACGGCAACCGGTGGTGGTGACAAAGATCTGGCCGCGGGAGGCAGCCTTCTCCATGGTGGTGACCTCGTAGCCGGCCATGGCGGCCTGGAGGGCGTTGATGGGGTCGATCTCGGTGACAATGACACGGGCACCCATGGTGTGCAGGGCCTGGGCGCAGCCCTTGCCGACATCACCGAAGCCAGCAACGACGGCGATCTTGCCGGCAACCATGACGTCGGTGGCACGCTTGATACCGTCAATGAGAGACTCGCGGCAGCCGTACAAGTTGTCGAACTTGGACTTGGTGACAGAGTCGTTGACGTTGATGGAGGGGACAAGGAGCTTGCCGTCCTTGAGCATCTTGTAGAGGTGGTGGACACCGGTGGTGGTCTCCTCAGAGACACCGTAGCAGCCCTTGAGCATCTCGGGGTACTTCTCGTGGACGAGGTGGGTCAGGTCACCACCGTCGTCGAGGATGAGGTTGAGCTTCTGGCCATCCTTGAAGGCGGTCAGCTGCTGCTCCAAGCACCAGTTGTACTCCTCCTCGGTCTCGCCCTTCCAGGCAAAGACGGGGACACCGGCGGCGGCAATGGCAGCGGCGGCGTGGTCCTGGGTGGAGAAGATGTTGCAGGAAGTCCAGGTGACCTCGGCACCGAGAGCAGTGAGGGTCTCGATGAGGACGGCAGTCTGGATGGTCATGTGCAAGCAACCGGCAATGCGGGCGCCCTTGAGGGGCTGGTCGGCGGCGTACTTGGCACGGGTCTGCATGAGACCGGGCATCTCGTTCTCGGCGAGCTCAATCTCCTTGCGGCCGAAGGCAGCCAGAGAGAGGTCGGCGACCTTGAACTTGGTGGCGGGGGCAGCCATTGTGAAGTGTGTTTTGTTGGTAGAGGTAGTGGTTTTGGTTGGGGAGAGGGATGGAGGGAGGAAAAGATGAGAGAGATGGGAAAGAGAGAAGGAGAAGGAGAAGAAGGAGACGAAGGATTTAAAGGTCGACGGAGGGCAAGGGGTAAGGGAGGTAGAAGGAACAGAAAAAATAAAATAAAAATAAAACAGGGACCTTGGAGGTAAGAAAGCGTCCGTAGGTCGGTAAGGCGAGGTAAGTATGGAGGGGTTCAGGCACACGGAACGGTTGGAAAGAATGGCAGGAACGGGCAGGGCGGTGAGTATGGGAATGTGTGTGTATGGGGGTGCCTGTACGGATACGCGGCGCTTTGTCGTCCTGACCCCAGAGAGGGGGAAAATCTCTGCTGTCTTTTCTGCCTATGTTTTCCCTTTCCCGATGCGAGAAATACTGTCTAGTCAGTCAATCACGGAAGTCCAATCACCAAACACCAGAGGTACCTACTTGGTCGCGAAGAGCGGGCAGTTTGACGAGGAGGGGAGTGGAGGGGGGTGGGAGGGGGACACGGAGACTTGGGAGCACAGAGGCGGGGCAAAAAAGTTCAACGAGGTGCAGACGCTGCAGACGAGTGTGGCAGGCCAGGTGGGGATCTTGGAGAGGAGCCGCTCACTCTACTGGTCATTAGCCCCGCGAGACTTTGCAAGCTGACACGATGGCAAGAGGTATATCGCTCCCTCGTCCGTGTCAGCTTCTGATAGTGTAAAGACGGGGCAGAGGAGGAGCTACGGAAATGACTTGGATTATCTTTCGGTTGCCAGCAGCTCCAACCCAATACGCTTGAGTATTGTATTCCCTCACATGGGTAGACTTCAGACTATCCCTAGCCACCAAGCTCAGGAACGCCAATCGCATACCTACCTACCTAGGTAGGTATACCTAAGTAGGTAGGTATGTATCCAACAATGGCAGCCCTCTATCAATTTCGATACTTTCTGCCGATCCTGTCTTTGCCAGGTATGCTTCGCCTGTGGACTTGGTTTCAACAAAGCATTGCGGTGAAGGGAGCCAAAGGAAGGCAGCCGAGGGAGGGGTCCGCCCCGGTCCTCACTCCGATGTCTCACTCATGCACGCGAGGGGGGAAGGGGGATAGAGGCTTCAATTCAACCGTCAAGATGTTCTGGCTCGTGGTTGTCTCATCCAACGTCGTTCAATTGGCGATTTGCATCTTCTCCTTCAAGCCCAAGGTCCAACGCCCATTTTCAAAATCCGGCTACAATGGGCACCGCACATGGGAGGTAGGTAAGGGAGGGGCTAGCTAGACCCAAGGGAGCAAAGCTCGAGAATGAGCTGTCCCAGCTTCGTCCCAGGACCCTCCCTCCAATGTACCTCGAAATATCACTGTGTGTACCTATATAGGTAGCTCAGTCGCTCGGTAGCTCGGGAAGGTCATGATCCAGCCAAGTCAGTCAATCCTAACCGCGTGCTAACTGATGAGGCGGGAAGATGAAATATCCGTACGTTTGTAGTGTACAAAACCAGAGCATTCTTGTCACCTCTGGCTGGGGTCGGCCTGCTCGGAGGTAAGCTAAGGTAAGGTTAGGTCGGGTACCGCAAAAGGCGGCAGAAAAGAAAAAAGGTACATTAGTCCCGAGTGTTCCAACGATAATATGAGTGTAGATCCGAAGAGGGGCCAGGTCACTAGGTACCCTTATGAGGAGGGGAGCTGCCCCTCACTGCTTTTTTTTTTTTTTTTCCTTTGGCAGGTGGTGCGTGGGCCAGGCGTGCCGTTGAGACTCGATTTTAGAGGTCGATAAGCCAATCGCTTTCTTGTTTCCCCTTGTTTTATCATCTGCTGGCGCTAATCCCCTTTCGGCTGGGAGCACGCACTGCGAAACCCCTCGATCCTGCCTGCCCAGCCGGTGATTTGACCTCCCACCAGCGTCGTGCGTATTCCTTTACTCTTTGCCCACGTCGCCCCCGCCTCCATTCACATCCGACTTTCTCGACTAGCCTCTACCTGCACTCAGGGCCCCTCATAGGAGATAAACAAACTCTAGCCGGCAACACCAAAGCTCAGATTCTCAATGCAGCGCGCCCATAGATGGGATGGCTCGGTGCGAGGTGGGGGCATGACAAGCATCGCGTCAAGAACGAGGCTGCCAAGACCGGACTATCCGGCGCAAAAAAAAAAAAAGTCCCTTGATGTGTGATGAATGTGATTTGTTTTCTTTTTCCTGTTCGATATAGTCAAGGCATGGATCTCTAGATAGTCTCGGGGACGTCGTGATAGCGAGAAGCATGCCTATGTGGCAGAAGCTCCGCTCCGCATAATTCTCGCTCGCATCCTGGCAAAGCCTCGCCCCGCGGCTTTGGTGCTCGAAATGCCTTCTCCCAGACCGCAACAGCCTCGTCCTTCAAAAAAAAAACCCTTCTTCCAGCAAATCACCTTAGATCTTGGCGTGGATCCCGGCGTGCCTGGTCAACGTGAAGCCGACCATCGTAAAGTGGCCGCCCCCAGGATGGAGGAACCGTCGATCGCGCTGATATACAGGAAAAGACATCGAATATCGACTCAGTACACACTGCCTGGGACTAATTACCGTAACGCCGTTTCGAATGCTTGATCCGCTCCCCAGATCATTCATCATTCCCAGAACACCTGTTCTCTAAGGTAATTCCACTCATGTTTTGTGTCTGCCCCTCGCCTTCTTCTTCCCCGCATGACCCTCCGTCTCTGCTCTTCTTCTTCTCGTCCGTCCAGCATCCCCTTCCGACGAACCGCAAGGGTTAGACCTGAGCCCGGCTCTACGCGTCCATCTAGGCACGCTTGGGCAGCAGGTTCTCCCTGGCGGCGAACATCTTGGCGCTGATGTTGGCCGTGAATCCGTCCACCTGCTTGCTGTACTGCTCCACCTGCTTCGCGTTCAGCATGCCCTCGAGCCTGCTGGGCTCCTGGGGCAGCTTGAAAAGCCTCTGCCACTCGTCCTCGGGCAGCGGCGCCTGCTTGGCCGCCGCGCGCGCCGCGTTCTCCGCCTTGCGCTTGGTCTGCCACTGCGTGATCTTGGCCTGCTCACGACCGAGCTGGCGCTGGTAGAACTGGTAGTTGTTGAGGTCCGTGTAGTGCGACTCGATGCTCTCGAGCAGGAGGTCGCACGTCTTCTCGAGGAAGGGGTCTATCGAGAGGTCGAGATTCTCGACCGACGGGTGCAGCTGCTGCTTGATGGGGTCTTCGCGCAGATCCGACAGGGAGTTGGGCGGCTCAATCTTGTCCTGCTGGGGGAGACCGGGGAGCTGGTGAAGGAACGAGGTCAAGAGGTGCGTGTTGTGAATCTCGACGGGGAGCTCGGCAAGGATGTCCTTGAAGGTGAGCTTGGAGGCTTTCAGACTGCACATGACTACGTTAGCACTGCGACGACCCAGACATGTCCGTGACTATTGTTATTTGTTATTGTTTATGACGTACCTCTCGGTCGTGAACTTGCCCTCCTTGTAGGCGGCCATGAAGGTCGGGGTGAGCTTGAAGGCACGCAGGCTGAGGGAGCCCTGGGAGCTGCGGCTGACGTCGTGGACGAGGGCGACTGTCCGCTCGTTGTCCTTCTGGTAGTGGTACTGGTTCTCGATGAAGCTGAGGTTGACAAAGTTGCCCATGGCGGCGCTCGTGTACCAGCCGACGTTGTTAGCGTCGACGTTGACCTCCTTCAGGTGTTTGATCATCTCGTTCTGGTAGACGATGTTGGCCTTCTGGCGGGGGGCGGCAGAGGCGATAGCCGAGGCATCGTTGCTGCTGTTGTTACTGTTCTGGTGGCTGTCGGTGTTTGCGACATCGACCGTGGGGAACTGGAAGGTGTTGGTGATCTCGAGGAGGCCATCCGAGTCCATGCCGACGATAGAGCCGGTCGCGGTTGTGGGGAAGGTCTGGGAGCCATGCTTGACGATTTTCATAACCACCTAGAGACGCAACAGTATCAGCAACAGTTTCTTTCTCACTTTCCCATATGCCCGGCCATCACCACGTAGCACAGAAGCCCCAAGTGAGGAGAGAGGTGGGGCAGGATTCGGTGCAGGACTCACAAGGGCCTCAACGCGAACCGCCTTGAGCGGCACCTCCTTGATAACGTCACCCATGCTTGCGATACGATCAGAGGGATTCTCGTGCAGGTCCAAAGATTCTTGGCTTATTTCGAGTCTGCGGCTGCGGGATCGATGGTGTCGCGTACTTGGCGGTCGGGTTTCAAAGGGGGGGGCCGTCTCGTCGTGATGCGAAATATCGAACTTTTCGCCTACGAATTGTGGGAGGGATTGTGGGCTGTCGGGCGGTGGGCGTCGGCAGAACTTCGCTCAATAGTGTCGGCTGTCTGTTTTCCACTCACACCCCCACTCTTCCGGCTAAATCGCATCCACACACCTGGCCGACGACCGCCGCGGCCGCCGTCTTTCGCACACGGTGAATCCGTAACAGATCCCACACGCCACGTCCAGAATGGGAGGGCATCCCACACATGCCCCCACGCCAAAAGCACTCACATGGAGTTTAAATTCAACGTCGTCTCATCTTGCCCGCTCTCGCCTTTCTCCTCCTGCTTTCTTCTTCGAAAGCTTGCTCATTCTACTCGCCTACTCTCGAGCATCATTTTGCGATATCACTCGGGGGGTATTATATGCCTCCGGCGGGCTACGCGAGCTTACAAAAGCAGCTGCGGCACATCGTTGTCTTGTTTCTAACCTTCGTCGGCCTCGGTTTCTGACCCTACCGCGGCATGTCGACAGTTCGGTTTGCAATGAGAGTACACAAGCCAAATTTCCAGGATTAAAGGGGAAACCGATGAGAGATACCAAATGCGTCCATGTATTACGCCGTCTATTGCGAAATCAAGTCATGTTCTCGTGGATATACAATGCTACCCCGGATGCGCCCATGAGTTACCCAATGCCCGCCCTCCACTGTACGCCGTGTTTGTCGGTGTGTTTTCTTCCTTCCTCGTACTCATTGCTCTAGGCGACATGCGTTCCAAACAAGTTCTCAAACGCCACCAGCCGCCACTTTGCGCCTGCCCGTCAAGTACTCTCGGACGTTCTTAGTCAACCCAGTCGACAATCTCCCAGCTCTCGGCGCCATCACCGATGACCAATCGGTGCCGATCAATCCGCCAGAACGAGTACATGGACGCTGTCGCATGGCTTGCCCTACGATGGGCAGGGCCGTGGCCTGCCTTTACGGCATCGAGTCTCGACCTCCACACGCAAGTTGCGAGGTTTCTCCCTTCCGAATCAGGACTTCCAAACCAGTACCTATCGATGGTCAGTCGGTCTTTGTTCTCTTTGTTGGGTGCGCGAAATTCTTAGTCTCCCTTACTTCAGGAACCCTCCGACTTGGTTGGCCTCGGCGTGTGCGGCCTTGTCCAGGATGCCGAGGTTTTCGTACACTGTCGTCGGGGGAATTGTTGAGCGGAACGCAACGATGTAAAAGGAAGTTTTCTTGAATGTTCTCCCCGAGGATTGAACGAGACTTTTGAGTTCGCTCATGACATCTCCCCAGTTGAAGGACTCGACATAGTTGGCTGTGGCGTAGTCGGCACGGAGGCACTCCATCCGAGACAACGCCCTGGCAAGGAGCGCGTTCTCGTCGTCGAGAGTGTCAAGATCTAGCAAGTGCTCCGGTTCCGTGTAAGGCGAATGAACCAAGAACCTGTCGGTGTTGTTGATGTCGACTTCGTCAACATTGACGACTGTACCCTCCTTGATCTTTTGGGTGAGGGGGTCGGCAACCGTGAAGGGTGCCGTGCTTACAATGGCTGTCATGGCGACAGGTTGGGTGAAAGCTTTCCAGTGCCTGTAAGGAGACGTCCAGTGGATGAGTTAGAGGCCGGCTGAATATGCAAGCAAAGATTACTCCAAGAGTTGCTACTTGAACTCGAGTGCTGTGGCTTAATGACTAGGGTTTGACTGGCGTTGTTCGATGAATCAGGCGTTGTTGGCCTGTGTAAGGGGCGATTATATCTCAGAGGAGACTGGCAAAGACGGAGAGGGTTGTGGGAGTCTGAGATCAGCTTGGAGATGGAAAACGACGAAACGGCATGGAAAGAGAAAAACGAGCGTGGCATTGAAATATAAGAACAGCCAAGAGCCTAGAGTTTAGGACGTGTCGGCAAGGGGCATCGAGGAAACGTCTTTTTGACACGGAATTGCCTAACCCAAGCCTGGTGGGTCGGGAGACTAACTACTACACCGTCGGGCGACTCTGGGCGAGTCAAGACCAGCTGATTACACGGTGTGCCAGTCAAAGGAGCGGTGTTCGTCCCTCAGCCATATGCTCGGGGACCCCTTTTTTATTATTACTATTATTGCATAGGAAAGGTGCGAGCTGGGCGGGCCGTCCATGGACCGTCTCATTAAAAATAAGACTTGCCGGGTGTTTGCATTGCATGTGCAGAGAAAAGCATGGAACAGTCACTGTGCCAAAGGTGGATGGCGCAATCGGGCGCGGTTCTGATGCCAGCGACACAATTTCGATCTGGTGACAATGCACGCCGCCATGGACTTTGTGGGCACAGATTCTACGCTACGTAGATCTACAAGCCAGACGGGTCACCATTGCCGATTACCAAAGCAACAGACCGTGAACAAGACTGTCGAGATCGGCACTGCGTTGAGGAAGAGGCGGCAATAGACTACCTGGCGATAAAGTATGGCCTGTTACAAAAACAGGATAGATAGGCAAACTACCTAGGCGTATACTGACATAATACCATATTATCACTATTACCTATCTAGGTACTCCGTAGACAGCGGGACAATATGGCCCCCCCCCCGCATTCTTCAGCGACGCTACACCGAGCCATGACCAACAAACTCGTCTACACTAGCCGGAGACTAGTCGGATGGCTAAGGAAGCCCAAGAATGAGGTGATGGAAGCGAACAGACGAGGTGCAGTTTCGCATCCATTCATCCATCCACCTTTACCTGTCCTCTTCCTGACCAAAGCACAGTACATGCTCTCTACTTGCAGCCGTCCCGTCCCGTTAAGCCAAGGGCCATTCACCAGATGTACACAATCACATACTGAGGAAGTCAGGGTAGGGTAGTAGGTAGGTAGGTAGGTACTCCGCTGACTGGCCTACCCCGGGTTCCCCCAGACCTTGGCCTTGCCACAGATCTGGCTTGGCTCCATAGGGCCACCTCTAGTGTATGGTAGATTCACCCCAACACTCCCATTCTGCCGCAGCCATGAAGCCACACGACGTTTCGAAGATGGCACTGTTCCCTCTTGCTTTCGGACTTTTCCCGTCCTCAAGTCCGTCCCGTATATGTATACCATGCTGAACTGGCCTTGCGTGTTATTCACCTTCTCTCGGTTACGACATATTTTTTTCCTGCATAGATACGATCCATAGGTAGGTACCTCTAGGTATGCATACAGTACAAGGCCGACGTGCCGTGCCGTCACCGCTTCTTGCGCCGGCGCCGACGCACTGCATATATCATGCAGTCCCCCCCCCCCCCCCCCCCCCCCCCCCCGCCGGCCTATCACAACCCTTCAACGACATGTGCTTCGTCCTTCCCTCGCGTGAGCCAGACCTTTGACATCTCATATGTCCCCAAGTACAAGCCGCTGCCAATCGCCGTCCACACCGAGCGCAGCGCTCCACCGCGGAAGAGCCCACGAACGCCGTTCTGCCGATAGACATCTCGCGTCACTTCCAGGCTTCCTCGTCCCTTTTTGGGCTTCGGCGCATCGCCAGCCTCCCTCGACGAAGCTCCCCCTCCGTCGCTTCCTCTACTAGCCTCGCCCGCGCTCAGCATCATCCGCGTCTTAATGACATCGCTCGGCGTCGTGATGAACGCGGCTAACGCACCCGCAGCCCCGGCGCTGGTCCCCGTCACCACCGCCGTCTCGATGAGTCCCTGTTCCTCGCCTGGCCCCCTCCTCCGCGTCCTCGAGTCCCACGCCGTCTTCTGCAAGTATTCAAAAATGGGGAACTGGATCGCCGTGAAGGGCAGGTTGCGCGCGACCAGCGCCGTGTATCCGGAGAACAGCTGCCTCTGGGCCCCGGAGCTGGTTACTTGGCGCAATGCCTCGAGAGATGTTGATCGTCTGCCACTTGATCTGCTGTTGCCGCTCTTCTTTTGACGGAGCATTTGCGCGTTTTGCTTGATTACCTCGGCGGGCGCAAGTACTAGACATGAACCCATCTCGGCGATGGCTGAGGCCAAGGAGTGCCCCAACGGTTGCGGGACCGAGCCGGTCTTGGAGATTGTCTTCTTCATACTCTCGTACGTGGCGAAAAAGATGCCAGCTTTAAGGTTTTAACCCCGGAATCAGTCAGTATGCCAATGTTCGAATGACAGCCATGCGAACGGCCGAAGTGCAAGAGCGGGTGCCCACCTGCTGGTAATGTAGCCAAGACGACACTCCCAATGCCCTGGTAGAGGCCGCGGAAGAGCGGTGCCTTGCTGCCTGGTGAAGAGGCATAGGTCTGGACGAAATCCCGGCTTTGGTACCGTGTCTTGAGTGTGTCGAGAGGGTAGATCAGGCAGTCCACTGTGAATGCTGCTACAGCACCAGCCTGGAGTTGTCAGTCAGATGGCTCCTGGTTCACCCATGGCAAGCGAAGACCATCGAATTCCAGTAAGACGGTCGATGAAGAGGTATATCTTAGGCGACTTACTGCGTATATCTCATACATAATGCCGAGTCCTTGCGTTTGGCTTCTTTTCGGATCCAGTAGGTCCTCAAGCAGCTTCAATGCATCTTGAAAGAAAATCAGGATGCTGCGGGTTTGGTAAGGTCACTCGAGCAATGAATGACATCATATTTGACTGTATCGAGACGGGACTTCCAGGAGCTATTTTACCGGCGAGCATACTCTCCCTTTCCTTACATTTGTACATAGCGAGAGCAATAAATAGTCTTCCTGGTTGTTTCCAAGAAGAGAATCAGCTCCTGGCGCTCTTGTGATATTGGGAGTCAAATCAAAAATCAGTTTGCGGAAGAGAAACAATTGGAAATTGGGTATGGCAGCAGCATCACCAGGTACCCTACCAGCCTACCAGCCTAATTAGCCACCACCCTTACCAGGTATCTTGCATTGTGGCTGATAATCGATTTAAGGGTGGACCCTTGATTACCTAACTCGAGTAGAGATAAGATAAAGAAATTTGAGTGCCCCGCCCCCGCCATGCGTATCAGTCACCGAGTGGTGGTGGTGCACCGGCGTTGCGATTGACTCTTACCAAACTTTTTTTTATATCTTTTTTTCCCGGCTGTCTCCTCCTTGCGCAAACTCGACAGCTCCGACACGCCCACGCATTCACACGGTCAAGCACAAAACATGGCCAGCATTACCGAAATGGAGGCCGAGGCCCCCCACAACAACTTCGACGTATGTAGCACCCATACCGAAAGTGGCCAGCCTAAATGGCCCGCCTGGGTTCACCATCTCTTGCTGCGCTGCCTCCCACCACCGTCACGATGCTACGACCAGCCAATGCCCCGAAGCTGCCTACGATATCCCCACGTATCTTTCTCCGCAAAGCGAGCAAGAAACAGACAATGAACTGGATACCAAATATCGCAGGAAAGACCGGGAAACAGACGTTGATCTGGCTATGGTCGCGTCCCGACACTTGTGGTATCCATGCTCGGTATCTTCCAGTTGCATAGGCAGTTGGCTCACTGCGACTGAATAAGACTTCAAGCCACGGTTCAAACTTGGGCAGCTAAGGGGCAAGCAAGCTAGCAGCGGCATCAGGCGGTCCGGCGGCAGCGGGTAAAGCCATAACCGGCGAAGAGAACAGTTGCGATGGCAGTCGCTAAGAAATGAACGTATGGTTTGCTGACATTGTCTGTCACAGACTATCCTCGTTCTCGACTTTGGTTCGCAGACGAGCCATCTCATCCTGAGACGCCTGCGTGCACTCAAGGTGTACGCTGAGATGCTGCCATGCACCACGAAGCTGGCGGATCTCCCCTTCAAACCGAAGGGTATTGTGTTTTCCGGAGGTATGCGTGCTGTGTTTCATCGCGTCTTATTAGGGCTTTCTCACGTTGTGATACGGCGCCGGTACCATACCCTTAGCTTACTGACAATGAACAGGACCCTCGTCCGTCTACGATCAGGGCGCGCCTCGTAAGGTTTCCCTCTTGTACACAATGTGAATTTGTACTAAATTGTTCCAAGATGTTGACCCTGCCGTCTTCGATCTCGGTGTCCCGATTCTGGGCATTTGGTATGATTGCCTTTGTTCTTGGCGGCGATTATATGCTAATCCCGAGTGTCCAGCTACGGTTGCCAGGTAATATCCCTCTGCTTTCAGTGAGCCCTGCGATAGTAGAATGCGGTTACCTCACAGGCCTACTGAAGACTACTTGCCAGAACATAGATTGATTATAGTACAGGAGCTTGCTTGGAGAATCAACTCCGACAACGTCGCCCGCGGCGCAGCCCGAGGTTCGTGAACCAGAAGAAACCTGCCGGGAAGGAACGTGCCATCTGACTATTTAACTGCTGTGTAGAGTACGGTCATGCCGATGTCACCATCCACAACTCGGGCAACTCCCACACGGATCGCCTCTTCGCAGGTCTGGGAGAGACGATGCATGCCTACATGTCCCACTTCGACAAGCTCGTAAAGCTGCCTGAAGGCTTTGCAGTTGTCGCGAGCACAAAGAACAGCGAATATGCCGCAATTGCCCATCAGACTAAGCCGATTTATGGTATGTCGCCAATATTGATGTGCTAAAGCAGCTTGCCTTAAGGCTGTGTCTTTAATTAAAACGACGCCATGGCAAACCACACTAACTGATTATGGACTCCTTATAGGCGTTCAATTCCACCCTGAGCTGGAACACGTAAGTGGAACTCTGACTTGGGTTGCACTAATACTGACGTTACTGCAGACGCCGAGAGGCAGTGAGATCCTTCGTAACTTCAGTGTTGACATTTGCGGAGCGCAGCCCAACTGGGTTATGAGTGACTTTATCAAGAAGGAGATTGTTCGCATCAGACATCTCGTTGGCGATCGTGCCCAAGTTATTGGCGCTGTGAGCGGAGGAGTTGATTCCGTAAGTCATCCCCTATCTTCATTAGAGCGTAGTCAAGATTAGGGGTTGAAGCTGACTTGGTGAACAGACCGTCGCTGCTAAGCTTATGAAGGAAGCGATTGGCGATCGCTTCCATGCGATTCTAGTTGACAACGGTTAGCAACTTACGCCTTAACGCAGCCAGACAAGAGGGGAATACTAATATGGTACGTGTAGGAGTCATGCGTCTCAACGAGTGCGAGCAGGTGAAGGAGACGCTCCAGAAGCACCTCGGCATCAACCTGACGGTTGTTGATGGAGCTGAACTGTTCCTTGGTCGTCTCAAGGGCGTCACAGAGCCGGAGAAGAAGCGCAAAATCATTGGTGGAACATGTATGCTCATCCCTCGGACTCTTTAATTGGCGGGTCTCTCGAAGCCATCGTTGCAATTGCTCTGACGCGAAGCAGTCATCGATCTCTTCGAGAAGGAGGCACTCCGTATTGAGAAGGAGGCAGAGAACACTCCCAATGCCGGCGCGGTCGAGTGGTTCCTCCAGGTACGTCGGATCCATCCTCCTTCATCATTAGCTCTTAACTGACTCTTACGTTCCAGGGCACTGTGAGTGACTGTGGTCCAGACATAGGCTTTGACGACGATGCTGACTTTGCGGTGTGCAGCTTTACCCCGATGTGTAAGTCCGACCCTGACACAAACACTCTTCAGAGCTGACCAGGGTTTAGTATCGAGTCGCTTTCGTTCAAGGTGCGTAGAGCCGATGCATTGGCCCGACAAGGGTCTGGGATGCGCTTTCTTCTTCTCTCCTCGGATTTTGCATATGACTGACTTTTGACTTTTACAGGGCCCCAGCGCGACCATCAAGAGTATGGCTTCCTAGCTACCGATGTCCCCGAGAGGTCTTAACTCTGATCCGAAGACCTCGTCGCAAACCCTAGATATGCAAGGATTGCCGCTGACTCTAGAAACAGCCCATCACAATGTCGGAGGTCTGCCCGACACGCTCAAGGTACGTTGGAGAGTGATGGTATGGCTTGGGGAGATGTCGCCGGAAGGACATGTCCACGGCTCCTTTTCTCGGCCATACTTCAAATGCTCGGAAGGGAAGCAACTGACGCCGTTTGCAGTTGAAACTCATTGAGCCGTTGCGGGAACTTTTGTAAGTAACATCGGCTTTCCCTCTTACACACATCAGTGTGCCATGGTCATGCGGTGGTCAATTTGCCAGAGCAGAAGGCAACAGGTAGCGGCGCCGAATCCTCTCGGCTTCATGGTTCCGTCCAGGGCCAGGATTTGGCCTGTTACCTGCATCTTACTGCTGAAATCAGCTAACAGCATGATTAGCAAGGATGAAGTCCGAAGTTTCGGCAGAGAGCTTGGCATCCACGACGATCTCATCATGGTATGAAACAATCTTCAAAAGATGGTTGGACTATTATCTAACAACCTCGATCAGCGACACCCTTTCCCGGGCCCCGGAATCGCCATCAGAATTCTTGGAGAGGTCACACCGGAGCGCGTGGCAATTGCCCGAGCTGCTGACAACATCTTCATTTCGATGATCAAGGAAGCTGGCATCTACGATCAGGTAAGTGTGCATAATAACAAGTCTCTTGAGCAACGACTAACCATTCTATAGATGTCCCAGAGGTATGAAGTCACTCTCTATGATTCGAGGGTGCTCTAAACTAACGTCCAAAGCTATGCTGGCCTGGATACCAACAGAGGTATGCGATGATTCGAAGTCGACCTATTTTAACACCGTTCTGGGCCGACCGACGGAGGTTGCTTTGAGGCCTTGTACTAACTACTGTCTTTTATAGCCGTGGGTGTGCAGGGTGACGCCAGAGTCTATGGCTACATTGTCATTCTGCGCGCTGTGCAGACTGCAGACTTCATGAGTTGCGAGGTAAGATCATTTCCGCCGAAATGGAGGGTTGGGGTCCACGGACTAACAGCACGCGTAGCCTTTTGAGTTCGACTTCAACCTCCTGAAGAAGATCTCCACACGCATCGTCAACGAGGTTGAGGGTGTCTCGCGTGTCGTGTATGACATTACCAGCAAGCCGCCCGGTAAGCCTATTGATTTCCGCCCTCGAGACCCCATCGGCGGGCCGTATGCCCGCGTGCACGTACGTGGAACACGAATCTAACCTCGCTGTTGTAGGAACAATTGAGCTTGAATAGAGTACATTAGACCATATAAAGCATGTAGTCGCATTAAGAAACGACAAACAACAATCCAAGGTGGTGGGGGTGGTACGGAGAACCATGTCGGCCTGGTGGGGAATGTCCGTTGAGAATAGATATCGTTTCGCACCGACCACACATTTCGTGGACCTATCTTTCAAACCCAATATTAGGTTTGCCTCACCTCTTATGTTGCTTTCTTCACATTTCCCGGATACGCAACCGAATCGAACCTTTCTTCAGTCCAGGGCGACGGAAGGACACACCGGTCTCATTCATCGCCATAAACAAGAAACGGCACAGCACACCAAGTTCCAGCAGCTCGGCATTGAGACTATTCGCGCGCCGTCTAACGTGACGCGGAGACCCGAGCTTGTCGATCTCTTGAACACGCACAGCCCAATGCTAACAGGGAGCAGGCCTGTCTGTCAATACCAGAATGTGTAGATCTCCGGCTCAAGCCGAGAAAGGTTATGACAGCGAACTCTCCCGTGCGCTAACCTGCCGCTGTGAGGAGAGCCATCCTCCTGGAACCGCCATAGTCGCCGCAGGCCAACCTATGACATGGAGGGTGTCAATCCATACCGGAAAGAAATCCTTCCAGCCTTGGCGACATCAGGATCGGGTCCGAAAGCTCTCTCATCAATGCAGCAAAACAGCACAAAACTGCACCGCCGACGGCTGCTGACGGCGGCTCCCCCTGCCATCAACCGAAACGCGCGGCAGCTTAGGATTAGGCATACAGCCAGCGCCATTCTCACACAGAGGGCAGGGCAGCATCTCCTTTTGATCGTCGGGCTGCAGTATTTTGCGCTATAGCGCACCAGTGTGCCGTCTGCCAAGCTCGGGATTGACAGATCCCATGCGGTCGGCGCCAGTCTCTTGGTCTTTGCGCTGTGCCACCGCCTTGACACTTTGCTACAGAAGGTTTCACTCAACGTTGATGTCAGACACAGGAAACGACCCTCGCGACCCAAGGTCGATTTTGACGGGCACTTGTGTCCCGAGCCATCTTCCCTCTCTGTACGAAACGCGCCCTAGTTTGGCCGCTGGCAGTAGTGGTTCACACAACGCCGTTGCGGAAAGTTGAGGCGAATGTCGGTCTTTCAAGCCCGCCTTACTTCCAGCCCATCCTCAGCCTCTCCGGCTCGGAGTGCGGGTGGGGGAGGTCAAGAAACTCACGCGATGTCTTTCCTCGATTCTTCCATAGCCCGTTCCACGTCACACCTCAAGGCCTTCCAGGCCAACGCCTTCTATGCTCTTCGTGTACCAATTGCCTCGCTCGTGCCCCCCTCCCCTTTATAATGACTCGAAATAGGAGACATCCGCCACGGGCTGGTCCATGGAACATTCCATGAAGCGTTTCGTCTCACACCGAATCACTAGTCCGACGACACAACTGGGAATAGCATCACGAGGACTCCGGGTGTCGCGGTCGAGATCCACCCTCCCCCCTTTCCCGGTGTCTAAGGCGGCGATGGCGTCGGTTGCCACGCGAGTTGCTGCGCCAAGATGTCCGCTGCAGAGGCATTGGCAATAATCTACGCTATATTCTAGATCCCCCCATTGGCAAGGCTTTCAAGTGGCTCTAGACGCAGTTCTAGGTTTTGTTCTAGATGCGTCCACGTCTAGCGTCGAGTTGCTGTCACACAGCGACGAGTTCATCATCTAAACGCAGCTGAACTTGAACGTGGTCCGGGAAATACAGCCTCTCGCATCTGTGCCACCCGATCGAAGTCTATGCCAGACCACCCCAAACGTAGCTGTGTCGCATTGTAGTCAGTCACCGTTGCATTTTGTTGTCCGATTCGCGTTGTTTCCTCTACAGTCCCTCGCAGCCATGCTTCTCCAAGTAACGTTGGCACCATCCCAATTCCCCTCGGCAACTAGCTAGACTTATTAGGAAACCAAACAGTCCAACGCGGTTATGCCGTAAGTCTCTTTAGTTGAGGAAGCCCGTTGTTTGAAGGTAACCGGGCGGGTGGCCGTGCATTGCATCGTTCAAGTGGAGTGCAGCAAACCCAGCCTCGTCAGTTCGGCCAGCCACCATGATCGGTCCCGAGGGGGGTGGCCTTTCAAAAGTGTCAGGTTGCAGAGGCAGCGCTGGGGCGTTCTTCTGCCGTCATTTACCACATTGCAATAGTCCATGCCCCGGTTGCTGCTCCTCCTAGACGGTTCATGATGGCGATTATTGACATGGCGGTGGCTAAATGGGCCACCCCCTTATTGGGGGGCTGACAAGACCCCAGCAGCAAAGTTGCACCGGGTGCCTGAGACAGCGTGTGCCACCCAACTCAGTTCCAAGATGATTGCGGCCTATCAATCTCGAGCATGCGGCTAACTGGTGTGAAATATCCCAGGTTGAAAATACGACAGGGATGCGGCGAGATGTTTGTCCATGTGGCTCAGAGGAAAAGGACGTCCGTCTGTGTCCAATATCAGACGGTGATGTAGGAACAATGAGGGCAGGCGGCAGGCAGGGTATGCTCAGCATTGGCCTAGCCATCATCTTATGATTTTGGTCAGGAACTAATCATACTCTTCATCTCCCCCCGGATCTCTCTTATAAGGTTGGTTTCGTCCTCTCTTTTCTTGTCCAAATCGTTTGGGGATCACCGTTACCGCGCAAACCTAGTCATTCGCTTTCATCACCAATTTTCAACAATCATCCAATCTGGCCCGCCCTCGCAACCGAGCGGGCTCTCCAACCGACTGCAGAGCTTATTGCTCATCGTCCAATTCTACATATGCCTCGGAGTTCGGTAGTCCTTTAAAGTCTGAGGGGGGAGTAGTATATGATAGTCTCTGTTGATCTCCCTTCAAGACTCTCCATATACACACCATCGATAACTTTACATATCGCGGACATGGCCTGCCCATTCCTTCAGAGCACCCTAGCGGTGCCGCCGCGGCACACCTCGGTGGAGCAAGAGTTCGCCAACATCCGTTCACGATACCCGTCTCTGTCGTCAACAGGCTGCACGGCAAGGTTCTGTCAGTCTGGGCGGATGACGCACATTGATGAAGAGCGCGTGGGCCGGAACCAGTCATACGCCCAGGTCCGCGAGGATGCTCTTGACTTCTTACAGCAGATGCATAAAGATGGCCTTATAAACACCGAGAAGCTTCACCAACGTGCACATGAGGTCCTCCAAGAGATTCAAAAAAACTCAACGGAGGGCAAGTTCATATCCTCCGAGCGCGGGCCGGAGACGGCGCCGGTGACGACCGTTGGACTCGTCGGTGGCCTCTGGACGCAGACGTTCGAAGAGCTTGAGTTTGGCCTGCGTATGGCGTGGAAACATGCCCGGAAATGCATCATGCGTTCTGAATACGGCAACCTCAGGTACTTACAAGTCTACCATAGAAATGAAACAATACTGATCCATACACCCCAGATTGTGCGACTTGAGACATGTCCGGACAAGCAAAAAAATGGCCGAGACTTTGATCGAGAACCTGAGAGTAGCATACAACTCTGGCGAAATCAACCCCACAGGTATGTGAATCACTGTTGGTTGTGGCCTCGTTCTGACAGTCTGGGTGTATGTAGTCTTTGTCTTCCCTCCACGAGACATCAACAGCCGCGGGCCCATGATCTGGAACTCACAATTGCTAGCCTTCGCGGCCGTAAGTCCTTCCCTCCGGCACTAGCTTTTACGTACGCTAATGTTTCCAAGTACGAGCAATCCAACGGCGAAATCCTCGGCGACCCCGCCAACGTCGAACTGACCAACGCTATCGTTGAACTCGGTTGGAAACCACCACGCTTCCGCTCCCAATGGGACCTCTTGCCCCTCGTCACGATGGCGGATGGCGAAGAGCCCGTCATCACAGAGCTGCCCAAGGACGCGTTCCCGCTGGTGCAAATACGCCATCCCAAGCACCCCGAGCTCGAGACTCTTGGTCTGCGTTGGGTTCCCGCGCCGGCACTGAGCCGTCTTGGCTTCAGCATTGGCGGCGTGCAATACACCGCAACGCCTTTTATTGGATGGTAACCTGAAAGCCTTCCCTTTTGTCTGAGCTCTTGCTGATTTAATGCAGGTTCATGGATGCTGAGATTGGCGTCCGCAATTTGGCAGATTCCTTCCGATACAACGCGCTTCCTCAGGTTGCCAAGACCATTGGCTTGGTCGACGGGGACGTGGACGATCTTCCAGACTATGAACGTCTGGCCGTGTTGGTAAGCTTTACTGACGCTCACTTCATTTCAAACTCTTGACTTACAATATCATAGTCCCGAGCCCAGTTGGAGCTCAACTACGCCACGTACTGGTCCTTCGCTCAGGCCGGCGTCAGGATGTCAGACTCCCTCGGCGCCGCGGAGCAATTTGCCCAGTTCGACGACGAGCACCTCATGAACAACGGTTTCCGCCTCCCCTCGGATCCATACTGGCTGGCGCCTCCCCAAGGCTCAATCATCCCCATCTGGCACCGCGGCGGTTCTCCAAACTACCAGCCAAAACCATTAATCTGCCGTCATGCCCAAGATCCCATCAAAGCCTGGCGCCGCGAACGGCGAGCACGCGCAACACGAACTCTCAATCCTTTACACACGAAGCTCGACATTTTCGTCCCGTCCATCTCCCTGACTCGGCCCGCCACACCCGTCTCCCCCTTCGGTACCGCGTCGACATCTTTCCTACCCGTCCGCCCATCCTCGCAGGCAACTAGACCGTCGACGCCGCTGACGCCGTTGACCCCCCGCGGGCCCGGGCGCAGAATCTACATCGGATTCTGCAGCTCGGGCAATGTCGCCATCAAGCTCTGCAAGAGGCTGTGCGTGCAGCTGCAGCACGCGTGCGACGCCAACCCCAAGTTGGGCTCCGTCGTCGTGCCGTGCACGCTCAACGCCCTCCCCATCTCCATGGTCGAGGTCAACGACGTACTGGTCATCGTTGCCAGCACGACCGGTCGCGGCGAGATCCCGCAGAATGGCAAGGCCTTCGCGGACGCGTTGGCGAGGAGCCCCAAGGCGATCGCGTGTCGCTACGCCATCTTTGCCAACGGGTCGCTGGAGTACCCCGATACGTACAATCAGGCCGCAATGGACATTGAGGAGCTGCTGAGTAGAGGCGAGGGGCAGAGGCTCATTCGCATGCGCGAAGCCGATACCAGCACGGAGAACCCTCCGTGGCCCGTCCTCGGCCAGTTTTTTGACCAGGTCCTCGCCGCGCTGCAGAAATCGAGCTTAGGAGGAGCCGAGAGTGACGCAGACGACGCGCAGTGGACCGCTCGGCCGGTCAGACCTTTTGACACCAGGCCTTGGTTTCAGGCCAAAGTTGTTGGACAGCCTATTTTGGGGACGACTGCGGACGGCATGAAGAGGGTCACTCTTGACTTGGGTGATCGCGAATATCCGACCATGGGCAGCGTTTGGATTCTGCCGCCCAACTCGAGGAACAAGGTGTCGAGCGTTCTTGGGGCTCTCGGCCTGCAGGCTGATGAGCGCCTAAACCTCCCTGGTGAGCCTACCGTTGGTGACTTCTTCCAGCGCTTCGTCGATCTGGAGCGTCCTTTCAAGTCTACCGAATGGGCTAGTGGACTGTCGTTGTCGCGGCCGGAGACTCTGGCCAAGGCAGCCATTGAAGATGTGGTTCACCAGATACCAGCAGACTGGAGGCGGTTAGTGACGCTGGACAGCCTCTGCAGCGCCATGCCGACGATCCAACCAAGAGAATATTCAATCGCCTCTGATGGGTCGCGAACTAAACACAAAGTCGGGAACACCATGGATCTCCTTGTCCAGCACCATCCCAGCGGCAGATTCTCAGACAGGTACCTCAACTGCTTTGAGACGTTCGGAGCCGTAACCTGCAAGATCCGCCCGTCGTCCCACTTGCAGAATATCGTCGAAAACCAAGACAGGCCAATGATCATATTCACGACCGGGTCCGGCATGGCGCCCGTTCGCGGACTATTGCAGAACCGCCTCCAGCGGCTCCGTTCTTCTGACGAAGAATCCGCAAAGGGCCCCACGATCAGCCTCTTCGCAGGCTTCAAGGCCCCGGACGAAGAAATCGTGCGCGAGGCGGTTCAAGAAGCCGACGAGGCGGGCATCTTTGACGTGCTGAGGCTCGTGGGCAGTAACAAGGAGAAGAGGAGGGCGCAAGACGCGATGCTCGACGAGTGCGTGCGGGAGAAGCTTGCGAAGAACATTGAGGAAGGCGCGCTTGTCTTTGCGTGCGCGCGGCCGAGGGCCGTGGACGATTTCCTGATCAACCTGAGCAAGGTGTTGGGGCGGGATGCTAGGGAGGTGCTGGGCGACCGGTTCATTGCGGATGTTTACCAGCCTGCGACTTGATCACGTCTCTATTTTCATTTCGCCTTTTTTTCTTTTCCATTCACTTCTTCAACGGCAGGATTATAGACTTGGCAGTAAATAGGATTCTTTAGAAAGCGAGGCGTTGGAGGGCATTATAGTTGTTCAGGAGTTGTTACGCCCGATCATCAAAATGAGGAAACTGTACAAACAACGAATTCTATCACTCACCAGCGTGCTCGCATAGACTTAGGTTGAGATGGTAATGACTCACATAATCTTTTCGCAAATGGCGTTATGGAAGTTGCCAAGTCCATTGACTAAAAGTGTCTTGGCACTTGGCAGGGATAGTCAACCACCAATATCACGATTCTCAGTTGCCAGTAGGGTATTCCATGTTTAGCATTGCCGACTAGGCAGCTTCATTATTGTACATCATATCATAAATATCCAACCACAAGGCCATCGTATCGCTTCTTTCCACTTTCCCGTATCCAAAAGCATCCCCATTCAAAACTTATCAGGGTGTTCCGCCTCGGCAGAAGTCTTCGTCACGCTCTCGGGCGGGATGTTGCCCTCGGCAGAGATGCTGTCCGGCACGTCCTCGGGGATGTAGTAGTCGGAGCCGGGGAATTTGTTGCCGCCGACGCCCGGGGGGTTCGTTCCGACGTTGTTCCGCACGGCGGCTTCGCCGTGCAGCAGAATGTCCTTCTTGCGGTTTGGGTCGCCCAGCGGCGAGACATTCTTGGCCGGCACGACGTCGTCGTCGTCGTAGGCCGGGTCCTTGGCCGGCTGCTCTGGCGTGTACGCGACGTTGTAAGCGTGGTCACCCTGCACCTTCACAGAGGCGCCGGGGAAGCGCTTCTCCGTCTGGACGGTATCAATGCCGGCGTCGTCGTTACCCTGGCGGCGGGCGGCACCCGTCTTGGCCTGGTAGCTGTTTACGTCGAGCTGTGCCTGAGCGGCGGCCTCCATGAGCTGCTCCTTTGAGGGTGCCATTTTGTGCTGTGTAATCGTCGTGTGACGTGTAAGGTGTGGCGTGTTAAGTGGTGTAAGTGAAATGAGAAAACCTTCGGGATGAATCTAGATGGGTTGATGAATGTGTTTAAGCGCTGTTTGGTGCCGATGCGATAGAAAAACGGTTACTGACTGCTCGGAATCATCAACTTTTGTAGTCGTCGTTGACTCTCATCCAGCCTCGCCGTCTCAGCTCAGATGTTCGACGTCATCTTGATGATCTCATCGACCACTGTGCAATGAAATCACCACACCCGCCAAAATGTGGTGCTTAGTGGGGAACGACACATCTCATCGAGCGATCGAAGGGATCCGATGCCATCGCGCCGCTACAAGGCCCTCAAAGACCCTCAATGCATTCACGGTTGAGACGGAAATTCGACCAGTTTGACGTAGATGTGATATCAGTCGCCCCTCTACCCCCCCAAAAAAGTCTGACCAATCTGCGTGGCGCCTGGGTTCCCATCAGACAGCGGCACCTTGGGTTAACGGGCCGGCCCCGGGGTGCTCCGTATGTTCGGTCAATCGTCCGGCAGCCTACACTACATATGTCAGACATGTTAGTTCATTTCCTTGTCTCCTTAAGCCAAAGGAGACAGGCATTATATCACCTTGGTCTTCAACCCAACCTCTATTTTAAAGTGACGAAAAAGGTATCATTTGACTCTGCATTACAGTCTTGATGCCTAAAAAGCCACGACTCATGCTTTTACGAAAAAGTCCCAACACAGCGCACCAATACCATTGCAAATGGTCGCTGCGGTGGCGTAATACACGAGCGCCCAAATCATTCTCCTCCCGGCCTCTATGGGGGTGCGATGATACCAAACTTTCGAATCCTCCTGTTTCATCAACTGCATATCACTGCCAACGCCCATTGGCCAGGCTCCCGTATCGGAGCATGACCTATACCTAACCATCAGTACCGCTGCTGCGGAAAGTGGCACAGAGTGCGGCGTAGTGATGAGTGAGATCAAGGACTTCTTGAGGCAGGCTGGTAGCTTGAATAATGCTCCTGACCTTGACCGCGCCTTCGTCCTCGATAAGCGTACGAATAGTGTGGAGAAGTTCTGGAGAGAACTCCGAGTACCACCTATACTGCCAAGTAACGAGGCGAATGACCGACGCAACTGTTTCGCGCGTGTTCTTGTTTTGCTCAAAAACGCGAAGGATACCCGTCAAAGCCTTAGGGCTGAAACGTGCTGCGAGACAAGCTCTGTACGCCTCCACCGCCTCGTCTGCGTGCTGAAGTCTCTCCGCCAGAGAGCCAAGAATCTCCCATTCCTCGGCCGACTTCTTGTACTGCATCGACTGCGCCCTATACTGTGCCATCTGTGTACGCCAAATGGTGTAGACGCGAAGATCCTCGTACAGGACCATAAAGAGGCTGTCCAGCCAGCGCTCACAAAGGCGTTTGTTGTTAAGCTTCGAGAGATGATCATCGTTCTGTGCGGCCTAGTACAATGTTAGTTGGAATCAAAACCGCAGCATTGGAAGCGTTTACGTTTTCCGCATCTCCCTTGAGTTCGCCGGGGTCTATCGCGTGGGTGGGCTTCTCCACGGCCTCGCCCTCCTTCTGTCCATTTGTCGCCAACGTCTCGGCAGTAGACTCGGTGTCTGTTGGCTTGGATTTCTTCTCCTCGTCCTCATCCGAGTCCGAGTCTGAGTCTGACTGGTCGCCGTTCGTTGTCGGGTCTGGGGTTCCGCGAAGGCCGTCCGTGCTTGGATTGCGTTGAGCATGCGAGGTTTCCTGCTTCTCGGATCGGTACTCGTCTTCCATCACAAACACGGTGCTTCGGATCTTGAGAAGCTGATCCCATCCGATCTTGGCCGTCATCTCCGTCAGGATGCCATAAGCTTGCTTGAAAGTTCCCTTGTAGACTGCGGCACGCAGATTTAGGAGACTCGCATCGACCTGCTCGGAGTATCTGGACTCGGGTTCACTGTCGATCTCGTCTAGTCGAGTCTCGGGGAGAGTTGGCAGATGCACATCTTTGGGTTCGGGCATCTGAGGCGCATCTTTGTCTTGGTACGTGAACATTGGGCAAGAGTTGAGAATCGTCAGGGCGTTTTCCCAATCCTCCATTGCCACGTAGACTTGCGCCAACCTTGCCCAAGTACCGAATTCACTGGGGGCAGCAATTGTGCTGCGATCAGCACAGCCCAGGGCTAGGCGAAGCCTCTCTTCCTTCTGCTCGGGTGTCGCGGCAGTTTGCGCCTTCTTGAGAAGGAACTCGGCCTGGGTATCCAGCATGACATAGTCCATCGGTGATTCTTTCAATGCCTGGTGGAGCACCCTGACGCCCTCGACCTCCTCGTTGCCCATGAACAAGACCTTGGCGAGGAGGGAGGAAACCTCGACGTTTTGGTCCCTGAGCTTCTCGAAGAGGTTGATACCAGAGGCGTAGCGTCCCGTCGTCTGGAAATACTTGAGAAGGCCGGCGGTCAGATGGTTCGAGACATTGTTTGGTACCTGAACGACACTGTCGGAACCGAGCTGCCAGCCTAAAGTCATGTTAAATCACCAATCTGACGATTTTTGAAGTTCAGACATACCTCTGAAGAACAGCTGTTCGGCGGCGTTGAGAAAACGGTGTTCGGTTTCGGTGTTTGTGACGGGATTGAATCTGCGCACACCCATGATCTTTCGGATAGTCTCTCCGCTTCCATCGTCTGCGTACGAGTAGGCGCGCAGAACACTGCAGAGGTACGTCTCCAGCCATAGATCATCTGTCGCTTTGCGCTTGTCGCCTCGTTCGTCCACGCAGTAACTCTCGACAGTTCCGGGTATCGTTACGTGGACTCGCATGTCAAGTCGGGAGAAGGCGTTGTAGCAGCTAGGTGACGTGTCAGCTCTACGAGCTTTGGGCAAAAAGCGCATCGCATCGGCATACCAGTATAAGCCCTCTGAGATCTTGGTTTGCGCGACCTGGCCATGCTCGCGGTAGGTCAGAGTGTTGATGTAGGCGGCGAGACTGGCCGAAGAGGACGCATCGACACCAGTGACATGGTGATAGACTCCGAGCTGGGGTGAAAAGGCCGGTTAGCGGCAAGCATTGGGATTGATGAGGCGCAAATAATTCCTACCTGCTTGCCAGGGTTTCTCGTCGAATGCTTCAGGAGGTGGACGAGGTCAGGGGGGCCAAGCTCGCGAAGGGAAAGGAGGGATTCGGTTCGAGCGTCGACTGATTCTTGGAGGATCTCCTCGGTGAGCCTTGGAAAGGGGGAGAGAGAGTTAGTAATGAAGACGGTAGCTACAGTATGCGATGGTGGTGAACATACTCGGGCACAGCCGGCGCAACCATTGCGGCGGTGTTTTGTTGTCAAGCTGCAGCAGGCGCAAGATGGAGCGAGAGAGGGATGTGCTCTCGATGATTGTATACGGTGTTATGAGCTTGAGGATCTATGCATAGGTGCGATAGAGGAAGAGCGTTGTTGGAGTGATTCCGGCACCGTGTCGCAAAGCCAACGAGGTGCAACCGATGGCTGGGACAAGCTCGATGGAGGTGGGGGATCAGTGGGCAGTTCTTGAATTGGTCGGTGAGATTGGCGAGGGATAGAGGGCAGTGGCAGCGTTAACGGGAACAGGTGGTGAAGGGTTGAGCTTGGACTCCACGTCCTTTGTGTCTGCTTCCGGCTTGGACTAATATTAATCGAGGTTGTGCAATGGGCGACAGGGGAGGGAAGAGGTGCCTGTCATTGGCAGGAAGACGGGGAAGAGGGACGGACGATAGATGGAGCCACGAGAGCACTTTCGGAGCTGCTACTGTTGCCGTGTTCCTGAGATGCAAGGTGCTTGGTATTACCTTGGCCGGCTTTCTTACATAAGACACGTCGCTAAATTCTGTGCACGGACCATGTACAGTACTACAGCTAGGTACTACCTAGTGTACCCCTTAAGCCTCAGATTCCAAGTGTCATCAGTGGGACAGCTGCCGTCCCGTTAGCGGCCCATTCCATGTCGTTCCTGGTGCGCGGTACGTACCCCCTGTTCGACAGCTCCAAACGAAGCAAGCAATCAATTTAGTGTTTCTCCAATTCAGGTCGCGTCAATCCCAGTGGCCACGCGCAGCAGCGGAAATTCCCCTAAAGCATTCATTTTATAACTGCGTCTTCGCAGAGAATGACGCCGTTCCGAATCTCCATTACACCGTACTCAACACCAGTATCTGCATCACGTCACGGCTGCGGCGATTCTGCTCGCAAAGGCGCGCCATCATAATGGTTTGTCAAATGTCTGTAACCAGTCACTGACTGCATCGACTAACCGACGCGCAGCCGGCCTTCCAAGCCATCAACGTCGAGACCGAGGAGAATATTGACGATGAGATCGACACCACCCGCGAGCTCCATGTATGCGTAGACATCTAGACATTCCAACTCTACCAAGACTAAACTCCCGATTAGGTCGACGAAGCTCTCAAACGCTTCCAAAATGCCCTGAAGCTGCACGCTCAAGGTCCTCGCTTCTTCGACGAAGCTGCCGATGCCTACGATGACCTCTTCAAGTCCGAAATCTTCAAATACCCCGAGGCGGTCACCGAATACGAGAGAGCAGAGAGGCAGCCTGAGCACCTGATCACCGACCCTGCCCTTGCCTCCGACCTGGATCTCCAAGTCGCCGAGGTCGACACCGTCGGGAGCAGTCTTCCTCAAGCCTTCTTCCTAGCGCACAAGAACCGCGGCCAGTTCCTCCTCGACCGCACCCGCCACGCAGCTCGAAGCGCAGGTGGTGATGCCCCCGCTTACTTCGAAAAGGATGAGGCTCTCCATAACATGTACAATGCCCTCACCGACTTCAATGCCGCTCTTGATCGCGACCCATCCGATGCCGAGCTGTGGCGCCGCACTGCTCGCGTTGCCGCCTCACTGAAGAGCACGAGAATCAACAGATACTGCCTCGAGGCCGCCATCGAACTCGACGATGACCCAACTGTTCTTGAGGTCGAACCGCCATCTCTGGCGGAGGGATTCGCTGGGCAACAGTTGAAGGAGCAACTCCAGGTTTTGGCTGACGAAATTGCCCTGTCCCACCCCATCATGGGCCCTTGGGTCAAGCGGGACATGCCCGACTTCATCAAAAGACACATCGATCCTATACCCTTCTTACCGGACCCAACCAAAGAACTCGGGTCCGCCCGCACTACCGTAGAGGAAGTAGGCGCGACCCGCCTCACTGTGACATGTCCGACGGCATCTTGGGCCGACCTGGGCATGGCGTTGGTGCAGTTCATACTTGAAAAGGGCCAGATAAGTCAGGCCATCGTCATTGAACTCCCTGAAACGGATGATGACGAAGATGTGGTCATGGAGAGCCAGCCAGAGCAGGACAGTCAACCCAACCGCTCCGATTCTAAAGACAAAGATGAGGCAGTCACGAAGGAGGACAAACCTGAGGATACCGAAAAAGCCGAGAGCTCAAAGTCTATGTCAAAAGAGGCCCCGAAACCTCCCGAGAACACTCGTAAGAGCCGGAGCAGCTCCCAGCCGACAAGAAAGCGATCGCAGTCAGCAGCGGGTATTCCGGAAGGACAAGAAGAGGAGAGCTTGGTCGAAAAGAGGAGCAAACGAATCCGAAGGCGAGAAACCGCAGCTGCAGAAGAGGTTGTGGATCCCAGCGCCGTCCTCGCGTCGCAGTTAGCACCATGCCAAGCAGCCGATCAAAACTTGTTCCAGGCCACTAAAAACATGCTGGAGAACATTGGCGTCACCGACCAGGCCACCCTAGATCGGATCAGCCAGGTGCTAGATTCGCTGGCGTCTGAAGAGCGCGCAGCATCCATCAAGAATCAGGCTACGGTGGACCTCCGCAACGCAATTGTCTCCTTCAATGAAGAGAATGCCAAAATACTGCTCAACAAGCAAGCCCAGGCATCTTTGAGCTTATCATCTTTTCTTGAGCATGCCAAGGGCGGCTCTCAAAAGACTTTGGTCATTCCACCTTTCAAGGAGACCCAGGGGATTGCTGCTTTTGTGAAGCGAGTCAACTCTTCCTGGATGACGGCCCAAGAGGTTGCCTACGAGTGGCTCAAGACAATCTGCCCCAGCTACCTTGAAACCAAGTGGTCAGATGTCATGAAAACAGCCGTCGTTCAGGTCATTAGTCGGTTCGACCAGGACATCCTCCTGTCTATCAACTACGACTTAGATCGCGCGAGGCATTCAGCCGACGCCGAGAAAGAATTTGGTTTTATCAAAAGCGTCGTGGAAATGCTCTTCGAGATTCATCTTGACGTGTATGAACGCATCACCAACCCTAACAGTGTGGTCGATTACAGCATCCGCGTCGAGGCCAAGGGTCGCTTGGGACGATGGTTGGACCTTGCCTCGGCATTGCTTCGAGAAGCTACACCAGAAGGCAACGAGAAGCTGACTGGCCGCTTCCTGTGGGCTGCCATCTTTTCCACAACTCTGACGGAGAACGCTTCGAGAGAGTACATACTGCAGTGTTGGACAAGTCTGCGAGATTTCCTCTCGGAAAGTCATTTTGATCAGCTTTACCTCCCTAATAACCCAGTGATACCGGAGGTTTCTGAAGCAGCGGCTGACAGAGAGATCTCCAAACTGACGACGATGGACTTTTTTCTTGGGCTTTTCCAAGATAATGTCAGCGACCCTGTTGCGGTCATCGACAACCTTGAGCCAGTCCTCAACCCAGGATCTGTTTACGTCCCAGTCCCATCAGACGAAACCGCGAAGGATGAAGAGGGTTCCTCGTCTGGCCGATCCAAAACTAAGAAAGTGCCCATAAAAGAATGCGCAAGTCAAAGTCTCCAAGACCTTTGGAGGTTCCTTCTGGGCACTAGTACGGAATTACGACTATTCCTTTGGACGAGGCTCAGCGACGCCTACGCCAGTATCAAGTATTCCACCAAGCAGTTCTCCTGCCATCTCAAGGCCATTGAGATGCTTACAGCGGACCTAGAAAGTGACGGGTATCTCAAAAACGCTCCTGAAACCAGACCGCCGCTGCTGCTGAAGATGCTCAAGTCGCTCGATGAGTTGCTGATTACCGCGCTTTCGCTCGCTCTCAACGACAGCTCGGCGTTTGATATTGTCGATGACGATCACTTAAAGTCAACATCGACGGCTCTCATCAAGTTGAGCTGCATGCTTCATGCTTCAGCCATGCATGACGATGAGATTCGAATTGGGATGACCCGTGCGCCACCGAGCAGTCCTTCGTTTCAACCGTTCCTCAACAAGCTGCGGGAGATTCAGGTGCGTGTCTGGTGTCTCCAGTATACGGTGATTAAGGTCGGCGTGAACCAAAACCGCGCGTTGTTCCCGAACCCAGAGATGGAGTTAGCAGACTTTCTGTCAGCCATTCATCAGGTTGTCGGATTGAGGAAATGCTGCAAAGCCTCGAACAAGATCTTCTTGAAGATGATGCGTGTAGAACTGCTGAAGTTCAAGGAGGTTGAGAATTGGGAAGACTACCTCGGTCAAGTATTGTATGACCTTCATGGTCTTAAGCTTGGTGTGGGTGCTGGGGAAGTTCAGGACCACGGCTGTCCGCCCGAGAAGCTCGAGAAACGCAATGCCATGCAGTTGGTCGACAAGATCACGGTTCTGGCAAGGAGGATGCCCAGAAAGGACCTGCTCAAGTCGGACCTCAAAACGACCATCGAGCACATGCAAGGCGCTATCGGGCAAACCAAGTCGACTCCTCAGATGATCCACAACCTCAGGAACTTCACCGAATATCTCAAGCGACCGATTCATCCTCTCAGGCTCTACCAGGCCCTCACTGGCGGTGTTCAGTTGGATGTTGTCGCTGTCAACACCCCGGAGAGCGCCCTGGCAAAGCACGGGTGGTTCTTCTTGTTGGGCATGATCGCATTGACGAGGTTCAAGCAGGTTGATTTGAGCAAACGACAGACGCCTGGGGCCACTGACGACTTGCGACTTGCGGCAACATTCTTGCGGCTGCAGCTTCAGTTCACCCCAGACAAGTGGGACGCCTGGTTCCGTCTTGCTGAGTGCTTCGACTACGAGCTTGACGAAGCAGTCTTGTGGTCAGCCGACAAGATGAACAAGGAGCGCGGGGAACTGCTCAAGTTTCAACGAAACTCGATCCACTGCTATACCCTTGCACTGTCCAATTCTTGGGAAGTAGACATTGATGACGAGGACGAGGACCCGCTATACGAGCTTTACCACAACTTCGCCATGCGCTTGTATGCATCCAGCCGTGAGCCCCTTGCCATGGAGCCTTTTCAGCATGCAGACCTTGAGAGGTTCTTCATCGAGCCTACTGGCGCTGGAACCTTTCAGAAGGTGCTTCACGACCAGATGCAAGACTACAAGGTTTGGAAATATGCGGCTGGCTTGTTCAAGCGCGCCATGCGACGCAAGCCGCAGGATTGGAGGTGAGCATATACTTTTTAGCTTGTCGACAACCACTAACTCGGCATAGGAATACATACATGCTCACTAAATGCCTCTGGAAGATGTACCAGAAACCTATTGATGAGCTGAGCCAGAAGGACCGTGAGACCCGCCCATCGGTCGGGTATTTGGTGTCAGCCCTCGAGCATGCAGTCGAGGTTGTTTCAGCTGTACCCAAATCGCGACACAGCGATCCCATTCTAGAGCCGCATTACAAAATCGTTTCAATCATTTACAAGCTTGTTGTCCGTGGCGATCTGAAGCCGCAGGAAGGGGCAGATATTCTGTCGAGACAACCATTCGGCATGGAGCTAGGCGACGACATCACCCTCGATGACAACGAGGACTGGGAGGAATACGTCATCAGGAACCTACACCATCTTCGGGATAAGGACAAGTCTAACTGGCAGCACCGCATTATCATGCGTCACGCTCGACTCCTTTTCGACGAAGATGGGGAGTCGCCCGAGCTTGTCCAGGCCAAAGCCGCCTTCAACGTGCTCAGAGAATCCATGTTTACGAAAACCATGGTTATGAATGTCTGGAAATGCGACGCCGAACGCCCCGGGCGGCATCACGTCTACACGTCGCAGTACATCCGGTTTATGGTGAAAATTCTGGTCGTCATGAACGACAGGGTCAACTTGGAGATGGTTCTCAGACGTCTACGCAAGAAGGGCGCCGACTTTTACCATTTCAGCGAGTTGTGGCAGATGTGCTCCATGGCTTATCTGAGGCTGCTGCGGCAGGGATTTCAAGTGCCTCCAACGTTGGATGACCCATTCAAGTCGACGTCACTGGAAGAGCTGGAAATCATGGCAGATCGCATTACCGAGTGGGCCGGAGGTCCGTTGACAGACATCCCCGCGTTCAACTGCCTGAAGGAGACAATCGAGTTGAAGAAGCTCAACGGAGGCCTTATGAAAGCCGGAGCTATTGACGACCTCATCAACGACTGCTACGCCCTTATCTACCAGGAGATTGGTCCTACGCTACCAGGTCCAGAACCGCATGAAGTTCTCGAGGCACGCGCCAGAGCCCGTGCCAGAGAAGAGGCTAATGGTGGGCTTGAATTGAAGCCATCGAGCTCGCTGGGTAATCTTCTTAACCCAATTGCTGCGCAAGACTCGGGGGCGAACGGTGAAGGTGATAAGACAGCGGCACCCGAGGCAGCCCCAAGGCGTAGGACAGGCGTCCGCAGACCTGACATCATTCGGAAAGCCGAGCAAGCTTTTGCTCGGTTTAGTGAGGCACCAAAGTCATCGGTCGCCCCATCCAAATCCCGCGTCGGATCGGTCTCGAGCGGCAGGAACGGGACGCACACTCCTGCCGGAGATGTTGGAGAAGGTAGTGATGCCGATGACCGACCGGGTGAAGATGGCGAGGACACAGAGATGAAAGACGACACAATGATGGAAGGCGACCAGGGCGAAGAGGCCCCTGCGCAGGCCACAGCAGGCTCCAGTCCTCGGGGCAGTATCCACGACTCAGCTGATGACGAAAGTGAGCTCAGCGACGTTCCTGATGACTGGGATGAGCAGCCTCCTCCTTCACTCATGTTTCCGAACCTGAGGAAGAGCGTGGACTCTGCCCGCGAAGGGGGGGGTAATGAATCTAGTGACGGCGGTGACGAGGAGGAAGACGAGGGTGGTGAAGAAGAAGGAGAAGAGGAAGGAGAAGAGGAAGAGGAAGAGGAAGAGGGCGGTGAAGTAGAAGTAGAAGAGGGGGAAGAAGATGAAGGTGTTGAAGAAGAAGAGGCCGAGGCCGAGGAGGGGGAGGGTGACGAAGAAGAAGAGGGAGATGGCGAAGAAGAGGATGAAGATGAGGAAGAAGGCGAAGACGAAGAGGTTGAGGAGGTCGAAGAAGATGAAGAGGATCAAGAGGGTGAAGAGGATGAAGAAGAACAGGAAGACGACGAAGAACAAGAGGGTGGGGAAGAACAGCAAGATGACGAAGAACAAGAAGGCGAAGAGGAGCAGGAAGAGGGCGACGTGGCTGACGAAGACGAGGACGAGTAGCACTCTCAGCCTCTCGAACACTAGAAAGACATGGGGGCACGGCAATTGAGCGCTTGTTGGAAGTGGTTGTTCACGGTAAAGGACAGCCGATATTTGCAGAGAGCAGTAGGCTACAGCCAAGCCCGTTAGGACTAAGCATTGTTTATGTAGGAGTATGAGTCGCATGAGTCGTATAAGTAATCCGCAGTGTAACACACACACACACACACACACACACACACATCGTGGATCGAAGCAAAGAGTCAGTGGTGTCATGGGCATTTCAATATAAACCGCTTGTCTCGGGGTCGTATCAGTCAGTTGAAAAATCCATTCCACATTTACTTACACCTTCAGTTGAACCGTCATTACTATCGAGGACCCCCCCAACCCTGGTTTGAGCGTTATCATTATAGCCACAATGTGCATTATCCGGCAGGTGGCGAAGGAAGACTGCCGCCACACGACGGAGCGGTGGACGGAGATGTGCCAAGCGGCCAGGCAGCGCGGTTGGGCTTGTCGGGTGACAGTGGGCCTTGAGACCTGGTGGGAGGGCGGGTATTGCGATGCGTGTCTGGAGGATCTCTCGGCGCGGCTCTGCTATCCGAGGTATGCTTGAGGACAACGGCGGACCGGCGTGGCGGAAGCATAGCTCTAGGATATGGCAAGTGGGAGAGAGTCCAAGCCCGGGCTCGGAGTGAGTGGCAGTGAATGTCAACTTCCCCAGTAAATGAGGATTGAAACAGATCGCGAGTATATTCAGTCGAACGCGAAGCAAGATTTTCCATGATTATTCCAGTCCACCAACCCACGATGGCACATCCCTCCTTGTGATATGGATATGTGATATTTGTACTAGAGTGATTTTAAGTCACGGCTGCCTCCTCTCAGAACCTGAAAACCTTTGATAATAGAGGGCCTTGTCAACAGCAGGTATAGATAGGCCCAGCTCATCTGTATTTCTACATCTAATTCCAAAAGCTCTGGTCACAAATAAGATGACCACCAAGAAGAAGAAAAAGAAGCTATACCTGCAATGTCCGCGTCCAATCCTCGGTGAGCCTACCTGGTGTAAAGTGGAGACGGTCATGCTACGGGGGTGCGCCGGCCGTAGAAAAAAACTACAACCACCCCCCCAAGCCCTGGACGGAGCGGCGCCAGGGCCAGGCATTACGCCTTCCCAGTGCCGCCTACCTGCCCGCCAGCCGGCAACTTCCGCCCCCGTCGATAACCTTCACACCCGCCGCAGCCAGCACCACCTCACCTTCGTACGCACCCCAGTAGCTTTCCTACCATCACCACCGATCCAACACCCATCGCAATCCCACAACCCCACGACTCCCCAACGCAACCCGCCTCCCGCGATCCGAGCTCTGTCTCTCTCTCTCTCTCGCATCTCGTCCCTTTTCGAAATTCGCGGCCTTTCACCGATCCATCATCTTCTCCAACAACAATACACCAGCGCGAGGATATCCTGCAGCAAGAAACGGGCAAAGGCTATCCTTCCAAAACCTTCCAACACAACACACATACACAATGGCCTCATCGGATGCGAAGCCAGTGCAGGACAAGACGGCCGATCCCAAGGTCGACGAGGCGACGGCGCAGCAGCAGGCCGCCTCCAAGAAGCCCGCGCTCGGCGAGGACGACGAGTTCGAGGACTTCCCCGTCGACGGTACGTTCTCCCCCTTCACTCCCCCATCGTCTCGCCCCACCCCTCCAGTTTTCTCCGCGCTCTGGTCTTGGGCACGGAGACACGGATGATGCCTCCATCGAGAACCATCGTCACAGAGCTGGGGGAGGTATTGGCGTCCTCGGCACGGGAGGGGAATCACCGGCGGACAGGTTTGGACCCCTGGGAACCCGAGCTGACCTGGCCATCACGACAGATTGGCCCCAGGAGGAGACCGAGGCAGCCACCAGCGGAAGCGGCTCGACGCAGCACCTGTGGGAGGAGAGCTGGGACGACGACGACACGAGCGACGACTTCTCGGCGCAGTTGAAGTATGACAACCCAACCCCAACCCGGGACCCTCAGATGCTAACGTTTGCCCAGGGAGGAGCTGAAGAAGGTCGAGGCGTCCAAGCGGCGATGATTGCGCACACCTTACGAGATGTATTTTATTGAGGGAGGGGAAGCTGGAATGACGCATTGAGAAGGGGTGGAACCACGGGCATAGACTACCCCCGTATGAGCTCTAGACGAATCGGCGGCATACCAGGCAGGAATGGAATGAAATCACATAAAAAGGACAACAGGCCTTTTCTTTCTCTCTCTCCTTTTTTTTTCACAGTTTCGGGACGAGACAGACGTGTCTTAGTCTGTTTTTACTGTTTATTTGATGTCGTGACTTTTTACGTTTACTTAGGACATGATACGGGGGGCATTACGTTCATCATGACCAAAAACTCCTCTTTTCTCCTGGGGTCCTACAAACTGGCCTTGCCAGCCCGACCTTACCCATCATCCATCAGACCGACCGAGTTCATATAGCGGGGCGCATCCTCGCACGCGGACGAGGATTGATTTATTTACTTACTCGACAGGGCAGTGACACCGGGCAGTTCCTTGCCCTCGAGCAGCTCCAAGCTGGCACCACCACCGGTGGAGACGTGGCTGAGCTTGCTCTCGACGCCGTACTTGGCGGCGACAGTGGCCGTGTCACCACCGCCGATGATGACGATCTTGCCGCCCTCGGCAGCAGCGACGGCGGCGTCGAGCGTCGCCTTGGTGCCGTTGGCGAACTTGTCAAACTCGAAAACACCAGCGGGGCCGTTCCAGAGGATGGTCTTGGCATCCTCGATGGCCTGCTTGTAAAGCTCGACGGACTTGGGGCCGCAATCGAGACCCATCCAGCCGTCGGGGATACCGGTCTCGTCGGTGGCGGAGCCAACGTTGGCATCCTTGTCGAACTTATCGGCCGTGACGTAGTCGACGGGCAGGACAAGCTTGACGTTGTTGGCCTTGGCCTTCTCGACGAGCTTGCCGACCGTCTTGGCGCCGCTCTCGTCAAAGAGGGAGTTGCCGATGCTGACGTTCTCGAGTGTCTTCTTGAAGGTGAAGGCCATACCACCGCAGACGATGAGGGTGTTGACCTTGTCCAGCAGGTTGTCGATGAGCTGGATCTTGTCCGAGACCTTGGCGCCACCGAGGATGGCGAGGAAGGGGCGCTGGGGGCTCTCGAGGGCCTTGGCGAAGTACTCGAGCTCCTTCTTCATGAGGAAGCCGGAAGCCTTCTGGGGCAGGTCAATGCCGACCATGGAGGAGTGGGCGCGGTGGGCAGTGCCGAAGGCATCGTCTGACCGTCGTCAGTAACCGTGTCTCGGAATAAACCGGCACACTTGCGGAGAGGAAGACTCACTGATGAAGACATCACCGAGGGCGGTGAGGCCCTTGCGGAACTCCTCGACCTTGGCCTTGTCGGCCTTGATCTTGTTGCCGTCCTTGTCCTTGGCGGAACCCTCCTCCTCGATGTGGAAGCGCAGGTTCTCGAGAAGGATGACCTGGCCGTTGTCGGCCTTGTTGACAAGGTCCTCGACGTCCTTTCCGACGCAGTTCTTGGCGAACTGGACGCTCTTGCCGCCGAGAAGCTTCTCGAGCTCGGGGACGACCGGCTCAAGGCTGTACTTGGGGTTCGCCTCGCCGTTGGGACGGCCGAGGTGGGACATCAGGACGACGGCCTTGGCTCCATTGTCAATGGCGTACTTGATGGTGGGCACGGCGCCGGCAATGCGCTGGTTGTTGGTGATCTTCTTGTTGGCATCGAGAGGAACGTTGAAGTCGACCTGCGGGGCGGTTAGTGGGGGGCGGGATGGCCTAGAAGGGACGAACGTAGCGGTATGGCCACGCAGTGTATTCCAATGCCGAGCGTGGCACGGCATGGGAGAGAGTCCCGAGGTGAAGAGCCGCGGCTCGTCCCGTATCGCCAGAATACGGAACGGCTCTGAGCTCTCACCCGGGATCTGGCGGGGGTGGCATGGTGGGGTAACTGCCGACTGCCAACTGCGCAGCACCAGCAACACGGTGTCACAGCAGGGTAGAATGACTTACGCGGATGAGGACGCGCTTGCCCTTCAGGTCAACGTCGGTGATGGAGAGCTTGTTTGCGAGAGACATGATTGTAATTGGAAGGGTATTTGGTGTTGTAGGGGGTGGCGGACAAAGGTGTAGTTGAGGGAGGAAGAGGAGAGAAAAGAAGTTGAGAGGAGATGATGGACGGATTGAGGTATATTTAGGAGGGGAGCTGCCGGGATGGGACAGGTCAGGACAGGAAACACACACTAAAACCATGCAGCAATCAGAGTCACCCTCGAGTGGTTCAACACACGTTGGGGGGGGAGGCTTCGCCCATGGTGGGGTGGGCTGCTATTGACTGCCTGCCCGCCAGGTGCATCGAGGGGCATTTCTCAGTGTTTTTTTTTCATGGCTTTTTTTTTTTTTTTGGCGGGGTTGAACTCGGTCCCTCTTGGCTTAGTGTCTTAGTGGGATGATGCAGCTGCTGTTGTCCTTAGCTGGCCGGGGCCTTCTACCTCCTTCCCTTGCCGGGGGGGGAAGGGGGTCACGCCCGGAAGTGGGCAGCTCAAGCCCAGCACTGCAGCGACAATGCGCAGGAGCTGTTGTGCCCCGCCGTGGTCTGTGACGTGATGGTAGTCTGATACCTCACAGAAACTGCGCTTCTCCCTCAACACCCCCCGGTCGTGGCCGCCCGTCCACCCGGCATCAACGGGACAGCTTCAAAAAGTCACCAGACAAGCCAGCAGCGTCTTGGCTACTGCATTTCCTGTTTCGTCACTATAATTGGATTGCCTCCTATTAGCAGCCACGCCAGGAAGTCCGGACTACAAACCCATCAGGGTAGGCCGGGGTGTCATCAGGAACAGTCCTCCTTCCAAATGACCGAGAGATACGCCGCCCATCTTGCAACGGAATCTGGCACGTCACAGCATCCTCAGACCACTCGTTTCCCCTTGGGCACAGTAGGCAAAAATGACCGAATTGACAGTTGATACTTGTCCCCCCATATCACTGCAGTTTATTTCTGGTTTACTACAAATATAATAACAAGCGCTGATTTGCTACAAAGAGAACAACAAGGGCCGCCCATATCGATTTTCGGGACCCCCTCAAGACACCGAACGCCTGTAACCCCCCAACGAAAGCACCTGGTGCTTTTGTATAGAGATTGAACGAGACCGAAGAGAAACTTGTGATAATAGTCCTCTCCGCGTCAAACCAGTATGTAACGCCTCTAGGAGTGCCTGCAACGATGCACGACATGGCTCTAGCCTTTGCCGCAGACCACAATATATCAATGAAACCGAGCACGGGTGTATGCTTTGTACGAAATGAATTTAGCTGAGGCGAATGTGGGCGTCCTCGCGGGCGGGACGGGTGTCAACCTCTTCCGAGGCGTTGGCCAACGAGAGGTAGGCCGTCCAGGCGATGCCGATCGTGGAGACGAATGGCTGGGGAACATGTTAGTCAAACTCGAGGGTTTTGGTGATTGTTTATTTGCAGCGGGCAACGGTCCCTGGGCAACTCACCAGCTGGAACTGGACGGGCATCAGGCGGAAGTTGATGACCTGCACGGCGGGCCAGACAAGGAAGTTGGCCTTGAGCGTGGGGACATACATGTCGCGCAGCTTGTGCATCACAGCGCGACGGCCGCCACCCTCGGCGACGGTCATGACGGAAAAGAAGCAAAGCAGGCCAAAGGGCGCGAAAATGAGCTGGTCGAAGGTGACGCGCTTCATGGCAGGCACGAAGGCGCTCGTTTTGGTGATGGGGAAGGTGCTCGACAAGAACTTGAACCAGCGGAACTGCAGGGGCGCCATGGCGAAACCATAGGCCATGAAGCGGGTGAGGCGCTCAAAGTCAAAGGGCGGGGGCAGGTGCCTGGCGTCCGGGATGAGGTCCTTCTCGTAGAAGGGGTTCTTGCGGTCGAGGTCGTGGATCTCGATGGCGACGCCGTCGTCCTTGTTGAGGCCGCCGGGCTTGCGGATGGCCTTGAGACGGAGGGCGGTGATGGTCTGGGCCGTCGTGTCGGCGATACCTCCGAGGATGGCGTTAGTCACCATCATGGTGAGGACTGTTGGGGAGTCGACGTTAGCATAAGGGAGGCATCATGGATGGACAAGTATGGATTGGGGGTAGAGGCGAGGCAACGTACGTGGCCGTTCATCGTAGTATTGGTTGAACTTGGAGACCAACCTGGCGACGAGCGCCATTTCGATCAAGGCGATGACTGCGTGGAGCAGTGGCTATAGCGGACAAAAGAAGGTCAGCGCAAGTCGAAATGGTGATTTATGGCGGCAAGCGACGACGATGAAGTTGATGCTGACAGAGCAGAGATGAATACAGTACAAGATACAAGAGAGTGGGAGGGGCAGAGAGAGACAGAGTGATTCAGATGGAGATGTGCGAGGAATGCGTCAAGTTAAGCCTTGGAGGACACAAGAGACAGTGCTACGGGAGGGGGCTGGCATACAAGACGTCCGTAGAGATATTTGCTGTTGACAGCTCGGACGATGCGACGGCGAGAGAGCTCCCACGACATGATGGATCAACTAGGAGGGAAAAGGCCCGGGGCGGGAGTTTTCCTTTTTTTAGCTGGCGGAGGGATATGCGTGCGATGGAGCGACCGGCGGCGGTTCGTTTCGACGCTCTTGGGATCTAGGTAACGAGTGGCCACGCTATCGACTTGTCCGTCTCCTCGAAATGAAATGACGGGCAAACAAACAGGAGCGAAGTGGGTGGAAAGCTGGGCGTGGATTTGGCAAAGGGGGCCCCGTTGATGGAACGGGCTCTTTTGGTGCTTCTGCAGGCTTCGAAGGCTGGGTACGATGACGACACCGTGGACGGTCGCCCCTTCGGTAGCGCAAAATAATGATTGGTCCAAGCCGGAGCTTTGTTCCCACTGGGCGGCGAAGGAGGAGGAGGAGCTGGGACACGATACGACAAGGCGAAGAGAAAGTGAGCGAGCAAGCAAGAAGATCGCCCAAGCAAACCTGGGCAGAGATGAGATAACGTAGGAGTGATGTGTCTCTTTAGAAAGGGGGGGAGAAAGGTGGGAAGGGACGGATTCTAAAAAGAAATGGAGCAGCAGATGGAAATCCCGGGTGACCATCCAAGTGCTAATCTGTCAATGCCTAGAGACGGTAGAGAACTGAACCTGGGGCCTGCGCGTAGGAACTCGAAACGAGAGAGAGAAAGAAAAAAAGGCAATGGAAGGTACCGGGTAGTGTACGGATTCCAAAGTGCCGGTCCCCTACCTACCCAGTCATCTTCTTGGTCTGTGGATGGGTGACAAGTTTCGGGTGAGTTGATGGATGTGGAGAGACGACGCGGATGACGGCACTGTTTCACTGTGTCCTGCCCGTCCATCACATATCAGCAGCCAACCAACACACACACACACACACACACACACACACCTCGAAGGGGCTGTGATTACTCCTGCCAAGTACTACCTACCCTTACTACTACGTGCTTACCTACCTACCTAACAGAAGTAGGAGGTAAGGCGTGTACGAACGGCCACCGAATTCCCGATTGACAGATGACTAAACCGAATCGTTGAAGAGCTCTCCCCCATCAGCCTTCTCCCCTCTTCACCTCGGACGGCTCCGGCCGTGCCGCAGCCGCCCATCAGAATGCAGAATACTGCACAGTGCATTCAACCCGCCCTCCGCCCTCTCGGTGATGCTCGTCTTCGTTACCTACAACTTGCCCCGTCTAGTTACGTTCGGTACTATTCTGTCGTCGAGGTTTCGTACATTGGACGCCCAAAAGCATACACTGCAATCATTTCCTGCGTACCTATTGACGGACTCCTTGCTGGCAGTTTTCGTCCGTTTGTTCGCCCATAGGGAAACCGACCGACGGCGCCATTTGGCCCCGTCCCTGCGCCGGAACTCCAAACACTTCTCCTGCCCTTCCGATCAATGCTCCCGTTTCACACACGCGTACAATTTCGCGCGGTGACTGCTGTCCTAACCACGTCCCGCCGCATGGCGATGACGTACAGGACGGGAACCTTTTTCTCGCCTGTCGACCGCCTTGGGATGGAACTAGCTGCCGTAGCCTGTGGTGATGAACCCATCCCCACCCTTTTTCTCTCTCGCGCCGCGCGGGGGCCTCGACTCTTCTCAGGCGAGTCTGATCCCCTCTGATCCGTTGCCCCCGGAACGGAAACAAAGTTACGGAACGGTCGTGATTTGACCTTCTCAAAGCCCGAGCATGTTCACTATAGGGGTCCTTGAGGCAGGATGAACCCTGGCTATACGTCCCAATATGTAGCGGTTATATCAAAGGGTGGCAGGGCCCAAAAAGCTAACATGATCAGAATACCCATACATCTTGTGTCTTTCTATTGCCACCTGGCCCAATTCTACACTCTCTTCATCTTGATATAACAGTTCTACTAGTATTCTCCTTAACCCGTATACAATCTAGAGCTTATAGATGGTAAAATTAAGTGTAATAAGGAAAGGGATAGTGACAGTAGTAGCGATGGTGATGCAATAGGAGGGGAAAGTCACTAACAGTTAAGCTGGCAGAAGTAGGTACTGTAGTAGGGGGGGGATGAACATTGGTTACCCAACAGGGGTATTTTTACTCCGGCCTGGTACCATCGTACGTAGCTTGTCTTCTGATTTGTTCCCTTCTCATTCCCTCGTAGCCAATCGCTGTATCGACCAAGGTTTTGAGAAAGACTCATCTATCAAACTCACAGCCGAGTCGAAGCACACTGTCAATGCCGTTGGCCGGCTTTATGCCTCCTCTCGACACGTGACACCTTTCCTTCGCATCACTCCTCTGAGCGCAGCTTGGTTCGAGACGTCAGTCGAACCATAGGGCTCACATCCCTCAGCCGCGGCTCATTCCGTCAGTCATCAAAGATGCCCAGGTATGGTGTCGTCGCAATGTTTGCCTGGAAGACGGAGACATGCTTAAAGGATATTGGTGGCTGCCTCGATTCAACCTCGTGTCTCCCTGAGTAAGTGCCCCCTCAGTTCCCGTCTTTGTTTTGCCTCTATCCCTGGGACAGTTTCCAGGATGACGCAGTATAGATTTGAGGTCTGAACCACCTACGACCCTTGACCCTTTGTGATCGGCGTAAACTACTGATAGCGGCAAGCCCAACTCACCAGCGCTCGTGCAGTTACTTGGGTCCAGCCCATAAGCAACATGAGCTGGGGCCCAGAAAAGATATATTTAGTATACGGCGTCTCAAAAGAGAGCAGCAGTTCAACTTGTAGTCCCCATGCTGACCTCAGTGTCATTGACCCACGCACGCCCTCTAGCTACCTTGCCTCTCCTTCCTTCAGAAAGAGAACTGCTGCATAGCTCGCTGGATACGAGCGAAGTTATCCGACCGAGTCGTCGTTCCGCACCGTCCGTCATCTTGAGTAATGTTGAACATAATTAACTTGAGACATGAAAGTAAAATGGTCACGCCAGCTTGATGGACCGTATGAGGCGTACCGTCCGTAGTGATGAACACTATTATTGCAGGCCCCAAGGTTCCGGCCGCGGGGGGGTTCCTTCTGTGTAGTAACGCCATCTGGCTCGAGCCAAATCTCTAACATGACTAGGAAATGAGGACAATGAAGCATAGCGTTGAACGTAAGGCACTCACAGCGGTGCTAAACGCCCGCTAGGTTCTACTGCCGTACAGTTGTTCAAGGGCGCAGATGGCCCTGAGAGTTGCTGTGACTATATACAAGATATCTGGAATACCCTTTACATAAGTTAGCATAAATAAGTTTCAATATGAACAGCTACAAGAAATAAGAGACGGTCCAGTCTCCCTGACTGCCTCAAAGGTCACTAGGTTTGCCGGTTACAAATATAGCGAGAAGCAAATCACAAAACAGCGAAACAACGCCGAGAAAAGGAATCCAGCATGACAAGCGAATATGACGTGATTGGTAGCTTCAAGTCCATTATGCTGTTGAGTTTTGCTATGCAATTCAAAGTTGTCGTGTCCTCTCTCGCCATCAACCCTCATAAGATGTTCATGGTTCTCAAAGATCGTGGCCTTGCTCATGTGTAATTTGGTTGACGTCGTTTCAATCGCTTCCGGCGAGAAACACCATTTAATATCTTTCCGAATACTCTTTCATGGCTCTTGCCGTACGTTCCTCAGTGGTCTACCGACGCACCTAATCCAGGAATACATTCACAGATTCGCGCGAGTACCCCACCGTCCTCGGCCAGCCGCTGTAATCCGCCTCGAACAGGATGGCGTCGTTGCAGGCGCTGCCCAGCGACGTGTTATTGAGCCACGCGGGCTCCCAGTACCAAACCCCGCGCCCCAGCCCCCGCGGGGCCTCCCTGACGATGCGGAGGACCTCGGCCATCCACTCGACCTGGCCCGCAACGCTGTACGGTATGCCCGGCTCCGACGACTCGGGAATCGGGTTCCAGCGCCCGTCACACACGGCCGGGTAGTCCGTCTCGACGACCTGCATGGGCTTGCCGTACTTGTCCGCCATGGCTCGCAGGACAGCACCGAGGTTCTCAAACGTCGCCTCGGTGCCGTAGAACGGGTAGAAGCTGAACCCGAAGCCGTCCCACGCCGACGGAGGCACGCCGTTGTCGACGAGCGCGCCGTACCACCTCTCCTGCAGCGTCAGGTTCCAACCGTTGTCGAGGTGGAGCATGACCTCGGGCTTGGGCACGCCGGCGCAGGTGGCGTCAGTGACACCCGCCCGCGCCGCCTTGTACAGCGTCGCGAGGTTGGAGAAGTTGGCCACCGTGGCCGGCCACGGCTGCACGTCGACCGAGACGCGGCCCAGGGGCCAGAGCATGCCGTGGCGGATCTCATTGCCGAGCGACACAATGTCCAGCGTTACGCCAGCGTCCTTGAACGCGACGAGCGTCTCGCGGACGTACTCGCGCAGCCTACCCACCAGCGGCCCCAGCTCCGTCGGCCAGGCAGCGGGCGCCGGCTGCTTCTGCGGGTCCGCCCAGCTGTCGGCGAAGTGGAAGTCGAGGAAGACGCGCTGGCCCTTGGCCTGAAACCGTTTGGCGAGGCTGATGGTGTAGTTGAGACCGTAGATGCCGTCGGGCGGGTCGACCCACAGGCGGAGGCGGACGGCGTTCATGCCGCCGTCGGCGAGGATGTCGTCGGCAGGCCGCTCCTGGTTGCCCCGTGCTGTATCGACGAAGATGTTCTTCGAATCCTCGAGCAACTTCAGGGAGCTCAGGTCGTGACCCTTGTAGAAGAAGGGCGTTCCGTCGCCGGGACCAGAGCTGAGCTCCCGTTAGACCATTGGTTATGATCGAGTTTGGCTGAGTGACTTACATGGTGCCCTCCGTGACTGGGGCCGCCGCCGCCAGAGCCGTGAGGCTAAGCAGGGAAAGAATTCGCCTTGCGATCATGATGAAGCGATGCCAATACAGATGCCGCAAGTAAGATGTTTTGCAAAGCTTTTGACAAGACTGCTCTTATATGTATACCGATTCCCGTGTCGCCGGGCTAAAAAGCAAAACTCGAGCCATCAGTTCGGCCGCCCGCCGAGCCAAGATCGAAATAAACGCGAACTGGCTGTCATAGGCCCTTGGCAATATTTAGCCCTTCTTCTCGGTCCAACGTGACGGCTAGACGGAAGATTTCAGCGAGCAGAAACAGCATCGAAAATTGGTCACCCCCCCCGAGCTGTGGGGACACATCGCGGGGTCACCGGGGGAGCGACCCCCGTTCCGGGCAGCCCGACGATTGGTGCGCCTGGATGAGTTGCCCTTGTCGCCTCCCGCAATTTCGGACAATGTACCCCCACCGAGCTAACCGTCGTTACCTGTTGTGCCAGTCTCCAAACGGTCTGAATTGCCTTGATTCGCTGGCAGTCTGGCAAGCGCGGATGAAGCTGCGAGAAAATGGTCATCGAGATAGGAGCCAAAGCTCAATTCTCCAACGACTGGTATCCTATTTGGTTCGTACAAGATATACAGTAATGGCCATAACATCCAGTTTTGCGTAAGCTTAACCATCGGCTAGGACTCGGGTCCAGTCAAACTTCCTCCACTTCTTGTTGAACCCCTCGACCCGACGGTCGCCCTTGTTCCACCGTCCCTGTTTCTTGATCACGTCCGGGCCGACGTCCAAGATGCCCCCGATGATCTCCCTTGCGAAGAGGTCACCCCGCGGCCAGCGGTCAGAGTTTTCAACAATGTGACCGAGGCCGCCGTCGAGTGTGAACCACACGTGGAAGTATGGCATCTCCTTCGCGATGCTCCGCCTGAACGCCATTCTGCCCATGCCATCCCGTGCCTTGGCGGCCGTGTCAATGATCTTTTGGTGCTGTGACCACTCGTCATCTGTGGTGAGGAAGGCCTCCTTGAAGTAGGCCGGGGCCGTGGCGCCCTCTTCGTAGGGGATCGGCACGGCCATCATGGCGGCGTGGAGATGCCGTTGCGGCGCTGCGGCGTTTTCGTAAAAGATGACTTCCTGTCCCTTCTCGTGGTACATCCTGGTGAGAGATTTCATGAAGTTCCGTATCTCTTCCCACTCGTCGTCGTCGCACTCCAAGAGGTTCTTGTGGTGTGCCGTGGGTACGATGACTGCGCCGCCTTCACTGACCTCCGGGTCCGTGGGCAATGTCAAAAAGACACGGGTGCCGAGGGAGATGACGGGTGCCAGAGGCGGTTGGCCCTTATCCTCATGATGGCACAACGGGCAGTTGGACAGAATCCGTGACACCTTCTGGTAATCGTTGACGGCGACGTTCTTTAGGTTGGCCTCGGACTTGTGCACCCGCTTCGCAAGCTTGTCTGCGTTCTCGTCCATGTAATCGAGGTCGTTGTCAAACTTGCTGTCCTTGGCAATGCGCTCAGCAAGCCGCATGCCCTCGCCGCCGGCCTGACCGCGTGTTCTGCGCTCCTCGCGAACCATGTCCTCGATTGACATGTCCTCGTTCGCTTCCACATTCCCTCGCTCCCGGCCGCGCTTGTTCTCTATGGCTGTAACTTCGCCACGAGTTCCTGCCAGCATCCTGTTATCCATGACACCCAGAACGACCGATTGCGGACCGTTAGTGGCAAAGCTGGCCGCGGCTTGGTTGTATTCGGCTTCCAGCTTGGCGGCATCAGGTGCCTTGCGTAGCTTGGCCTTCATCATCTGCGCTCGCAGCCTGTTCAGTGCGGTCTGGTCCATGGGGGTGTGCTGCATGGCATCGTCGGGAATGACGGTGCCCTGCTCAAACTCTTCGGCACGCTCTCGTTCGGCCCGGTCTCGTTCAGCAGACCTATCGGCACGGTGCTTTTCCAGCCGCTCACGATACAAGTCCCCGGTCGGTTTCTCCTTGCTCACGTACCCTTCGCCGTACACCTTGCGTCGCTCCAGTTCAATCTTCTCCTCCCGGGCGTCGTCGAATTCTTGCAAGTCGCCGTACCTCTCCAGAGCAACATCTTCGACTGATCGGCCAGACTGCTCTGCCATGGAATAAACACCCTTGAGCTTGGTCATGCGCCACTGAGAGCCGTTGTCACCAAACTTGTAACTGACGGTTCTCTCCGTCGGTGGGAGCTTTTCATCCAGGGTCGTAATGTTACTCAGGTCCCCAAAGTCTCTGTTGATTTCCCTGTCATGGATGACTCTAACCGGTTCCTCTTTGGGTGGCGGCTTGGCCTCCTCCTTTTTGCGCTGAACATAGTCGATGTCGAGGGCTGACGGGGCAGTCATCCAGCTATCGCGGACCAACGGTGGGTCTGCAGCCTTCGCTTCCGGTGGTGTAGCTTCCTCGTCGGGTATCGGCAAGTCCTCCTTGGGATCCGAGGTCTTTTCATGCCTTTCTCCGCCGTTTCCATCGTCTCTATCCTTCTGTCTGTGTCTTGATCGTCGCTCCTCGTCGTCCTTTGAATGGCGAGATCGCTTATGCCTGTGTCCATCCTCCTCGTCTCCATCGTGCCGTCGCGATCTTTGATGGCGATGTCTTTCGTGATCACGGTCTCGGTCGCGTTCCAGGTCACGATCACGCTCTCTGTGACTTCCTCTCTGGCTATCTCGTTCTCCCCGTCTGTCGGATGACCTGTCGCGGTGGTGATGATGTCGGTGTTTCTTCCTCTGTCTGCGCTCTTCTTTTTCGCGTTCAATGCGCTCCTTCTCTCCCTTCTCTGCGGCAAGGGCCTTTTCGAATTCGTCGAGGCCGTCCATGGCTGCTTGAGCAAGCGGCGCTAGGCTTGCTGGGACTTGCTTGAGCAATAGCTTCAATGGTATGTTTTTTTTTACCTCAGGCCGCAGACAGAACGAATTGGCCATGCAAGCTGGACGTCACTCGCCAGCACGAGCCATCTGGATTTTGGAGCCGACCAGGGGGGTCCTGATTAATGGTTACAGGGGATGTCTTGCCCACTCTAACGCCCCGCGCGGGGCACTCAGCTCTTCCGTCTCTTCCAGAACTTTTTTTCCTAGCGGCTGCAACAGCAACACCGAGAAAGCCGCATACATACTTACCCGATACCTCTACCAAAATGGCTTCAACTTCCGCAGCCGCGCCCGCTGAGAACCAGTCTACTCAGGAGAAGGCCTCCACTCAGATGCCGACATCTATCGTCGTCGTCGGCATGGCCGGTAAGGGTTTCGCACCGTATAGGCCTATTCAGCTCTGACCAATACAACTCCCAGGCTCCGGCAAAACAACCTTCATGCGACGCATCAACTCCTACCTGCATGGCAAGAATGATCCGCCGTACGTGATCAACTTGGACCCGGCTGTGCTCAATGTTCCTTTCGAGAGCAACATCGACATTCGCGACTCGGTCAACTACGAGGAGGTCATGAAACAGTACAACTTGGGACCGAACGGCGGAATCTTGACGTCCTTGAACCTCTTTGCCACAAAGGTCGACCAGATTGTTAACCTGCTCGAGAAGCGCGCGGCCCCAGACGCAGAAAACCCCACCAAAAAGCCCATCAAGAACATTCTTGTCGACACTCGTAGGTCTTTGATGCGTATTTGCTCCTTCACAGCGGGCTAACAGCGCTGTAGCTGGACAGATCGAGGTCTTCGTCTGGTCCGCCAGCGGTACCATTCTTCTCGAGTCGCTCGCCTCTTCATTCCCGACCGTTATCGCCTATGTCATCGATACACCCAGAACCACCTCCACAAGCACATTCATGAGCAACATGCTGTACGCCTGCAGTATCCTCTACAAGACCAAGCTCCCGATGATCCTGGTCTTCAACAAGACTGATGTGCAGGACGCGAGCTTTGCGAAGGAGTGGATGACGGATTTCGAGGCTTTCCAGGCCGCTCTCCAGCGCGATGAGATGAGCGACGTGATCGGCGGCTACGAGACATCAGAAGGCGGCAGCGGGGGCAGTGGCTACATGGGCAGTCTGCTCAACTCGATGAGTCTGATGCTGGAGGAGTTTTACGCCCATCTCAGCTTCGTTCCCGTCAGCTCTCGTCTCGGCACGGGTATGGACGAGTTCTTCGCGGCGGTGGAAGAGAAGGCGGAGGAGTTCAAGCAAGACTACCTCCCGGAGCTGCAGCGTAGGCGAAGTGAGCGGGAAGAGAAGAAGCGCCAGGCCCGTGAGCACGAGCTGGACAAGATGATGAAGGGCATGTCGGTGGATGCGGGCAAGAAGCCCATGGTCGTCAAGCCTGTTGAAGACGACGATGGCATCGACGTTGCCAGCGACGTCGACGACGACGATATGCCGGATGACGAGGACGACCGGGAAGGACTCCAGGCTCGTTACGAGGCGGCCATGGAGGCGGAAGGCGATTCCATCATGGCTGATGGCAGTTTCGCCAAGTACCTGCACACGCGGCAGACGTGATGGGGACGGTGGGAACGGAACACATTCATGCACATAGGACGAAGCTTGGGCAGGAAGACGGCGTTTTAGACGGTTGCTGCATTATCATGAGATACCTCGAAAAGGAAGAACAGGTGCAGAAAGTTGCCTTGCTCTATGAATTGATTTTGACCCCCCAATACCATAACTCCTGTAGACGTCGGCGTCCACGGTATGTCCGGCTCTCATCACGGCGGCTGAAGCGCGCTCGTGCTCTCGGACATGCATCCCTCTTGGGCAAATCTCTAGCGGAACACTGGTTCTTCACAAGCGACCAGCTAGGCCACGGCATGATGTCTCATCCGGTACCGATGCTCGAATCTGCGCAAAAACTCCAACACCCCGGCCTCTCCGCTGCCTCCCGGTGCTCTTTCATCCTCGTAATGCGTGTAAATGTCAAAGAAGAACGCCCGGTTGGGCGTCATCATCTCGCCTCGAACTGAACCATTCTGTCAAAAAGAGTCAGCACGCCTGCTCGCCCCTAAAGCCTCGGAAGAGCGTAGAAGACTCACCTCTTGGTACGCTCCTTGTATAGGATGCGGCAACCGCACTCCTTGCAGCGGATGGGGTCGGCGCGACGCAGCTGGAACTTGAGGCCGCAGTCACCGCAGAGGTACTGTATCTGAGGACCCTCGGCGCCATAGGATGAGTAGGCGGCCGCGCTGGGGGCGGAGGTCGCGCCGGCGGTAGGGACTTGGTAGGCTTCGCGAGACATAATTTTGTTATATATGTATTCTTTTCCCGTTTGTCGAGAGGTGAGGTTTCCTTGACAGAAAGCGGAGATCAAGTCGGGGTGGGGTGAGGCGGCGATTTTCTTCTTTCGCGGAGGGCGTGATTGGAAATGCAGAGGTGGGCTGGATGACAATTTGTTAAGCGGTGAGGGCGCGTAGGGGTGGCAGAAAAAAAAAAGAGGTTGCCTCGGGGGGGGGGGCGTTGTGGTCGGTCCACTGGCGCCCGGGGATCGGGCATGGGGCTGCATGGTATGGCATGGCATGGAATCTCCGGCGTGGCCCACTTCCCGAGGTTATCACTGGTTAATTATCTGTACTGCCGCCCGCCCACCTCGGAAGAAACAAGTCTTGACCGCGCAGCACACTCTCCTCTTCGTATTATCTTTCTCCATGATTTCACCTCTCTGTTGACTTCTTGGCGGGTTCCGGTTCGCAAGCGACGACACGGCAATGCATTATAGTCGACAAACCCAGCACTGTCGATAACGCTCAATTCCTGTTTCGATCATCGACTAGGTACAACGAATACCACCACCACGGCAACACTTACTAGCCCACCATGACGCCCACCTCCGAATTCGACGTCGGTGTAGAGCCTGCTGGATCGGAGTGCCCCTTCTGCATAATCGCAACCGAATACCCGCCTTATGACCCTATCCAGCCGCCTCAGGACGACGCAGTCCTCGACCCCAACAGGCTTCCGACGCCCGCCTACGTCGTCCTCTCGACCCCCACTCTCATCGCCTTCCTCGACATCCTACCGCTATCGCGCGGTCACCTCCTCCTCTGCCCGCGCACCCACCGCCCGAAGCTTACTGATGCCTCGCCCAACGAGTCGGCTGAGATGGGCCGCTACCTGCGCATTCTGTCCAGAGCCCTCACGCGCACCACGGGTGTCGAGGACTGGAACGTGGTGCAGAACAACGGCGCCGCCGCCGCCCAGGTCGTCATGCACATGCACTTCCACCTAATACCCCGCCCCGAGATCCGCGCGAGCGGCCGCTACAGCGAGAGCTTCACCATGTTTGGCTGCGGTCGCAGAGAGGAGCTGGACGACGAGGACGCCGAGCACTTTGCCAAGGAGCTGCGGGAGAACGTGGCCGACATCTTGAGAGAAGATAAGCACAAGTCCAAGCTTTGAACGTGGTCTTTTTTTTTTTTTTTTAAACAACGTTTATTCATTTCGTGTATGGATGGACCCCAATTGGGGTCCGAGCTGCCGTATAACGCAGTACAATTTGTTCGCCGTAGCGCTGTCTTTTGCTCTTGTTTTGCTCATGTGAGTCGTACCACTCAGCACCACTACCACCACCACCATCACCGTTTCTACCCTCTCTCCCGTATCTACTCATCATCACCCAAGAAGACCTTGACACCATGGGGAAGGAAGGTGCCGTCGCAGACCTTGAAGCGGTCGGGGATGGCTGAGACCTTCTTGAACTCGTCATCGGTCAGGGACCAGCCGTCGAGGTCGAAGTTGGCCTTGATGCGGCCCTCAGAGACGGATTTGGGGATGACGCTGACGTCTCTGGCGAGGCCCCACTGGAGGAGAACCTGCTGGGGGGTGCGGCCCTTGGCCTTTGCGAGGTCAAGGAGGGTCTGATTGGTGTAAAGGGGGGAGTCGGTGCTGCCGAGGCACGAGTAGGCCGTGGCGTGGATGCCCTTGGACTTGCAGTAGTCGAGGAGCTTGGGCGAGGGGTTGCAGGGGTGAAGCTCGATCTGGTTCACGGCGGGGACGATCTGGGATTCTTGTCAGTGCCATGTTCTCGCGTGGACAATAGGAACGGGCCGAGAGCGAGTCCCTCTCACCTTGGTCTGTGGGTCGTTGAGAAGGCGCTCGAGGTGGGTGATGCCAAAGTTGGAGACACCAATGTTCTTGACCTTGCCGGTACCAACGAGCTTCTGAAGCTCGCGCCAGGTGTCGAGGTAGTCCCAGTCGGGGTAGTGCTTCTTCAGGTCATCAGGGTCGGTGCTAGAGGGCCAGTGCATGAGGTAGAGGTCGACGTAGTCGGTCTGGAGATTCTCGAGAGACTTGGTGATAGCCTCGGGAACGCGCTTGTGCCAGGGGTTGTCGAGCTTGGTGGTGAGCCAGATGTCCTCGCGAGGGACGCCGGAGGCCTTGATGCCGTCGCCGACCTCCTTCTCATTGCCGTAGGCGAAGGCAGTGTCGATGTGGCGGTAGCCGTTCTTCAGGGCGGCCTCAACGGCGAGCTTGACCTGGTTCGGCTGGGACTGCCAGGTACCCAGGCCAATGGCGGGGATCTTGTCACCCGTATTGAGGGTAAAGGTACGTGTGGTCTGCTTAACGTCGGTCATGGTTGGGAGTTTGCGTGCGCGTATCTACACTGAACGAAGACTGGTCGGGGTATCGTAGAGAGAAAGAGGAGCAAAAGCCGAAATAGATATAGAAAGAGAAGAGTAATGTGAAATTATCAGGATGCTCCTGAGCGGTCGGGGAGAACTCTTTTGTATGCGCGAGGCAGGGGGGGAGCCAAGAAAGTGAAGGGGCAGCAGCGTTCAAGAGGAAGGCGGGGGGGAAGGGGACCAAGAGGCGAGAAGTGTGCTCGGCATCCATTCCACCTCATCCCGTGTGTCCTTGATCCGATCTCTACCTATCCGTAAGAGGTACCTACCTGCATTACGTTGATTACTACCTATCTATCTACCTGATAGCGTAGTGTACCTTAGCTACTAGGTAGATACCCACGTGGTATTACGCCTGCGGGAGATAACGCCCCGCCCTATGAACCTTCCCTCCTCCCCCTTGGGCCTTGGATGCTCCGAATGCGCAAGCACGACTGTGGAGGCGACAATGAGCGGGAAGAGATAGAGAGGAAGGTCCAGTCCATGGAGTTTGTCGCGCAGGCCAACCAAAAGGAACCCTAAGTTATCCCCGCCCCAATATTGCCCCTCCCCCCACCTTTTGTACGCAGTTTAATGCCCCGGGAACCCCTCCGGCCGGCCTTCGTTGCGCGTTGGATGCGCCTCCTATTGGCTCCGAGCTTTTGGTCTCTTTCCTTTGGTCGGAAGTTAGTTCATCCCTGTTTCCAGTCATGCGCCGCTATCCCCGAGAGAGCAATTCCAGCAATTGCGTTCTTCATCATTACACGACACGCAGCCAGCCCACTCTGACCAGGACTCCTGCGTCTGCATTCAACAACTCCCCACAGAGCCCTGTCGACTCGGACGGCTGGGGGTCAGGGAGTGTATGGGTAAACAGAGAGTAGTTCAACGAGGGGCGTCACTGCGCTTGTTGTTTGTGGCTCTCTCTCTCTCTCTCTCTCTCTCTCTCTCTCTCTCTCTCTGCGCGTAAAAAGACCTGGTCCCGGGCTTGATCTTGGTCAGTCTTCTTCGATGCGCTTGATTGGCAGCGCTTGTTGCCCGTTCCAGCCCGTGTCGCTGAAACGGGCCAATGTGCCCCGATGCGCGACTAACAGGACGTCATACAGGCACACACACGTACGAATACTGTTGCGGCAAACACATCTTGGACGCCACGGGCTCTTGGTTGGCCCATGACAGGCGGGACATCCTGCATCCGCCGCCGCCGCCGTGCACCCTGGGCCCGGGTCGGCGGGACCTGACGCATCTTCTCTCGCGCAACCGCGCGAATATCTTGCCAGGAAGCCATTGACGCCCCCACATTGCCACGACTCTTAGGTCTTGCGTCCACTGGGCCCCTGCTGGTTGGTTTACTTTTGTCGAGGGAAAGAAAGCTTTCCAGAAACCAGCCAAGAGGATACAGAAAACGCTGATTCACCAAGGAATGCATCTGGACAGTCTTTGGATGTATCTCTCTCGTCCGTGCTACGTATCTGTAATGATTGACCTTTTCTTGTCATCGCCGTCTTGTCCTTCGCGATTTGTTGGAAAGCTGCAGCCACGACAGTACCAAACTGACATTTGTCAAATCATCTGAAATCTGGACCTTTGAGTCGCGCCCAAGTATTTTAAGACGTTTACAGAGCTATTCATACTCAACGAATGTCACTTGGGAATCTGTCGCAAAGGTTATCGCCATGCTAGAGCTTCTTCGTACACAGCTACGATCTGATGAGACGCAACGGGAGATTGATATTGAATTGCTCTCTTACTGTTTGTCTTCCTTCTCCTACTCAGAATGGGTAGTAGATTCGATATAACTTGAGCCTAGTGATCCTCATTCAAGGTTACCATCACCATGGCCCACTGAACGGTAAAATGGTTGTGAGGCGTCTGAGAGACTGGTTAGACAAAATAGATGGGATGTCGTCGACAAAAGCGCCTCAAGGTCGCATCAGACCCCCCACAACTCGGACTGGCCACATAAAGCTGGCTCGTTTTCTCGGCTATTCTGCCTATACCGCTGTACTGGCCAATTGGCGTGATGGTCGAAGAGGGCTGGTCCAGTGGGAGGAATGACCGTGGGGACGGTCTCGAACTTGACACACGGGGCCCCGTTCGCGTCTTTGGTATGTACCTTTTCCTGGGTCTCTTGATACGTTGCTCGCCATCTACACTTTGCGGGAGTTGGAGCTGCAGATGCTCTCTGGCTGAACACTAAATGCGAGCCCCTAAGTCCTGTGTAAGAGGGACACCAATCTACTATTCGAGACTGTCAGATCTTTTGGGCTGTTATGGTGCTCTAGAAGCTGTACTCGTAGACAAACCCCTGCAAGAGACGGGTCTGCCGGGCCCCATGTAGCATGCGTGGCGATACAAATGCCACTGGCGAAGAGCGTAACCCCAACCAGCTATCACTGGATGCACACATCCACCGATTCCCCGATAGTCTAGTGGTGAGGATATCTGCTTGTCATTTGCACGATTCGCAGGGGACCGGGGTTCAATTCCCCGTCGAGGAGGTATCATCAGTCATTCTGTGATCGAAAAAGTTCTTTTTACCGCCTTGTATTCGTACCTCAGTTGGTTATCACCCCCTAATTGGCCTTTGGGGAGGTTACCATCGGCACTGTCAGATGGCCATTGCATACAGTCTCGGTACAGTGTACGTTTGCCGACTCACGGAAAGACGAAGGACTTGGCAAATTGTCATGTTACTGAGTTACCGGCAACCGGTCAGGAGGCCGTCGACCCACTGATTTATGTTTAACCGAACCGTCCGTTGCTACTGTTCAGCATAGCGGACACGCCATACCCCAAACTACGCAAACTACGATCAACCCGCTGGAGAAGCAGCAGTCTAACGCCCAGGCCGCACCCATGCTACCAATCCCGTAGCGAAAAGTGCACGACCAATTGATCCTGCTTAACAGGCCAACGACGCCTGTGGCTCTTTGGAATATATATATATATATAATATATATATTGGCACTGCAACCACTCCGTACAGAGTATGAAACAGTCGACGTCTGCAGCGTCTACCGCGTTTTGGCGCGTAGATCGTACCTGCTCGTATGACAAGGGGTGGGCCGCCTGCGAGGGCCTATGCCCTAGATCAACACTTGGCTCGCGTTTTCCCCCGTAGGCTACGATTGATGATGCGGGCATGCGACTGGTCTCACAACGGGTCAAGATAAGTGAGCGCGTGGCTCAAAGCTTCCGAAGCAGATGTCATGCTACCGCCTGCCTTTAAAGGTTACACATTACACGGGCTTACCACAGCAAGTATTAGGGCAGGTATGAGCAATCTATACGGAGGTACAAATGACCCTTTCAAGATGTTTGAAGCCCGCCCCTACAATGAGTCAACGTATAGTCGTGAAGGGCTATCGTGGTTGTCAAAGGGCTGTTTCTGAGATTCCATGTGGGTTTTGTAAGTGACTGGAATGAGTCTAGGGGTCTAGGGGCTGTCAGCAAACTCTTACGGACACACATTTAGGTTTTCGAGTCCTCTAAAGGTCAAGTTGACTGTGGTTATATATGTTTTGCTACACTCACAACATGCAGTCGCGTTATGGGGGGTTGAGAGCCAAGCAGGGTCTACTTTGACCGTTGTAAAGGCATGGCAACCCGGCGCGAACGAACGTCGACCGCTGACTCGACAGTTGGGCTTACTCATATTGAAGCCCCTCAATGTTATCAGAATATCATACTTGCGCCCGACTTTCATGGTATTGACAGAAAAATGACATTCTCAAGGCAAACAAGAAAAAGAAGGGGGGCGGCGGGGGGGAGTGTTACGGGCAATTTGCGCACCACCGGCGCCGAAGCAGAGCGCCCACCAGCCGAGTCCCCCGAAACACGGGCCCCGTTCCTTTCATCGCGAGCGGGTCCACCAGCCGACACTCTCAACGACCGAACTCCGGGCCCCAGGTCATGAAAATATAGTCCCTTATGGCTTACCCATTCTTGGCCCCCATCTAGCCCCCCAAGTTCCTCGGTATCAGCCAATCTCCCTCACCTTTATTTGACAACCTCCCTTAGGCGGTGCCCAACCAGCAATGGGAGGGGGGGGGGGCGGCCTCGACTTTCTGCGGCCAGGAGACCATCATCTCGCTCGGCAATCGACCAACCAGCGAGAGCGGGTGGTTTTTTTGGTATGGTAATTGGTCGAATAGTAACAAGCTATTGGACGGAGTAGCTGCGGACGCAAATGAGAGGGGGGGGAAAGAAGAAATAAGGTGGGAGGAGAAACACAGGCGCACTATGTCGGGCAATTGCGTGGGTGCAGATTGACGCCCGACGAGTGCTCAAAGAGGTACATGTAGTTGCTCACTCCCGTCTATCAACGCTCCTGCTCGCACCGCTTTTTCCGAGTCTGTTCTCTTCCCCCCCGCCAGTCCGCCAGTCCGCCAGTCCCGAAGATGACGAAATGGACCATATCCGTGCACGACGATCAAGATGGACGGCGGCTGTCGCATGCCGCCCGCCGTCCAACGGCCTTCGCCCTACTTGTCCGACGGAAAAGGACAGAAAAATATAATCGCAAGGGAAAACATTCATGAATGTGGATGTACGAAGTCGGGATATCACCAGAGTGGGACGCAAGACGGAATGTGTTGGATGGCAGAATGCTCGTCTCGTCATCTATTCTACGAGTTGACGATGACTAAAGGCGTCACAAGACTGAACTGATGTCGGCGAGATACAAAAGACAAAGACGATTTCTAGTAAAAGAGAAAGACGGAAGAGAGGCGCGCTCACTCGGCATCGCCGCCAGCAGCAACGGCCTTGGCCGCGTCGCCGTTGGTGGCGGCGGGTGCGTCGACGGCCTTGACATCACCCTTAGCGGGGACATCCTCGACGCTGTTGGCAGTCTCCTCCTCGGCCTCGGCCTCCTCTTCTTCGCCGGCGGCCTCTTCGCCTCCCTCTTCCTCCTCGGCAGCCTCCTCGGCGTCGGCCGCGTCATCCGTGGCCTCTGTCTCGGTCTTCCGCTTCTTCGATGGAGGAGCTTTGTCTGTAGTGACGACACGTTAGCTTGGCCGTCGAGCAAGTTCGAAAAAGCGTGTGCGCCATCAAAACTGCGGCATCATGGCTTACCATTTACGCCATTTGCTTCAGCATCTTCCTCGGCGTCACCCTCCTCCTCCTCTTCTTCCTCCTCCTCTTCCTCTTCTTCCCCATCGTCATCACCCTCCTCTGCGTCTTCCTCAGACTCGTACCTAGAGCGCAAGTCATGTCAGAGCTGGTCTTTTTTTTTTCAGATGGGACAACGGGGAGCTCTCAGTCAGGAGCCATAGCCACTGACACTCGGCATAACCCGAGCGCATAACCGCGACGGCATCAGGACACCAGGTATAGCTGAAGCATGGACGCGCAAACGAGCTCAGAGTATCGAGGAGCATGACTTGATACTCGCTGCTCTCCAAGGGACCTAGGCGCGAAGCAAAGACCGAGGGGTACTTACTCCTCTTCCTCTTCGCCGTCGTCGTCGGGAAGGGAAACAAGCTCCTCCTCCTCCTCTTGCTTTCTCTTGCGGGTGGACATGTTATAAGAGGGTCTCGATGGGTTCAATTGGGTAGAACAAGGCGTTTCGAAGAGGGTTTTCAGTAGAAAACTTGCAGGAGATGGAAGGGAAAGAGAAAGAGATGTAGGAGAAGCAGAAAGAAAAAGAGAAAGTTGGGGGGCGGCCAGAACGAAAGTTAGGTAGGCTGGCGCAAGGAAAGCTCGGGGGGGGGGGGGGACGGGGCAAGCCTAGAGGTGGGTGGGTGCGTGTCGATTGGTGGTACCTCTCTACACAGTAGATGCGCAATGGGTGGGCGAGGAAGAGTTAAGAGGAGAAGGGAGTGCGCGTCGGTGGTGCGGTGCGGTGCGCAGGCAGAGCGAGAGGGAGAGGGCGGGAGAGAGGGGGGTGGGAGGATGAGGAAGAGGAGGAGGAGTAGGAGGGAGCTCCCTCTCAGCTGTGTGGTGTACGCTCTGCCATACCGTTTGCGAGGGAACGTGTGCGAGGCAGATCCAAAGCCAGAGCCACAGCCAGGTGAGATAGAGCCAGAGCCAAAGGAGCAAGTATCAGACCAGGCTCTGAAGCTGGCCCGGGGACAAGAACTGGGAGAGGATGGAGCACCAAGATGGTGGAGGGTGGCTGGGGGGGGAGCTTCGACTCGAATGACTGGGGGTTCCGGCGAGTGAACTGAAGACGGGACGAGAAGATGGGGGGAACACTGGGGGAGATGTGAAATGTGAATGAGAAAGGAGGGGGCGTGAGCGCAAGAGTCGAGTTTGGTAGAAGATCCAAACAGGGATTCCAAGTTGTCTGCTTGATCGAAGGTCGTCCTTGGAATGTAGTTGGCCACCAAGCGAGAGGAAGCTCGGACCTCTCTGAGGAAGAGAGCAGTAGCAGCAGCAGCAGCATCATCATCCCTGTTCGGACCTTTGCGTGCAGCAGCGCAGCAGCTCAGAATCCACACCAACACCAACAACAGCAGCAGCTCCAAGGTGGGAAGAAAGACAAAGCTCCGATGCCTTGCCGCCGCTGCTGGACCTGGTCTGCCAAGTGAAGTGCCTCCCCTTCCCCAAGCCCCCCCATCCCTTCCAATTCGCTCCCAGTTGCTCTCGGTGACTGAGGCCAATACCTACCCCTCCCTGTATGAATCAAGAGCTCTGAAGCTCTGGCGACCGAGCAGGAGCTGGGGAAGCCAATGGGAACCTTCCCCCACTAGCATTATCCCGCTCTGAACACACCCTTGGTGTGACGGAGGAAAACAGAACAATTGACTGGCTGCTGACGTGATCCTGGCCGGAACGGGACGCCATGAGCGTCATCACGTGCGCTAAGGCTTTTCCGTCGCTCGTGCGAGTCGCGCTCGCCTTGGATATGGTGCCTGAGGTATCCAACTGTAGTGGCAGCTTTGTGTACCTCGGTAAGCTGGCCCTGGTGCCGCTGACTGGACAACATTATGCCCTTAGAGGCTGGAGACAGCTTCGTTCATCGACAAACAGGGGAGTAGGAAATGAGCCGAAACGAAACGAAACAAACCGAAAACAAACGAAGTAGCTCAGATTGACCAAGCAGAAAGAGTCAATACTAAGGAAGGACCCTGAGGAAGACGGAACATCAGCGGTTATCAACTAGGTAGTACTTATGCAATATATCTCCAGGTAGAGGGAAGTTGATTCAATATTCCACAGGGCAAAAACAGAGGTATTGACGACGATATGCCAACCCAGCTGAACAGAGTTGGCTGGTACGGAGGCAACGGGCAATGCAGTGACTCGACCTGCTTCATTTTGGGGGGAAAAAACGGTGTGGCCGGGCACAGTGATACTTAATGGGAACGACAAGCCACTTGGCTTGGTTCTCCGCAGGAATGATTCACGCCGGGAGTGAATGAATAAGGCCACGGCATACCGCGTTTGACGCAACCGCGACAGCCCATAAAGTGACATATCCATCAGGATACAGAGTCGTCAGAAATTTGGCGGCAATCCTGACGGTGTTGGACATACTGTCCATGTTTGGTGGAATCGTCGCGCGAAGACCCTGGCTCCATGATAGCCGCTCGGGTTGGGTGACCGGGAGTACCAAAAAATCTCTTTCTTGGTGGTTCAATGTGGTTGGTCTGCGAGTCTAGCTGCTTTGATGTTTCTCCTCATGGCCGGCCCGCCTGAGGGAGAATGAGACAACGCTGATCCAAAAGCTGGAAAAGGCTGACATGTTGATGGTAAGAAGCAAGGGAAAGACAAGCATAAGAGAGAAGAATAAGGCCTGGGGTCGGGACAGGCCGAAAGATAAAGATATGTGCTTCCTTCTGCTGCTCTGTGCTCCCCGCGTCATCCAGGCAACCAGGGCTCGCTCCCGATCTTGGTGTCGAATAGCCTAGCATGAAGTAACACCGAGAGGCAGTCTGCTTCAGCGTTGGTTGACAGGGGAAGGGGGATACGGAGACTAGACTTGTCCATCGGACGAGCCACCAAAAGAGCATGCTGGCGAAGAGCGTCGATGATGCCGAGATGACTGTGGTTTTAGGCGAAGAAACAGCGAGTTCTGGCCAAGTTAACGTCTAGGATCATATACCGACCCATACAGTAGCGTTCGTAGTTGAGCAAAGGAGCCATACTTGGGCGGACGCAACGAGAATGTTGAAAGCGGGCGACGGGTTACACTTTATGAATGTCTTTCCGCAAATATGGTACTGGGGTCCATCATCGAGATCTGCCGGTCGTAACGCCTGACGAGGAAGACGGGATGATGCATGTCCGCTGGCCTCGATTTGCACGACAACTATTTAATTGGTATCCGCCAAAATCATGTTGGCTTCTCCGGCCTCGTATCTCGGACTTCTTTGCTTGTAAGTGTTGTGCCAGGCAAAGGGGTAGGATTCCCCCCCGGGGATGCGAAGTCTGAAAGGAGGGCCATCGTTGACAAAAGAGGGGCAAATTCGAGACGGGTAGACGATCTACGCAGCCAGCCGTCAAAAGCAAACGGACCCAGAGAGAAACAGAGCATCAGAATAAGGTCATGGGGAAGATCCATAAGAAGCAATAGCAACAACAAAAATGAAAGAGAATTTTTTTTGTTTAAAAGCAGAGAAAAAAGGAAATGAAATACGGGGTGCTCTGGTCGACAGCGGGAACTGGCGTAAAAATGCGTTTTCTCCCTTGAAGAGAGTAAAATCGACGGGCAGGACTGATTAGGAAGAAGGAAAATGACAACGGCCCCCGATTCGTGAAATTGAAAGGTCATTGGGCAGTAGAGGAAGGGGGGCTCGTTCGGGAATAGCTTCAGGCACCAGGGGCATCATGTATACTGCTGAGTAGGTAGCTGACCATCCGTACCAGGTACTCCGTACTAGGCTCCCCTGAAGCTGTCCCAGTGGGAAGGACCGCCAGCCAGGAGGTCGTGGAGGCTTTGCTGCGAATACCCCTGCAGGCAGCGGCGCCGGCTCATCCTCCCCTGTAAGTGGTTGCCTTTGACGTTGGGACGACGTGGTTGGGGGCTACAGCCTACAGGCCTAGGTACACTACTATATCGGTATCCGTACCTAGGTCTTGTTTGCTCTGCCATGCTCTCTGCTCTCTGTCTGCCGTGCTTCTGACCTCTACTCCGTAGGCTCTTGGAAGTTGCTGTATGTTGAGTGTACCAAGGAGGTCCGTGACCCCAGTTCCCTGTTTTCGCAGCTCCAATGGGTCGACGGCTGACGGACGCATCAACCATGATCTGCGGAAGTCACCGGCTGTTCCGCTTCCTGCTCTTGTGCCGCCGAATCTTTCCTGTGCCACGCAGCCAATCGACTTGCAGTCGTACTTGTCAGTCATGTTCTAGCACATGAGGGGGTATCGTTGGGTGTCCCAGATGCCCATACCCATGCTTTGCCCAAGCAAGGAGAGGTGCTCTATAGTATAGGTAGTATACTACTAGGAGGTACCTAAGTAGGCAGGCTAGTAAGTCCTATGTATCCTTAATGTGCAGAGTATTACCGGTATTGGGCTTGGGTGCAAGGGAGGCGGGAAGCCGGCTGGAGGAAACATGCAATAGTATGGATACAGGTAGGTACCTGGAAAAGGGTGCGGGATTGCCGGAGGGGCCAGGTACTCTGCCGGGGACCATACATAGGTAGGCTCAGTTGATTGAATTTGCTTCTCGAAGGAGGAAACGGGGGTATGGCCAGGAGGCGGTGGAGAACCGTGGATGTGGGGCCATCATCCAGGATACACGAGCTGACCAACTCGACCGGGCTGGAATTGACCAACGTGGAAGATAGGTAATTGACGAGCGCCTGCGGAAAAGGATAGCACCATGGTCCTTTGTGGCAGTTGTGCGAAATTGAATGACGCTCTGGACGGAACGGAGCCGACTCGAATTGACAAGTTTTTCTTTCTTCTTCTTCTTCTTCTTCTTCTTCTTCTTCTTCTTCTTCTTCTTCTTCTTCTTCTTCCGCTTTCTGTCGTACCTAATCTGTCAGTGCATATGACAAGCGACCAAGCCGAGGGAAAAAAGACAGATGCAGGATGGACAGTACTGACTCTTGACTCTTACCGTTTTGATCAATTTATCGCCGCGTCTTCCTTTTCGACATGGGTTCAGGTTGGTGGTCTCGTCGACTTTGGTCTTAGTTCTGGGGCCTTTGGATCCGTCCAGTGTTACCCTCCGATGTCAGGACGGACTGCGGGTTTGTTCCTCGTCTTCATAAATACTACTCCGTACCGAGTACGTAAATACATAACCATGGCGATTTGCGTTTGAAATGCGGATACCCAACAATATACCCCCAAGGTATATTCATTCGTACCGTCCGTGACCGCTTTGTCGCTTGTTGGCCCGTCCGCCTCACTGACATAGTCTTGGGCGAATCTCGAATCTTGGGATATTGGATTTCCATCTCCGTACAGCCACGTCAGGAGAGAAGGGCAAGCGAGAAGAGCAAGGGGACGGCAGAGGACGATCGAACTGTGTCCAATCTCCTCATCTTAGCCACTCGTCGCTCTCGCCCTCGTCCTCGACCTTTATCTTCGTCTTCGTCTTGTCCTCCTTCCTCGTCAAACATACTTATCTACCTACCTACCTACCTACCTACCCACCTACCTACATCATACCTACATACCTATATACCCACCTAGGTCTAGTACCTGAGAGTACCTGAGGTACCTATTCTCGGTCCCTTCCTCCTGCACATTTCCCTGCCGCGCCTGCCAAACTGTCTGCGGGACCCGCACCTGCATAGCGTCTGAGGTGCAGTGCGCCATCCATTCATCCCATCCATCGTTGGGTGGTTCCCCTTCCTCTTTCCTTACCGCCTCCCGCCGTCATCTTTGGAGGCTCTGCAATCTCACTTCGCCTGTTCGCGTCGGCGTACCTAATTTGGCCGAATGATTTTTCTTCCACTTTTCTCATCTTCCTTATTCCTGCCATACCGTCACTTCTCCCGCTTCACTCGTCTCGGCATTTTCTCCCCTCAACAAAGGTACCAACCTAGGTGCCTGTAGAAAACAACAACAACAACAACAACAACAACAACAACAACAACAACTTCGCTCGGCCACTTTCAACCACAACCTGCTCCTTTGCAATTTGACCGCACGGTCCTGCAACGATCCACCTGTCAAAAGGTAGCCAATCAGCCGGCTTCCCAAACATCCGCCCTCGGCAATCCTTTCTTCTGCCTCGTGGTAGCGGCATCCAAAAATCCGACGCACGAGTCAACCGCCTATTCGTCTCCGAGACATTTCAGAAAACTTGGTGAACGCCGCACATTGCCCAATCCGCCCTGATAACTGCTTCAGATCACGAAAACAGAAAAAGAAGAACAAGGAAGCAGAACCACAACCAGAAGAGAGACGTCCTGTGCTTATAGCCCTGTCCTTCAGCTTGCCGACTGAAGACGACGTGCATCGCTTGCTGTTTTTGCCTAGTTGGCACGTCCCGAGCTTGAGCCAATGACGACGCCGCCCCCATCTGGGTCCAAACGCTCGCTTCAGTTTTAGTATCTTCATCTACGACAACAGGTCCCTCCCCCCATAAAGACACTCTTACCATCTGCCAACCACCGACCACCGACCGCTACTTTGGCCCGTTCAATCCAATTACCCTTGGCCGATTAGAGGCTGGAGGCCCGGAAACTGCCACCACAATACTACGCCGCACCAGCCGGATCCCGCTTCCTTTTTCTTCTTCTTGACGACCACAAGACGACCCTCTCCTGTATCTGCACCCTGTCTGTCTGGGCCGTCTCCGACTCCTCTGCGTCTCTTGTTTCGCAAGTTATAACCGACCAGCCATCTCAGACGACGCTCATTGACTCACCTGTCGGCCGATCTTTCACTTACAGCTTCACCCCCTTACATCCAACCCCTAGTTTGCATGCGCGTGCGCATAAACCGCTGTCAGGGTGCCACTTCGTCTCCCACGCTCTGTGACGCTGGAAACCCGTCATTCCTTGCTCGACGCAATCTGCTTGTCGCCATTTTCTTCTGTATCGCCTTCGCACCAACCTTTCTTCAGCTTACTGCATCCCGGCCTTCAGCAGCAAACCGTCATTGAGCCCACTCCGCCTGGCCAATATCCATTGCTCCTCGCTCCGACTGCAACTGGGTTGCTTCCAGACGCATTGCAAGGTTCATGCATATGCCGCAATGGTATCGTCAGGAACGACCTTGAACACCCTACCCTGCACCACCGTCACTTGAACACGCTGTTGTAACACCCGGCACATATACACTTGGCGGCAGACACCTGCCAAAGAAGAAGAAGAAAAAACCACAACGCTCACCATTCCCAACGCGTTCTGCGCCAGTACAATTGCTCGGGTAGTGTTTGCCGCTGCCATATAACGGCTAGAGGGTAGCAATCAATATGACCCTCATGGCCGTGGCAGCGGATTCTGTTCAGCCTGACGCCCAGATTTCCTCGGGAGCCATGGCGGACCAGGACCCCGGCATCAACCGTCGGGGCAGCATGAAGCGTCGCCAGTTCGGTATTTATGCTTCGAGGCGGCCCCATCCGAAACCTATCCCAACTTCCGACGTTCCAGGGCGTCCCGAATCCGACTTTCCAGCAGCCCACTCCCAACCCTTGCCCACGTCCCCTCTGCGCTGGGACTCGTTGGCCAACAACTCGAGCCATTTTGTAATGCAACAAAACTCGGCCAACTCCCACGTGCAACCGATCTCTCCTCGACGTACTCCCTATGATTCCGGCCGACACTACCCCTCCTCACCTACGTTCCGCTCGCTGGCTCCGAGTCCTAGCCATGACCCTGAAGACGACTTGAGTGCAGACGAATGGACCAGTAGAGCCGTTGCTCGCTCGATAAAACCCCCGTTTCCTCACGACGACGACCGCCCTTCCTCGATGGACACCATGCAGGTCGACAATTTCTCCCGTCCGAGAGGGCCTAGCATCAAGCAGCCCCTCCAAGACTCCTACCGCTCACGAGCCAATCAGTCTCCTTCAGAACCGCGCTCTGACCCCAACTCGCATCAATATGCCTGGCCGCGGCCACGAGGTCACTCCGGATCTTCTGCAAAGTCGGCCTCGACGTTTGCATCACTTCCGGCCGCAGGGGGCGAGTACTACGAACCCCGAGCACCGTCTCGTTTGCGAAGTGCACCGCCTCCGTCAGGCCTTGCCCGCCCCCCATTGGCGTACGACCGTGTCGACAGCGCGAGTTCCGGCTTGTCAGCATACACGCGCGAGGCGCCGTGGATGAGTGGAGAAGACGAGATGAGGTCGAGTTACCGATCTCAAATGACTGCGTCGAGTGCACAGGGAACGTACGTGACGGAAAGAAGCAGTGTTCTCACCAAGAACAGCTCAATTCCATCGCTGTACGCTAACGGGGAGGAGCTTAGTGTCGAAGATGTCATGGGTATGTACGAGAAGGGCTTCCGAGACGACTCGAGCCCCGAAGACAACGACGACGTTCGTCCGGTCCCGGCCGCCGAGATCACCAAGCGGAACACCAGAATGCTGGAGGCACTGAGCGAACCACGACCAGCCCACGCCGACTCTTTAGCCGTCCCGAATCCCAGCACGATTGTTCGAGATACGACGGACATGTTCAAAGTTCCTGGGTACCCGGCCTCTGTCCCAACAGAGGTTAGCTTGCCCGATGACGATCAGAAGGAGGATGAGAAGGATATGAAGGGCGAGAAAGATGAGGACGACAAGCGGGACTCTGCCAAATCGCTTCAAAATGATGCACCGGCAGTATCCCCGCACATGGACAGCCCCTCGGCCTCCTCTACACAGACGGCAGTGGAGCCCGAGCCAGTTGAAATCGAAGAACCGGGAACGCGAGACCGGTATGGTTTCAAAAAGGCCAACCAGTATATCACCAGACAGCAGTACGACGCCTGGGACAAAGGCTACTCAGAATACCTCGAGAGGCGGCGGAAGAAGTGGACAGCCTTCTTGCGAGAGAATGAGCTCATGACCAATCGCCCTGAACGATTTCCTCCCCATAGTGCAAAGGCCAAGCGGTTCGTTCGCAAAGGCATCCCCCCTGAGTGGAGAGGAGCGGCCTGGTTCTACTATGCAGGGGGCCCTGCCATCTTGGCAAAGCACGCGGGCCTCTATGACACATTAGTGCAAAAGAAGGCCAAAGACGTTGATGTCGAGGCCATCGAACGGGACCTTCACAGGACGTTTCCTGATAATGTAAAGTTCAAGCCGGCAAACATGGCATCGAAACCCAACACGGAGCCTACGCGCGAGGGCCAGTCAACGCAGGACGAGAAGGACGAGCCTGAAATTATCTCGTCTCTCAGGCGAGTGCTACATGCCTTCTCCATTTACAACCCCCGCATCGGCTACTGTCAGAGTCTCAACTTCTTGGCCGGTCTGCTGCTTCTGTTCATGGACTCGGAAGAAAAAGCTTTCTGGCTTCTGAATGTCATCACTCGTGTGTACCTGCCCGGCACGCACGATATGAGCCTCGAAGGTTCCAAGGTGGATCTCGGCGTCTTGATGAACGCCATCAGAGAGTCCATGCCTGCCGTTTGGGCCAAGATTGGTGACGACATGGAAGCTGACCCGAACGCGGCACGGCCGGCAAAGCCCATAAAGAAGCCAAGATCGAAGAGAAAAAACCAGCCGAGCATTTCGTCTAACCGACTTCCTCCCATCACGCTCTGCATGACGGCCTGGTTTATGAGCTGCTTCATCGGCACTCTGCCAATCGAGAGTACGCTTCGCGTTTGGGACGTAATCTTTTATGAAGGGTCCAAGACGCTATTCCGCATTGCCCTGGCCATCTTCAAACTAGGCGAAGCCGAGGTCCGATCCATCTCAGACCCCATGGAGATGTTTTCTGTTATCCAAGCAATGCCTCGTCGCCTGTTGGACGCGAACGCCCTCATGGAAGCCTGCTTCAAGCGTCGTAACGGATTCGGCCACATTAGCCAGGTTACGATTGACACGGAACGGGAGGAGAGGCGGTTCAAGGTCCAGACGGAACATCAACGGGCGGCCACGTACACTAGCGGTGCGACGTCCAATGGCAACGCTACTGAAGGCGAAGGAGAGTTCCGGAGAAAAGGCACCCTCTTTGGACGCAGGAAGTCGGGTAGACCAGCGGAGGTGATGTGATTTCGGAACGGAAACCACACGGGAAGAGGCAGACAGTTGAATGCATGCATTGAGCCACGGCGTTTGGAGGGGGGAAGGGGTTTGCATTTTATGGTAATGACTACATGGCATGCGGCACACTTAGCATCGCGAGCGAAAAGATGAACGGATATCACTTCAGGAGAGGGCACGGCCGCCACCTGCCCTGCCCCTCGAGCAGTTTTGGAATTCTGGTGATTGGGGGGGGGTTGGGGGGGGGGGGGGGGGGGGGTACAAGAGGTGTGTGACAAAAGATTGGTTGCCTGATTGGGACCAATGAGCAATGTCTCGTCAAGTTGTAGAAGAGGTAGATGGATTCCATAAAGCATTTATCAAAGGTTTAAATTCTTCTTTTTACTGGCCAGGACCATACATAAACTACGCTTGCGGTGACTGGGGGAATAATGGACTGGGATCATCGTGAGGTGGTCGGGCGGTCGGTCACGATGCCGGGAACGAGAGTATGCGATCTTTGGTGGTTGTAGCTGAACGTCGAATTTGGGGTTTCTGTGGCAATCTAGTGTGAAACCTGTCCCAAAAACCACTGTCCATCCCGCGACAGAACATATAGTGCCTGCCTGTCATTCTATCGTTGCGGGCAGCTCTCTAACGATGCCGTCCAAACCCGAGTGGCCACTGCCACACTCTCGTCCGCTCGAAGCGTCTGTACGAAACTTAAAAAAGATGAACAAAATAAAAAGACTTCCAAGGTCATGAGGCCTGAAGTATCCGAAGATCCATTTCTATCCGCCTGACCCATCCAAACGCCGGTAATGCTCGCCGTTTTCAAGAATCGAAACGCCGCCGTTTTTGGTTGAATTCCGTGTGTTCTCTTGCTCGAACCGTCCGATCCATGTCCGACATGTGTTTCTGTGGTTTCGTTGCTCCATTTACGACCCCAAGGCCCGTTCCACTTTCACTGGCATTGGATAGGTAAGGGGGGGATTCTCATTTGGTACCGGTGGTGGCGGGCTCGGCGACGGAAAAGTTGGGTGTTCCAGATGCGTAGCGGGTGACATACTGCTTGGCCTGCTTCTCGAACTCGGGGCGGTTGTTCTTGTACTCATCGGCAATGCGGGCCTCGAGGGGGTCGTCGGGCTGGGGCTCAGCGAGGAGGCTGCGGAGGGCCTCGAGCACAGCGGCAAGCTTGGTGGCGGGCTTCCAGTTCTCGGACTTGAGCATGCCCATGCAGATGTTGCCGGCGGCATCATTCGTGATGTTGGGGTGGTAGATGCGGGTGGCGAACTTGACGACGGGGGCCTTGAAGGGATAGTCCCGGGGCAGGTCGACGATGACGGCAAAGAGGCCGCCGGCGTAGGGGCTGTTTTCGGGGCCGGCGATGGTAACGTGCCAGGTGTGCAGGTCGGCATCGCGGGCGAGGGAGACGGCCATGCCCTCGGGAGGGGAGGCGGTGATCTCGGTGAGCTCCTGGTGGTTGGTCGTGGCGGTTAGTTTCGTTTGATTTGATTTGGAACTGGAGGGAGAAAGACAAGGAAAGGTCGAGGGGAGTCGATGAATGGGAACATGGGTGGGGGTGAGCGGCATACCTTTGCGATGCGCTTGCTGGCCATGATGGGCGATGTTGGAGGAGTTGGGGGAGCTCTTTATGGGCAAAGTGATTAGTGGGTCGGTAGCGGGCCTGGAGCTTCCGGCCGTGGTTGAGCAAAGTGAGGAGTTTTTGGAAATGTCCTAGAGATGACTTCTGTGGTAGCTGAGCTCGAGGGAATTTGTATTCCGTCACGATACCAAAGACAAGCTGCGTTTTTGTGGTTGGTCTTGTTTTGCAGGAGGAGGAATCGGCTCGCCGTGTAGACGGCCGATGGCGGGGTAGCTGCCTTTCTTTAAGGCTTTGGTGGGGTGAGGTGAGGTCACATTCGCAGCAAAGGCAGTCGCTGCCCGCGGTCTCTTGAAAGAACAGCACGGAAGTGAAGTGGGGCAGGCGTCAAGTAGTGACAGAACCAAGAAACATCTTCACATCTTGAGGAAGATTGGGCTTGTTAGTTAATTCCATACGAGATTGCGCTGTATTTTTTGATAGCATATACCGTTCAACTAAAATCCATAACTGTTTTTTTCTTCTTCTTTCTTATGAGCAATATGCAGCCGAACCCACTTGATAGGAAAGAGCAGGTTGATACTTTTCCTTCTGCTTGAAGCCGACAGGCCATTCGGAGCTTGGGCGAGGGACAACGGGTTTGTGGAGACGAAGACGCCCTCAAAAACAATAAACACTGTTGATCTCGGGTTGTCAGTAAAAATCCCAAGAATAATTCTCCAACAGCCTTGGCTTCGGAAGGAGAGGCTGACAGGTCAGTTGCTACAACGTCTAGCAACGCATGAGACAACAGCAGGCCACGCCAGTTAGCGCAGCCCAACTCCGTACCAGAGACCATTTCAAGTCTTCTGGATCCCCTCCCGAGACCTCTGGCCCCCGCCAACAGCTGTTGCTTACCTCCAAACGGGGGCACTGGGCACGCGAGCCAGCGCTGAAGTGATTGCGTGGCTTGTTTGCGAGCCACCAATGCAGCCTGGGATAAGGATACGCAGTAGCTGCCTACCTACGTAGTAGTTCAAATAGAGACGCTGCCAGCTGCTGCCTGTAATGCAAGATGCAGGAATCAATCAGCGGGTGATCTCTTGACTAGGGCTCCTGGGCCTGCATCCTTTGTGACGCCCACCACTCACCCAGCCTCTAGGGCTATGTTGCTAGCTAATTACCCAGGAATGGCCTCTGATATGGAAGAGGCTTCCAAGAAGCGTTTCAACCCGTAGCACCACCACGTGTATCGTACATCAGCCTCGGTCACTCCCTTAAACTACACCAACGGCCCATTAGAACCGGGCTGGTACGGCTCATTCTTTGTGAGGCGAGGTTCAGGCAATCATCATCAAGGTGGCTGGACGATGGACGATTGACAATGAACGGTAGTAGCGTATGTCCGGGATTGGTTGTCAGCAGCCGAGAACCCCGATAACCCCGGGGCTGGGTTACTCCCCCTCCCGCAGCGATGGCTCAATTGATCGATTGGACGACACAGCCACTACTGCTGCATCCTTCGTAACTTTTGTCTCTGTCTTATTCTCACTAGTGGTCCCTGAAGGAGGAAGTGGAGGAGGGCGTGTGTGGTCTACCTACCTACCCCTAATGTCTCTCGACAGCGAAAGTCAGGGTTCCGTTCAACTCTCGTCAAGCCTATTTCCCCAAATCGTGCCTCTTCAGAGATGCTCAGCTCTCATGGCTACGTCAACAATTGGATTGAGGACGACATCCGCCCCTCAACACATTCTACCGCCTTCACGTTCAACACACACACACACTCACACACTCACAACACAGCCCCCACAACACACGCACCACATCTCCATCCCATCGCTTGTCCGGTGGACTCGTCGGCGCATAACCGAGAGAGGTCCTTAGCTCTATTTCTAGGAACCCATCCGAGTCCATTCACTTGACCGCCGCCGCCGCCGCCGCCGCCTAAATCCCCCCCTTGGTGCCCCCCCGCGCCACGCAGTAAGTAAGCAAACACAATCGCAACTAGGCCTTCTTCCTTCATGCCATGAATCCCGAATACGTGTGAGTCCCTAGTTTGATGAGCTGTACACACTTACGCACATACGCACCCGCATCTTTGACCTGACACCACCACCACTCACGTCAACTCAATCCCCTTGCCTGTCAATGACGAAACTTGCGAACTACTCGTCCGTCTAACACCTCTCGTTTCTCCACGCCTCACGGACTCTCAGGACGGTGTACCCCTGACTCTGTTTAACCGGTGTTCAATTGTCGTCGCTTACCTTGAACCCCCCTCCCCTTCCATGTATTTTTACCATACCTTGACCTCACTCTATTCCCAAGCAGTTTTCTCACCTTCACTGCTGATCTGACAACTCGTCCTCCTCCTCCTCCACCACCAGCCGTAATTTCTTCGTCATCTGTAAAGCCTGCTTAGCATTCCTTACCCATGATACCTATCACGTCAGTAAAGACATTGACGGCTTTTAGCTCCTAAGGCTTCCCCATCCCTCTAGTCTCTAGCTTCTAGCCCTGCAGCTCTTGACTCCCAGCCTTCCGGAGAGCCATTTATCGCACCTCGTGCCCATTTTAATTCCGCTACGGGTAACATCAACCACGGTGAAGCTCCAGACAGATCCCCTTCAATAGCCGTCACCAGCTACGAAATCATTCTCGCCTGTCGGCAACCCAGCTTCGGATCCCCGACCCGTGTTTCAGCGCGCTGCAAGTCCGTCGCCTGAGATCCACGTCTATCGTCAGCAAGTCGCCGGAGCACTTCCGGTTTCTAGTGGCCCTCGCAACTCCGACTCAGGAGCAAGAAAAAAAGAAAGAAAAAAAAGTCTCACGATACCTTATCTTTCTCTCACTCGGGACTGACCACGCCTCAAACACTCACATCAGCCTCATCATCTTTGTCACAATGAGTAGATTGGGGTCATGGTTCCGCTCGTCGGCCAAGGGGAGTAGCAATGTGAGCCCGGCCTCGTCGTCGCTCAACCTCTCCTCCAAGGAGTTGACCGCCAAGGAAATGGCCGATATCGAGGAAGCCATGGTGGCCGCAGCCTTCATCATGAACGACGACATTGATGGCGCCGAGGAGCGTCTGCGGAAGGGCGACTCGGCCTTTCACCAGCTAGGCTTGTCTATGACGACATTTCTCCGCTCTGTCCTCGGCTTCGAGAAGGAGGTCATGAACGAGGCCTCCAAGCGGCTGGCCGACACCGAGGCCAAGGCATGGGCCGACTACAAGAAAGCCGAGCGTGAGGGCCAGGCCTCGAGTAGCAGAATTTACCCGCCAGGGACCGAGTTCCTGCTCATCCACGCCGAGTCGCAGCTCATGGCGGCTGTCGTTGCCGTCCTTCACGAGAGCCTGACCGAGGCCCTCAAGGGCTTCTACAAGCTGCGCAAGGCCTTCGTCACCCTCGACGGCATCATGTTGCTGGAGGCCAAGGCGTTGGAGAAGGACAAGGGGAAGGCGGACACGCCCCCGGCCGAGGAGAAGATGCCCGGCAGCTTCGACGACCAGGAATTTGTCGACCTGGGTCGCAACAACGACAGCGAGGTCCCCAAGTCGGAGACCGGGACGCCGGTGAAGAACAAGGCGAACGGCTTGGCACCGGCGACTCCGGCTCAGGAGCTTGCCGCGCTTGACCTGAACTCGGGCACTTCGACACCCTCCGGCGACGCGCAGCTGGCGCCCCTGCAGGTCTCATCTCCCGTTGCCGACGACTCGGAGACCGACTCGGGCGTTTTCTCCAACCCTGTCGACGCATTCATCCATAGCGGCGCCAACATGTGCTTCGGTATGCTCCTCTTCATGCTCAGCATGGTTCCCCCCGCCTTCTCCCGCCTCCTCTACGTCGTCGGCTTTCGCGGCGACCGCGAGCGCGGCGTGCGCATGCTGTGGAAAAGTACGCAATTCGACAACCTCAACGGCGCCGTGTCGGGCCTGATCCTCCTTGGCTACTACAACGGCATCATGGGACAGGCGGACATCACGCCGGCCGAGATGGACTTTGACGCCGACGCCGAGATGGTCGGGTACCCGGCCAAGAAGTGCGAGGCGCTGCTGGCCTCGATGCGGACGCGGTACCCGGACTCGCGCCTGTGGCGCGTCGAGGAGTCCCGCGTCTTGGCGCAGCAGCGCCGCCTCGCTGACGCCATCCAGCTGCTCACCACGGGCCAGGAGTCCAAGATGCGGCAGGTGACGGCGCTCAACTGCTTCGAGCTGGGCCTCGCCGCCATGTCGCACCAGGACTGGGACCTGATGCAGAAGACGTTCCTGAACTGCCTCGAACTAAACGATTGGAGCCACACAATGTATTACTACATGGCCGGCTGCGCCGAGCTCGAGCTCTACCGTGACGCGTTCCACAGCAAGGAAAAGGACGAGGCCGAGATGCGGAGGCGGAAGAAGAAGGCCGAGGAGCTGTTCCGCAAGGCGCCGATGATGGCCGGCCGGAAAAAGTTCATGGCGCGCCAGCTGCCCTTCGACACCTTCATCACCCGCAAGATTCAGAAATGGGAGGACCGCGCCAAGGAGTTCAAGGTCGACCTCGCGGACGCCGTCGTCGTCAGCCCCGCGCAGGAGATGGTCAACCTGTGGAACGGCACCAAGAGGATGGACGATGAGGAGCTGAACCAGGCGATCAAAGGCCTGGCGTGGGAGCGGTGCACCCTGCCTGCCGAGGCCCTGGAGAAGGTCCAGAACACCCCGGATGAGGCTTCCATCCGGTCCATCTCCCTGGCGGCCATATACCGGACCCTCGGACGGCTCGAGGACGCGAGGACTATTCTTCAGACGGAGGTCCTGAACGTAGACAGGTAAGTCAATTCGCTAGACTTCTCTCCTTCCCCCCCCCAGCCAGGGTCGAAGGTTGACCGAAGCTAACAATGTCACAGAGCCGCGTTCAAGGGCACAACAAAGGACGAGTATCCGATGCCCATGGCGCACTACGAGATGGCGGCGGTGGCCTGGTTCGAGGGGTGCCAGCCGGAGAAGCGCACGCCCGCGGCCGACGAGCCGACGGACGCCGAGGGCCAGGCCAAGGCCGTGGAGGACTACCGCAGGAAGAAGACGGACGAGTGCCAGGAGTGGCTCGACAAGGTCGTCGCGTGGGAGGCCTTCGTCTTCGACGCAAGGCTGGGCATGCGCGTGCAGTCGGCCCTCGAGACGCTCAAGTGGTTCAAGAAGAAGAACGCGTGGGCATAGACGGTGCCATTCTTGCTTCCCCCCTCCCGGGAAATAGCACTTTGGGCATGTACAGCAAGAAAGAGAGAAAGAGGGGGAGAGACAGAGCCATCTTGGGGCGCATCAGGATCCGGGCCTTCATGAATAAGAGCGATTAAGTGGGCGCAGGCTTTTCGACACATATATATACATACATAGACGTGCTGGCTACGGGGGGAGGGATATTTTCGGGAACACATAAAACAAGCAACTGCATTTTCCAACGCCTTAAAGCATTCCATTGATAACGACACGTCATGGACGCACCCCCTCTCCCCCGCTCAAGCGTTCTTCTTTGTTTTGCGGCTTCTGCCCTTTGTCAAGTCCTGGATCCCATCTTGCAGGAACCCGGCCCCGTTACTGACCGCCCTTTCCCCCCTCTCTTTGACGCGGTGCTTCTCCGCCTCGGCACGCATGTCGTCGACGACGTCTTGCCCCTGGCTGGTCCCATGCGCCCAGTCCAGCACCCCCCACGCGCCGTAGTTGCCGTCCCCCCTGCTGGCGTAGTGAACCGCCGTCCGGCGGGCGATGCCCCCCATGACGATCCCCGGGACGATGCTGTACCCGGACATGGCCATGGTCTCCTCGACGGCACAGAAGCCGACGAACAAGAAGTACGTCAGCAGGTGCGGCCGCAGGGCCAGGGCGGGGAGGAGGACGGGCGCGACTCGGTGCAGGAGGAAGGGGAGCGGGTGGTCGGCGAAGAGCATCAGCGAGAAGGGCGGCGCGGCGCGGGCGTGGGCGTACGAGGCGTGCAGCTTGGCGACGCGGGTAAGGGCTGAGCGGCGGCCGTTGCCGCGGCCGTGGAGGACGCGCGTGTGGAGGTAGTAGGTCAGGACCTCGCGGGCGGCGATAAGGAAGGCGACGTGCTTCAGGAGCTGGAAGGGCAGGGGCAGGGCGGTGGAGGCGCGGAAGAGGGGTTCGGGGGAGTAGGAGGCGTAAACGAGGCTGATGCTGCCCTCGACGGCGGCTGACAAGGCGATGTTGAAGATGGCCAGGAGCAGGACTCTAAGGAGTGTGGGACCGTGGGCGGGCGGGAGGCCGGAGGCGCCGCCAGTCTTGATGGATCCCGCGATGGAGGGGATGATGGTGTCGAAGAGGAGGAAGACGAGGGAGGGGACCAGCCAGAACATGAGGCGGAGGGCGAGAACGCCGACGAGCTGGACCTTGAGGGGGCCGTGGGACAGAACGAGGGTCGTCCAGGTCATGTGGAAGAAGAGGAGGTTGAGGGAGGTCGTCCATGATGTTATCGAAGGCGCGAGGAAGTAGGAGACGATCGGAAGAGAGAGGAGGATATCCATGGTGGTGGACTTTTCAGCTGGTCGGCTCCTGGACTCGTGGTGTTGAGGTGAGATGGGCCGCGATGGACGGAACGATTGAGCTGGCAGTGGGTGAAGAGGACATCAGTGAGCCGCGGCTGCTGGAGGAGAAGGGGGGAAGGTCCAAAGGACGAGGAGTCGAATCTGCCAAAAGTCAAGCCGCGACAAAAGATGCTACAAACTCGAAGGAGGTTGTATTGTCTTCACGATAGGGCTGGATCGTTACACGTTGTACAGGACGTCGGCAAACAAGCATCGATGCGCGCGTTGGCAGCCATGACGTAGGACCGTTGCATGGGTGTGAAGATAGCGAGTGCTGCGTCCCACTAGCGCCAGAGCTGTACCAAACAGGAAGTCTCTCTCAAGCTTGATGTACCACCAGGCAAGGCCAGCTTCACGAAAAAGCAGCATTCGAGACGCACGGATTGTTTTGATTCTTGTGCATGTGAAAAATCGTCGCTAGAGCGCGCATCGTCCTGTGCGCGCACGGCCGGCTCTGATCCCGCCCGACTCGCAGATGGGGGGAGGAAGCCCGCCGAACCCGGCCTCGACCGGCCCGGAGCCGAGAGTGACCCTGCCCCACTTAGCCAGTCTAGCTGTCTTAAAAAGAGCTCTACATTGGATCACGCCGAGTACATTGCCCAGGTGCATATGAAATCCAGTCCTGATTTCATTCATGGATTGAGAGCGAGAAATAAAACATCGGACGAGAAGGGAAGCCCTGGTTACGCTTAGAGATTACCAGGCGTAGCCCCCATCCACAAAATCACCCTGGCCTGGATTGGTTGAATGACGGTAAGTCATCGACGAGACGCCCAAGTCTATTATGCTCCAACTCGTCGGTTATTGCGAGTTGTTGCTACCTGTGTAAGTGATTGAATGTCTTATGCCGAACCCTAGCTGCCGAGGTGCAGGTAGGGGTCTTGACCTGCGAGACCAGTGTATCCGACCCTTCATGCCCGAGCATCGTATGATTGCCGTTTCTAGACAGCTGAGGTACCTCTGTTCAAACACAATCAAATCAGTGATGCAACAATCTCAGAGGCCGCTCAACCAACTCAAGGCCCATGTCCGGGAGCAGCAGCATTATCTCCAAGTCCACAAAGGGGATCGTATTAACATATTACTCGACGTCTGCCCGCGACCTTGCATCGCGCGCGGCAGTCTAATCTATATACTGTATGCAAGCATTCGCAAACACCATGACCAACACTTTTCGTGAATCCTCCCGGTCTGCACCCGGCCCCGGTCTTCAACCGCGGCTTCGCCTTCCTCGAAGCTCGTCATCAGGACACGCTTGCCTATCCCAGCAAGCTTCCTAGCGGGCCCAACGCCAATGCTGTACAGAAGTGGTATTTGAGACATAAGAAATCATAAATGATCGCCAACTCGAAATATTGTGGAACTCGCCCCCTATGCGGGTATATACCAAGGTGCGGATCAAACCGTGAATGGATAAAGGTCATTCCGAAAAAGAAGAATAAGAGAAAAAAAAAAGCGATGCCGAAAAACAAACCGCCAAGAATATTCGAATCGCTAGTGATTGCCAACAAGCACTGCAAAGGATGCATCTTCCCTTTACCGCGTGCCGGTTTTCCGCCCGCGGTCGTCCCTCTTCGTGGCACGCAGCCAGTCATCCCATTCCTTGCTAATCTCCAAGAGCACGGCTCCCATGACGCTGGCACTGGCCATTAGACCGTGACCTTCGCCTTCGAGAATGCGGACTTCGCACCGCTTCATCGTCTTCCCGAGCCACTTGACGTTATCAACAGGCACGCGCGTGTCACGGCTGCCGTGATGTATCACGACAGGCCGCGTAATGTCAACGTATCGGAAACCAATGGTATGTCTGCGTTCCAAGCAGACCAGCAAGTCGACAGCAGGGTTGGCGTTTGTCGTCGCCAGCTCCCAGATGGCATGCGTCAGCCTGGTGTCGTATAAGGACTGGCGCTCCTTGTCCACCATCGCATCTGATGCGGCTGTCAGGATCTGCGTATTGGGACTATAGTGCTCCTGCGCTGAGGCCGCGCCGTCCGGCCGAACCCTGTCCATGTTCTCCATTGCTGTCGGCGTCGGCCTTCCCGAGGCATCTTCGGTTGGGCTGGCGCGGTCATACATGCCCATGTTTTCCTTGTCGGGGTGGGCGTCCCGGCCCGTCGCCGGGGTGGACTTGCGCTTGCTTCGTCTGGGGTTCTTGGGCAGCGAACTGGTGATGGAACTGCTCGTTGCCGACATGAAGGAACTGTTGGCGGCCTTCAAGAAGGTCGCGGGAAGTGCTCGCAATATCCGTTGCGAGGTCGGGATTGCATTGGTTGGCGGGAGCGCCTGCGAAGTGCCGAACACGTTCATCTGCGAGGGCGGGATCCACGGCGCGAGCAAATGGATCTTACCACGGATGTGCTGGGGCATGCGTAGAGCAGTTGCCAGCGCGTATATGGCGCCGGCGGAGTGAGCAAGAATGGAAAACTTGGTAATCTTCAGAGCTTGGCAAATAGCGTAGACGTCGTCGGGCCAGCTGAGAGGCGTCGCGGTTCCATCAGCGTACGATTCGCTGTCGCCCACGCCGGGCCTGTCAGGGGTGATGAGGCGCAACTTGAGCGTCAGCGCGAGCTCGTCGTAGAATCCCGTGATATATCTCGTCAACCCCATGCCTACGCAGCAAAAGACGGCAGAGCCATCGGCGTCTCCCACTTCAGAAAAGGAAATGACTCGGCCGGTCTGTGGGTGCCGTATCTTTTGCGATAGACGGGGAGAGCACAAGTACGACTCAACGGCGTCGTCGATAGAGTCAGCACTGCGAGGGCGTTCGTACCCGGTGGGCATGCTGTTGCGAGTGTCTGGTGATGCAGCCGAGCTCTGTGTACCGGCCGGCTCTTCTCCCTTGGGGCTCAACGGCTGCGAGAGGCGTTTTAGCCTGGAACTGCTGCGCTTCATCTTGATACCCTCGCCTGCGTCCGTTAGATCGCGTGCTGGTTTTCGTCTGCTTCGGTCAGCAACCAGTTCATCGCGACGTCGACCCTGAGCAACAGCGGGGAATGGCGCGCCATCCTCGATATCCTCCTCAACCAACGGTCCCCTTGCTGCCCGCGAGTCTTCCGTGTGTCTGCCCTGGAACAGTGGGCGGCTGAAAGACCTGAAAGGCGGATCGGTCGAGGCGCGAGCCAAATCATTTTCCGACGCGTGACGAGGCATGTGTTTCCGCCGCGACGAGTTGACCGTAGGGTTCTGCTCCTCTGCCTCGAATATAACGTCGTTGCTGTTGACGCTCTCTCTCTTGGATCTAGAGGACCTCACGGATCCTCTCTTCGCGGTGGACCCGGTCTTGAAAAGGGACGAATCGCGGGCGGGTATATGCCTAGGACTGGTATCTGAGTCCAGGGTCAGGGTCGGGCTCGCCATGTCGCGCCTGCGGGGGCGTTCTCGCGTGGGCGATTCCGGGCTGTAGGTGGTCTCTTCTCGGATGGGTGTCTCGGCGAGGAAGGGGTCTGGCCGAAGGGTTGCCGCTGTGAAGCTGCTGGAACTACGTTCGCCAATGCTCAGGCGCTTCTTTTCTTCCTTGTCTCGTAGTCGCTCCTTGGAACTCATGTACATCAAGCCCTTGTGACTCCTGCCCTGCTTCCTGCCCCAGCTGTCGAACGAGCTTTGCCGCCTGAGTTCAGGGGTAGGCGCAGCACCGCGTTCTATCGAAAGATTACCTATACTGTGGGCATCATCCCGCGATCCAAGTGAGCCTTTTGATGAGGGTCGCGAAGCACTCCGCAGAAGGGACTTGAGACCGCCAGAAGCGTCGCGGGCGGGGGATTTAGGAGCGGTCAAGGGCGACAAGCCAGAGGGTGGCTTGGAGGTCTTGATGACAGGCGCGGCGGCGGGGATATCGTCAAAGGGAACGTCGGTGGCTCGGAGGTTTTCAATGGAGGGTTGATAGGCACCGTAGTCGACCCCAAAGCTGCCTTGGCGAGGGGATACGGCAAGGGGGGGGCTCGGTCCGCTGTGCTCGAAGTGCTGGTCTGCCGGTTCAGATATGACGGTAAGGCTGGTGATCAAGGAAGAGATGACCTCGGGCGAAATGGGAACAGCATCGGCGGAGCGTCGGGACGAAGATGGAAGTGAACGCCGATGTGAATGAGGTTCAGGAGTTTGGAGGTTTCGATAGCGGTGGGGGATGGGGGGTATTGGTGCGGAATCGTAGTCGTTGTCCATGATAACGAAGGGGGGGAGGGCCCGAAGGGGGAACACAATAACAAAAAAAAAAGGAGGGAGGCGGAGAATCGACCGTCAGACAACGCGCGGGCTGCAGGATGATGGTACAGGGGCCGGCTTCAGGATTCAGGAGAGGGCACGGGACGGTTGCTGGACAAACTGGACTGGCGCGGCGGGTAGCAGCAATTGGGGAGTGCAAACTGCAGACCAAAGTGCACACTGCAGGACCGAGTGTCAGCGATGGAGTGAGCCGGCGAGTGGGTTAGTCGTGTACAGAGACAGTACTCTGTACATACAAACAAGGCCGAGGAGAGGGCCCGGGAGAGGATGAAGGTGACAGGAGCGACTGGGAACTGCTAGGCCAGGGGACTAGGGGCGACCGCGGACCCCCTCCCTCCCTTACAGTGCTCGGATCGGGGTGCTCGTTGCAAATACAGCACGCGTAGCAAGGCAGGCGTTGTCGCTTCTGGAATCGGTCGTAAGTTGCAATTGACGTCCGTCCGCCAGCTCCGGGCGGCAGAAGAGCCGAGTGACGAGCAAATGCAAGGTTGATGCAGGGACGTGGTGTGATGGATTGGACGTGCGAAAGGGGGGGAGTGAAAGGAGTGTTGAACCACGAGGGAAGGAAGGCTGGGCGATGTAGGAGCGACGAAGGGAGGGCGCGTCCAGCATCTAGCGTCCAGTGTCGGGCGTCGCGTCCAGGAGTAGCTAGGTTGGCGTGGCTGGGAGATGTTCAGGATGACACCAGTAGCAGTGGCAGCGGCAGCGGCGTCACAAGAGTCGAGGTAGCTGCAAGGTACCGGGTGACCGGGTGCGTATTGCAGAGTCAGCAGTGCGGCGGCAGCCGTCCAGGCGAAGGGTATAAGGGAGGGAAGATATGGGTTTTGGCGGGTTCGTATGCAATGCGTGGCTGCAGCTGCAGGCAGGGAGAAGCGGAGCGGCTCCTCGGCGGATTGTCTCGACTTGTCTCGACTGCGCGCGTTGATCGACCGAGATAGGACCTCATGAAAAGGGGGGTCGGGGTCGTGCTTTCCGGTTCTCTTGTTTGGTCAAAGGAAGGGAAAGGCATGCGATGCGGCCTTTACCTTTTGTTGGGTGGTATCGCCGTTGCGCTGGGTCAAACGACAAATATGGAAAAGAGGGAGGTAGTTGTCTGGGTGCGTGTGTATGTGTGCAAGTGCGTATGTGGCACACTCAAGTTGCTTGGGTCTTTCTTGTTTCGAGTAACTGACAGACAGGAGGAACCGGAAGCTTAAGGGGGGGGGGGGGGGGGTTATTTCCTTCCTTTTGGCTTTCGCTGAATTAGGGATGGACTGGATGGAAGGAGGGTCTGGCCAGAAGGAGAGGTGGAGGAGGGGGGAGGGAATGGGGTGGTCGGATGGGGAAAAGAAGGAAAGAAATTGTCATGGAAGCTGCAGATGAGCGCGACCTAGACCCAGCGTCGCATGGACGCTGGAAACGACGGCCTCAACGGCGCAAGGCACGGGACTTGGGACTTGGGGCTTGGGGAGAGCTGTGTATGTGGCGTCGTCAATCGGGCTGAACCGGCCAAAGGGGAGCCAGCTAGCTCGCGCGAATGGCCGCAAACGTGGCCCGACGGAGATTATCAATAGCACGGGCGCGCCTTTGTCTCACCAGAAGGTAAATAGTGCTGCTGCTGCTGCTGCTGCTGCTACTGATGCTGATGATGTTGGTGTTGCTGTGTCTGGTCGCTGGCGACAGGACAAGATGTAGGTATATCTAGATGTCAGTAACCTATCTATCTGTTCGTGTGAGTCTGTCTGTCTTGTAAACACTGGTATGATTAGCGCATCAGAATGGCATTCATTACCGAACCTCCCCTTTCCGCGCGCTGTTTCAAGTCATGTTGCTTGCTACCCTGGGTGCTTACATAGTAGTTGCATTGAAGAAAAGGGTTGCGTGGGAACGTCTGTGGGTGGATGCAAAGAAGATTAATTGAGCCCAGGGGAATGGAAGAGGACAAGTGGCTCAGGTGCAGAGCAGGGGTGGGGTGTCATGAGATTGCATAGCACAGGAAGCTAGGGGACCTCGTACGAATAGAATGGCCCGGATGGGATAGGGCAGGAAATGAGAGACGAGAAAGTACCTAGGTACCTAACCTGTATGACGAAGGTGTCGATTGAATGATGCCGGGAAGAGGAAGGTGGGGGGTGGTGAAGAGGTCCGTGTCCCCGACGGCGCGCAGTAGGTACTACTATAGGTACTCCGTACCTACACTACGGATACCTATACCTGCGTAGTAACCGTTCAACTTTGGGTTGACAGGCTGGCAGGCCGGGGGGGGGGGGGGGGGGGGTTCTGCTGATCTAAAAGAGGAGAGGCAGACGGGAAGAAAGACAAACAGCCCCCGCAGAGGCCGAGAAAGACAGCAAACGACAAGAAGAAAAGGAAAAGGAAAACCCACCACACGAGAAAGAAAAGAAGAGGGGAGGGACACCCAAAAAAACAAAGGTACCAGTTACCTAGTTCTCTCTGGCTACCAATCTCAATCCAGATCCACGGGATTAGAAATAGCGGGTCTCGAAACAGGGGTGGTCTGGAGCCTGTGTTCTGTGTTCTGGCAAAGGCGCCAAGGCCTGTTGAACGCGATGTCGCCCTGCAGGCTGCTTGCTGTGCCTGTCTGTCTTTCTGTTCGTCTGCGTTGTTGTTGCTGCCAACGAGATGCAGATTCTGCACAACACACACACACACACACACACACACTCAAACACACCTGTCAGCTCGGACTACTCCTGCAGGCTGTCTCCGTGGCCATCGGAAGTAAACAGCCAAGAGGGCAACAACAGCAACAATAAAATACCACTTTCTTGACAGCAGCCCAAGCACACACGCATACCTATTACCCATCCGAGCCATTGACCAATCGCAAGCCGCAGGGCTGTGGACCCTCCTTTTCGGCTCGGTGCGGATGCCCTAAACGACCCCATAGGTGGGACAAGGGACGGGAAGCAGCACCCGAACCGGGGGAGGGGTTATTGGGTTCTGGAGTCGACCAAGAATAAGAGGAAAAGGATCGGAACAACAAACAAACAAAACCGAACGACAGGAAGCCAGAAAAGCTTGTATCGATACCATGCGGCGCGCACTAGCGGAGCCAATAGACGCAGAGAGAGACAGAGAGCCTTCCGGAAAACGCCCCGGCCGTTCGCGTCGGAAACGACGACGCCTGAGGAAAGCCAACCAATCCATGGAACCGATGGGAAAATACCAAACTCACCCTTGCCTTGCGTACGCCTCGAAAGGCTGACCCGGTTTGCGAGGCGGTACACACACCAACACAGCGAGGCCCTGGTGGAGCGGCCGTCGTTGAATCGAGCTCGTGGAGTGGTAGAAACTCGAAAAAAGCCGAATCCGTCCAAGTCTCTCTCGGAGGATGAGGGGGGATTCTGCGGACTCGCTGATGTCGATGTCCAAGGAACGGGGAGAGCAGCGATGCCGAGTGCGCCTTCCCCTCGTTCTCTATATATCACATCCCCCTCCCCTCCTCCTTTCTTCCACAGGTCTCGTCCCACACGAAAGCCCCCAATCCCTTAGCTGCATCACCCGTCGCTGCCCGTGGCACGCTGCGTATGGCCAACTCCTGTATCTCTCTACCGCACTACGCCCTGCGCATGCAGATGTCTCACCGGCTGCGCTGAGCGAGCGAGTGAGCCTGCCGAGGGAACGAAACGGGCTCTGCTGTGCGTGCTCGGTCAACACGGTCAACTTGGGGTGCTGCATTGCATGAACTGCGGCGCGCCCTCGATCTCTCACCCAGAGTTGCAGTGATTCGAAACGCCTCCTGAGCCTGTCAGTGCCAATGTGCACCGAATGAAAGAACAAAAATGATGGTTGCGGCCTTTGTGGAGACATGCAATGCCGAACTTGGACTCGGTTCTGTAAAGCAATTTGAGGCGCCCGCTTGGCGACCAGGGCGAACTGCATCTGTCAATCACACAGGTGCGCCGTATGGCATCCCAGATGTACAACCTTGTGTCGGCTGCGTCCCATGTCGCGCGCCGCTCACGTAGCAAGCCCGGTTGATACCGCATCGATGGTGGACACCTGTGCTACCGACGTCGATCTATCGCAAGTGGACAATTGAAGCCGCGTCTGTGTACTAATGAATGACTGACCTGTGATGTTTTGGCCGCATGGATAGGAGTCATCGTATCCTGGGTTGGTACCTTACATAGTTCGGTTACACGGGGATCGGCGCCCCTGTTCAGACGGGCGCTGCCTTATTACCAAGAGCAAGGAACGGGCAGCGGACCTCGTCTTGGTGCCCTTCCTTGACGTTCGTGTCACGAGGTCACTCGACATCTCCCTGCCGTTTACGCATCGAACAACCAGCTCAGAATTGTCTTGGGAATACCGTTGAGCCCCCGTAGGGCGAAATGCTACTGGTTAGACTTTGAGGCACGTACATCTTACGAGGCAAGCTGCCTGATAGGAACAGATGAGATAGAGGTGCCGAAAACTTCTTCACTGGTCAGTCAACTGCTCTTTGGGAAAAGTGGTCGGCAGGGGCCACCGTGTCACTCTAAAACCATGCGCATAATCACACGGGAGAAGGGGGAAACAAGCATGAGGTGGCCGGTTTTCTCATTGCCTCGCTCTAACGAGGGCTCAAGCCGGTCGAGGGCCAGTCCACTAGGGAGAGCCCCGACGAAGTAGATCAAGGTATCTATCCATCGCCAGCTATGTCGCAAAGCAGGAACCGATGCAGACCGCGCGTACCGTTCCTCCAAAAATAGTCAATCACCCAGGTTCCAAAATGAGATTCTCAAAACATGTGTGAAAGTTGTCCATCCTGGCATGTTCTGTTTATTGTGTGGGAGATGTTCCGTTTTTTTGTTGTTGCTGTTGTGTGTGTTGGTGTAGGCTTGGCGTAGCGAGCCAAGAGAGAAAGAGAGGGCATAGCGTCCAAGCCTGTGGTTCCTTGGACGCCGTTGATTGTACAAGATTTGCCCCCCTTTTCTATATTCTCGGCCTACCCTGGAGTCGAGGGCTGTGTTGCCTCTCGACATCCGTACATCAAGGAGAAAGACAGTGTGAGAAAAGCACAATCTGTATGGTTACTGGTACCATGCTGATGTGTGCCCCCGGGTATGTCTAATACCGAATGAAAACGCCAGGTTCCTTTCCGATGGGGAGATGAGAGTTGTGAAGAGTTGCGCCACCCCCGTGGGTCGTGTCGGTCCCAAGCCGATCGAGCAGTGTTGCCTCGATAACCCAAGCTTGGTGCTGGGGGTGGTGTCTTTTTTTATTGTCGTTTTGGGTTTTTGTGAAGGAAAAAATCAAAGAGGCAACAAGTTTCCCGTTTCGTTTATCCTCTCTTTTCTCTCTGATGAGCCATTAGACTTCCTTTCGCCACCACCTACGAGTGAACGCGGAGCGGGTACTAGCCAAGTCTCAGAGGGTGAAACGCCAGCGATGCGGAGAGAAACAAAATCACCAAGGCCCGCGTGCTGTAGTCCTGTATCGGGAATCGTCTTGGCTCGGGGTTTGCTGGAGAGGGGGGAAGTGTAAAAAGAAGAGCGGGGAGGATTGTTCGTGTGCGGTGGGTATTAGTCCTCTCGAACTCCGTTAAAACCACCAGAAAGGGATTCGGCCAACCTCGATGAGAAGTGGAGATGGGTTTTCCAAGACAGAAAAGACAGCTCCCAAATGGTGTTTTTTCCAATCTGGTGTGGGAGAGAGGGGAGAAAGTGACGCTCCGTCAAAACATGAAATCAGACCTCCTTGGGATCGCGCTTCTCAGACAGCCAGCCTCCTTTCCATCGTGATGCAATCCCGGAAGGCCAAAGAGACCAAATGATACAAGAGAAGAAACAGTCCATGGTTTAACGCCGTGGTAATACCATGCTCGCTTTGTAATTGCACATGTGTTTTTTGACGGATGGTTCGAGTCAACTCGAAGCCAGCAATCAGGGGGGTAAACAAAACCCCTCAGACGGTCTTGGGTGTTCGCGCGTTGCTGTGGTCGATCACGTCGTCGAGGTGGTTGCACATGGCCACGAACAGGTCGAAGAAAAGCTTGCTGCCGCCTTGCTCCATCTCGGTCTGCATGGTTCCGCTCCTCTTGAATGTCTTACGACACCGAATGATCAGGGCAAGGTAGTGAGCGCGCAGCCGCGAATCCGAGTCGGGGGTGTGAGCATAGGCGTATTGGGCGGAGCGCAAGATGGTGCCGACGTCGATGCCGGTCTGCAGGCCCTGCTTGCGCAGAGCCAAGCGCTTGAGCTCCTCGAGCCCGTATCGCTCCGCGGCACAGTAGATGACGGTGTCACGGAGGATGTGTTGCTCACAGGCCGCGACGTGTATTGTCGCCTCACTCGGGGTGTTTGTCGTTGTGGGCGTGGGCGGCATGGCAGCTGCGCGGCCACCTCTGTGGTGTTCGGCGGGGTTGGGGGAAGATTGGGGAGTTCCTCTGACGGCGTCCTCGAGCTCCCAAGAGTTGCGGTGCTTGTTATGCATGAGGCGAGGGTAGTAGTCGCCCTTGTAGAGGTACTCGAGGACGGAGGAGAAGATCTCGGGTTCTTCGTCGGGGAGGGCAATCCTCTTGCTCTGCGACTCAAAGAACTGGCCTCGACAGGCGGCCTCGAAGAAGGGCGACTGGAAGAGGACGTCCTCGTGAGCGGCAAACAGCCGGCCCTCTCGGCCGACGCTCAGGGTGACGATGGGCGAGGGGGCCACGGACTTATTGGGCGCCTTGGCCGACTTGGACGGGTGCGGCGCGGGGACGGCCAGTGGGGCCATGGCGGGCCTGTTGTCTGTTGTGGACTGTTGCATTTTCGATAGCTTCTGGGGATCCCGGATCGAGCTCGACTTCTTCAGCCTCGACGTCTTGTCGACGCGGACGTTGGGGTCTTGCGACCTGAACGTGCGCTTGAACAACGACATGACGGCGGTCTGTTGTGGTAAGGAAGGTGGGATCTGAAGAAGTTGTGGTGTATACGTTGTCGTGGTTAAGGAATGTGAACTCGAATGGGGACGATAGAGAGTGAAGACAGGAAACCTGGATCGATAGAGGGCGCGTTGCCCAGGGTCCTTATATGCCTTTATCTCTGAGACAAGAAGACTTGTAGAGACTGAAGAAAAGAGCGAATAGAGGAGAAGGGGGAATGACGAAGTAGGAGGAGTAGGAGGAAGAGGAGGGGAGGGGGTGGGTTGTTCAGAGGGGGAGAGAGGGGGGGAGAGTGAGTGAGAGAAATTGAGGGACGAGTGACACACAAAAAAGATTGACTGGGGGTCCGGGGTGAGAGATGCCTCCTATGGAGAAGTTATTCAGTAACGAACGACCCAGGGAGGTATTCCCAACTGCAACTTTGCGACCCTTTTTTGGTTGTGAGTGAAGGGGGGGAAGGGGGAATAGGAAAGAAGAGGGGTGGATGCGGAGGGGGACCCTTCATATTTATAGCGTCCCGAAGTTGGTGATGTTTTGCCCGCCTCCTCGACTCTTCACCTCTTCTTCAGAGGCGTGTCATTGGTTGCTGCCAGCCCAACCGCCGCACTTTTTGGGGGGGAGAGGGGGGGAGGGGGGGGTGCCTAGGCGTGCCATGATAGGACAGAGGCACAGTAGCCCAAGGTACGTGTACGTTGGAACCTGTTCTGAACGGCCGTGAACGCTGTTTGGCGGGAAAGCCCACAGGCAACAGCAGAAGATGGATGGAAGTGCCCAGGCAGGCATCGCCGCCTAACGCCTACCAGAATGGAACGTCGGTGACTTCACTAGGCGGTACATCGAGTGAGGGACTGTGAGGACTTGATTGAGGAAGGACCACTCCCGATTCGATCCAAGTCGACTCGGCTGTGTGGGCAATGCGACTGTGTACAAAAGTGACATGTTACTACCTAATATGTCACCTACCTCCTACCTAAACAGGTGCCTAACTTATCACTCACCTTCCTGCGCACTCGAAGCGCGCTCAATTCCAGTTGGCCTCAACACTGAAAACACCGCCCGGACAGAGTAACGGACCAACCACCACACGCAGGCCAAGCAGGTATCGGTACAAAGTGGAGGCGACCTGACGGCCCCTGAACCGTCACCGGTCCTGCCTCCTGGGGCCAGATCAGACCTCCCCCCCTTCCGTCCCTCCTCCGATCCCCGAGATGGATTCCGGTGCGTTGGCAGCAAAGGTACATCTCACATGTACCTTTTCCATACCTAGCCGCCAAAAAAGGAAGGGGAGGAGAGAGGAGGGGAGAGGAGGGGGAGGGGAGGCCGTCGGGAATGGCGGCCCAAGCACCTCGACCGCAAGACACCTCACCATCGTCGCATGCGTTGTCGCCAGTCGCACACGTGAGGTCGTCGAAACGCGGGGCTCGCTGAATTGCGCGGAAGCTGCCCTTCTCATTTCCTTCATTGACGCCTCAGGCCTCGCCTGCGGCATTTCAGAAACACCCCCTCGTGTACGCGGGGAGAAGCCGCGAGAAGGGGCGGTCGACAGACGACGGACTGCTCCAAGGTAGCCATCATTGGCCGATGACCCATGCCGAGTACTGATACCGCGAGCGCTCGACAAACACTCGTGTTTGATCAGGTACCCGGGTCAATTTGGGCCAGGCTGCCAACTCATCGGCGGCTTAACTGCTGCCGTTCCGGTTGGTGACTTCGTTCTGTCGGCATGATGCAGATGGTTGCCATGGTTGCCGTCTGCGTTCGTCCTCGCAGCATCTGGAAGCTCGGGGTGCTGCAGCTTGCTCTCTTCGTCAACCGCCTCGTCTTCCTCCGGCATACATGGCCAAAGGGCTCGCCAGAGACTCGGGATTGGATACTGCCTCAAGACCTCATCGCCACCCTACGAGACCTCGACACCCGAACTTGTGCGTAGATGCCTTACGACGCAGTCCGTCCTCTCTGTTCACTGCCCTTTCCACGACTGAGAGCTCGTCGGCTTCAACCTTCCTCAACTCGACGCCTCCACATTGGCTTCTTAAGCGCTGCCGGAACACGCGAGAACCTCGTGGTCTCAATAGTCTCACTTACCACAGCCTAAATCATCCCAACTTTCCTCAAGCCGCATGAACTACGACGAAGACGACGGCGACCCTCTGACAGTCAGGCATTTCCCATCCTCCGTCCTTCAGTTCTCAAACGAATTTGGGCCCAACACTCTGCCCCCTCCCCCCTCCCAACTGATCTCTAGATCCTTGAAACCCCTCCTTGGACAAAACCATATCTTCGACTTCTGTGCCCCTCTAGATTGGCGTATGCCGCTAGTCGGGCAGATTCAGGCACAAAACCGCCCTCGCCAATCAGGAAGAGCCATCAAGACCCCATCCCGCCCGCCCGCCCACCCCAATCCCTGCTCTCCGCCAGTCTTCACGGTCGGCAAGCCCAGTGACCTGCATCACCGCCTCAACACCGCTCCTTGCCCCCCTTTTTGATTGTGGTTCGCTCGCGTTCCGTCCCGTCATCGCCAATGATGCCATTACCTGGCGTCGTTAGTCGTGGGCTTCCCTTTCGAGCAATCCCCGTGTGTCTGTCCCACCATGATGGTGCCTCGGTTCAGCAATAGGAGTTGCGTGTTGGAAGTCATAATGTTCTAGGCTATTTCGGTAATCGTATGTTCACTCTCCCACGTATCCTCACTTCCACCGCCTCGAGCGGTACCTTGTATCCTCATCGACTGCAGCTCGATGCGTGCCTTATCGCTCCTACAATCTAAGGCATCTATCCAGGTACTTGGCCACCGCACTTGGCCAAGACCGATGAAACCGGCTGCTACCGCCGTCCACACCGCCCGACAGATGTTCTTTTCATCTCCGACATGATCCGTCTGGTCCGAAAGTCCCTCACTGGTCCGCCAACGCGGCAGCGGCGGCAACCCGTCTTGTGTGGGCAGCTCGGGCAATGTTCTCGCGCATACCCACGAGACCGTACATGAATGAGTACACTAGACAACTAGTCAGCATTATTGCGTCCAGAGTCACAGGATATCAGGGAACACACTGATGGGAGCAAGAATGACAAAGCCAATCGATGATGCCACCACGGCCTCACGGGATCCGACCTCCTTCTCGTTCAGCCAGTAGAAGGCATCGGCGCCAGTCTCCAGCTTGCCGATGGCTGCCCAACCGAGATAAAGGCCTGCAAAGAAAATGACGCCCAAAGTATGTGCACCAACCGCCTGTCGGTTCAGTGTTGTCAGCATAGTCTCGTTGCATTCATGTCTGAGGCCACTCACCCAGGGGCGCTTGATGCTGTTGAGGTAGAAGATCTCAAAGAGCGAGATGACGGATGTGATGCCAAACAAGTTGAGAATGACGAAGGCTCTGAACCAGCCCTTGCCAAATATTTCCGTGACTGACATGGGCTTGTTAGGCTGCTCAACATCATCAGGACCAAAAAGACTTACATGGTTCATGTGGTCCGTCTTTGTGAGCGTCTTCCAAGCGAGTCCATTCGTAACCCAGCGAGTCTCTAACCATGTAAGACACGGCCGAGCCTCCAGATGGCTGAGGCTGAGGTGGCTCGCCAGTACCCATGTCGTCATGTGCCAGTGTCACGAACCAGTAGATGACGGTATTCATGAAGGTGAAAACAGTGGTAACGGTGTAGAACAAGGTGAAGTAGAACTGCTTGCGAAGGCTGGCCATGTCATGGGGCAGCGACAGTACCCTCAGCGCCCAGTATTCCCAGCCAGTGCGCATTTCGGCAATGTGCGGATGGTAAAGATGGGTATACGTCCAGCCCTGAAAGCAAGTACCGAGGTTAGCTAGATGGAGCTGTTAGACAAGTGGGATGGGATTGGTCGACGTACCAGCACAAGCGCGTGGTAGGCCAAGAGCAGCGAGAAGGTGACGACGGAGAAATCAAAGACGACGCGCCAGTTCGAGTATGGTGACTCTTGGCGTAGCTTGTAGTCGATAACCATGGCACCGACCGCAGTCAGATAGGCAACGACACCACCTCGGACCCAGCACAAGAGGCTCTGGGGAAAATATCGCCAGGGGGAATGGCACGCTCGGAGAAAAGCAGGCTAGAGAAAAAGTTTGTCAAGAACAGAAGCGCAATGAATCAGCGGCTAGGCAACATACATGATCTTGGATCTGGCCGTATGAGGCGGGTGTTGGCAACCCATGAGCATCGTCCAAATCGGCATGGCCGTGGAGCAGGGGGGTGGTGACGGAGGCGTCCATCAGGATAGCTGGCGCTGACTAACAAGAGATAGAAGACGGTTGTCGAAACGTTGAATACGTAGAAGAAGACGATTTGAGCAAAGGACCCCGAAGTCTGGTGGAGAAGGCTGTTGCTCGGCAAAGATCAAGAATGAGGCCAAGGAGGAGACTGAGAAAGGGATGTTAAGTTGAAAAACAGGAGATGGGTTATGGACTTGGAGGACGAGGGAAATGGTAGATGTTCAGAAGCAGCGTTGCTTCTTGCTTAGTTTGGCCAGTCATGACTGACATTCTGCCCTTGGCCCTCGCCAAAGGAAGGGCAGGCTGGATGGCAAGTTTTGAAGGAAGGAACGTCGCGTTCGATGTATAGTCTTGACTTCACCTTCCCACGGTGGCGGACGGGAGGCAGACATGCTTTGGCCACAGTCTGAATTAGGTAGGCAACAGACACGATCAGCTGCCTACCTACTTACCTCGCGAAAGGGAAGCCAGCCGTCAAAATGTCTGCTTGGGCGAGGACGAGGAATCTGGCCAAGAGTCCGGCTCAATTGAAACCTCCTTTCCCGTCGAATATATATACATATATAGCACCTCCAACAATGACATTAAGAAGTCATTACATGGCGTGGCTTGAATGAAGTTGGACTGGACTGAACCCCATGCCTTTGCGGCGAGATGTAGCTTGAATGGTCTGAACTTTTCCCAGACTCCTGCAGAACGATTGGATCAGGGGTCGATGGCGGCATGGACGGACGAGATCGAGGGCTGAGAAAGAGGGGAACGTGCCCACGCTTGGTTGGGGGAGGGCTAGTGTGAATGGGCGAATGACCGGGAAAAGAGATGGGATGACAAATGGATACCTAGGCGCCATGCTCGAAACATCGGATGGCATGAGGCAAGAGAGAACATCATGGAACCTAGGTAGGCTCTCCCCCGCTACCCATCTACGATCTTCTTTTCCCGCCTCATAGAAGACGGGGAGGCCCAAGATGGGGATGGCTCCGACGGAAAAGAGAAGAACCCACGGCTTGAAGAAGCCACTGGCCGTTACACATTCATATCCGCAACATCCAGCATAAACAATCCAGCTTGCTCTCCCGATACTGCGCCATGATTGCTCTTACAGGTAGGCATCTACCTACGAGAGGAAAGTCTAGAAAGTTGTTGTTTTTTCCGTCTATCTTCCGAGGTATTCTTGCCTTGTGCTGCGAAAGCAGGAGGTTGCAATAGGAAGGAGGCTCCAGAGGGTGAGGAGAGTCACGTGCCTCAGCACCCATCTCACTCTGCCACACAATGACTGCCTTGAAGTCTGCAGTTCATGGTAGAAAGACTTGTTGCCACCACGAGTCCTGATTACAAACCCAGCTTTGCCAGCCACTCTGCTGCAGTCCAATCCGAATATGCAGTCATCACTGGCAAAAGCTCCTTAACACGAGCTATATTGGCCTCAGCAGTGGCAGACCCAGAGAACTGCACGGCACCAGGTTGGGCAACCAACATCTCCTAGGTGTCGTTGACGTCCTGATAGCGCCCGCTCTCGCATTCCCTCTCCGAGGCTCCAATCGCCTTCATGAGGATCAGATCGTCCCGGGTCGCCCATGGCAGATTAGAGGTTCGGAACTTGCTTAAGAGCGGAGCCTGTACATCGAACTGGGTCTATAGAAAGTGTCAAGATGGAGAACAAGCTTAGAATCAATAATTAGCAGCTTATAACGTCGATATTGATAAGATCAACAGGGATAATGATCTTGAATGACGGCGATCGGTAGGTCACGCCGTTGACGACCTCGTGGTTAACGGTGAACGCGCGGTTGAACCGAGGAAGCTCTCGCTTTAGAAACGAGGGCAACATAGTGCCACCCAGGTAGATGTCAACATTCTAATTGAGTAAGTAGTGCTTAATATACCCGTACAGTCTATATTGCTTTAGTCTTATTATTGGTCTGATGTTGTGTGAGGTCACTTCGCACTCCATGGGATATGTATTTACCTCCGTAGAGCGATGCCTGGTTAGGTGTATCACCGCAAGATCACCAACAACGGCCGCACGAGTGTGGTGGGCCTTGGGTTCCGCAATTTCCTTTGCAGCAGCCAAAACGGCCATTGCTCCCTCTTCCAGGATTGCTTTGCAGAACATTTTGAGAGGTAACAGGTTTAATAGTGTTGATGGACTACAAGTGAAATCAGACAATTTCAAAGCAGAGAATAGTTGCGCAAAAGAGGTACTGAGGCAGTAGGTAGGTGCGGCTTGGAGAAAAGACGAGAGGAAGTTGAGATCGTGGACACATATAATCCGATATATAGCACCTCTGGCCTATGACACGCCTCAGTTCTACAATATAGAGGGAAATACCCGTTATGATAGAACAACTACTGAAACAGACTTTAACCATGGCTGCACAGCGGACAACCCTATGTTACCCGTACGTCGATGATGGCGACCACAGCCCTGGCGGCGACGATAGTACTGTTGAACCTACCATCAAGGTCGTGACAGCTTCAGAGCCACTGAACGATGGTGACTAACCCAGCCAGCAACACGGTGACTCTCTCAAAGTCTGTCAAGGTTGCTAACCCCCCCGCACCTTAAGTCGTACGACACACGCGACGTACCGGTGATGGCTTCCTCTAGTAACCTTGATGCCCGTAGCCAGGCGCACAAACGACAGGAGCTACATCACACAGGTGATTACTATTGTAGCCTTGTTGATTTTTCTTACACAGCCACAAGGGTTTCTCTCCTTCTCCTCCTCCTCCTCCTCCTCGTCGTCGTTAACCTCATTCTTTTCGCGATTATATGCAGTTAGTTGCTCTTGCGTGGCTCGTCAGCGCTTGAAGAAGAGACTTCAGGATACAATTGGTCATGGCACGGACTTCTAAAGCTAATAAAGGGTGCGAGGACTTACACGTAGGGATGGGAGGAACTGTAGGGCACTTTGAAGGAATGAAACAGTTCTCCCTGTAACTTTGTTGAAGCTGCCTCCAAGGCCGTTGCAAACCTCATGAGGCGCACCGTGATTGATCCAAATCTTAGTTTGAGATCGTGGGCCTGTGAAACCTGGTGTCAGACTTCATAAGTGAAGCCTGTGCCCACTCATCTGTAGCTTCGTTCTCGGCATCTCCCTGATATCTTCTGTCAGCACGATTGGATACCATGCACTCACTACTTCGCTTACCAACGCTGTCGCGACTCGGTCGAGTACAAGCTCGTCGGCTTGCTCACCTTCCAGGCATATTATCTCATTCTGATTCCTCAACTTTCCGAAGCTTGTCCTCACTCAATGTACCCATTGCCCGGCAACTATTTTGGAGGGACATCTGTGAAGACGTTGCGAGCGTGCTGAACAGCGCCGGGGTAGAGAACATCCTTTGGGGTGCACATCTTATGAGCACTTACTCCCTTCCTATATATCTCAAGGTAAATCACTTGGCATCACTTCAAATGATCTGCAAGCTAACAACACGCCTGTTAAGAAACTGTGCTTTGCAGTGCCGGACGACAAACTCCAGAAAGCCGTCACTTCTCTCGAAGAACATGGTCTCTTCTTGTGTCAAGACAAACGCTGCAATTACACCAGCAAACGAGAGACCAGATGGGAACAGTCATTTGACAACCCCCCTGTACACTTTCATATGGAACACTACAAGACCGGGATGTTTTCATTACTCGCACTCCTACATGCTAATCCCTGGGAGGAACAGACTCTGCAACTTTACACAATGGGGGACGTTCTGTGCGACTTGCCCACCGGGAATGGAATCAGTTTCACCGACGGCCCCTGCAACAACATCATATTCGCCAATGATTCTAGTCTACGTCCTGGAGCTGAATTAAAGGGGATCGGACGTTTTCCCGACCCTCAAACAGCTGTTCGGATTCCGACATGGCAACGTTATGTTGAGGCTTTAATGCTCACGTCTCTGAGACGTGAGGAGAACTGTGGCTGGTATGGAGAGTATTTATACATGAGGGACTGTGGGGATGCGGGAAAGCTGGGCCCAGGTTTTAGGGAATTTCATCGTGGTCTCCGTCCCGGCCAGCATAGGGCTGCGTGGGCCGAAGCAGCGGAGGACCTCGGCCCAAGAATCCGGAGACCTCGACCCCGACCCTCGGTAGTGATTTCGAGTATCTGGTCATAGGTCAGTACTGTATGTAAGACCGGCTTGTTATATGCTCTTATAACATAATTGTTCTACAACACTATAGGCAGCCTGGACCAGTTTATTTCGGTATAATAATCACGATCGCGACAAGCAGCAAGATGGACGGTCTGTGCGCGACGTCCAGCCGACCGCGTCCCCAAGAGCGATAAGATAAGAAAAGCTACGTACTCCTCCCTTCGCCGTTGACACGTTCCCGATCGTCAACTGGCCTGTGCTGGCGCAGTTCTTGCGTTGCTGGCCAGAACTCCAAACTCGACGCCTGAATCAGCTTCCAAGATCGCGATCCGATCACAACCTCTTGTCGGAAACGCCGCCGCCGCCACCACAAACCACAACCGCAGTCCGCATTTGACTGAACCTCCGACATCATGTTGTCAAGTCTTGCCAACCCGCGCCAAGCTGCGTCGCAGCTGCTGAACTTTGCGCTCATCCTCTCGACGGCTTTTATGGTTCGTCCCACCCCATTTTCCGCATACATTCATGCTGCATGACCCCGTTGCTGACGGCCAATGTAGATGTGGAAGGGCCTTTCAGTTGTCTCCGACTCTCCCAGTCCCATCGTCGTCGTTCTCAGTGGCTCAATGGAGCCTGCGTTCCAGAGAGGAGATCTCCTTTTCCTGTGGAACCGCAACATTATCCAAGAAACCGAAGTTGGCGAGATCGTCGTCTACGAAGTCAGGGGAAAGAACATCCCGATTGTTCACAGGGTGGTCCGGAAGTTTGGTGCAGGGTCTGTACTACGATACCTATTCCCTCCCCAATTGCTTTTCATCCAGGCAACTAACTGACGTTTTCTGCAGTTCCGAAGCGAAGCTCTTGACCAAAGGCGACAACAACCAAGGAAGCGACGAGGAGGTATAGACTAGCCGCCTTTCTGAAGAAAGATTGAAGAAAACACACTAACCATACTGTAGTTGTACGCCAAGGACCAGGACTTCCTCGTGCGGAAAGACATCATTGGCAGCGTCGTCGCATACATCCCCTTTGTCGGTTACGTCACGATCCTTCTCTCCGAATACCCCTGGCTGAAGACGGCGATGTTGGGAATCATGGGCTTGGTAGTAGTGCTGCAGAGGGAGTAGGCTTATGGTCGTAGGTTGGGCGAACAAATCATACCTTATTTCGACCTCGTCAGGCGGACCGCTGCTGAGCATGCGTTTCCCGAAATGCCAAAGAGCCACATAATCCAAGTGATCCATACGCAATGTCCTGGATTCCGGCTGCTTGTTAGTCGTAGTGGAAGAGCGGAGCCCGAGTTGATGAGCGTCGATATATTTTTAGGATGTGCAGAAGATAGGCCATTCGTGGGTTGATCTATCGATACAGCACATGTGACATAATCCCCCTTCCGAGGCCTGAGCGGCAACAAAGAATCTGGGACTCTGGTGGTTGAGAATAAACCAGCTGAAGGTTGCGCCCAGTGAGGAGGAAAACTGAGTCTAAGGCTTCACGAATTGTCTCCAAGCTACCTCATTCAAGGGGTCAATCGACGATGCTGTCACGCGGGTGACAAAAAACTGACACATTTCAACACCACCCATACTATTACAAACAGCATAAAAGTAGATAGATATGCTTATACAATCAATTAAAACCAACGCCAGTCTGTTCTACTTACTATTGAGTACCTTTCCCCTCTATCTTGCTTACGTCTTGTAGTCTAGTAAGCGTCGAATTAGCACACTTGATGTGCCAGTCTTTTTGTCCCCATGGTGGTTGCCTACTCTCTTTTCGCTCTAGGCAGCCCACGACGTTACTAATACGTTCCAGTCAAGACCCATACGAGCCAAAGTTTGGCACGCGGTTCCTACCGCGCTGAATGCCTGTCTCATGCGGCGCAGTCGTCGTGCGATAAAATGAGATGAAAACCCTTCGCCCAGCCTGAAGTCCCGGCTGATTCTCTCGCTTCTCTACGAACTGTGGCAGTGACGTTACTCGAATTGTTTTCTCTCTCTCTTTTTTGTCCTCTTCTCCTTCTTTTCGCGATCTTGTCCTCGAGCTTCGTGGGCTGTCTTCGCAGTCCTGCCGTGCTGCATTATCCACTTACACTACCTGGCTCACTTTTTCGCCCTTGCCATGCCCCGCAAGCCGCAAGACGACATCCCCGATGGACTGGAAGGTTATGTGCCGCATGAGAACCATGGTGACCGGAAGGCAAACCTCTATAGCAGACCATGGCACATCGCCAAAATTGCTATCCGCGGCTGCGACATCGCCTTCAGTACCATAGTCATTGGTATCACACTCAACAAGTTGGTAACCATAGGATATTCGGGCCCCTACCTACTATTGTTCAGTGGTATCCCGGTAAGGAATCACAATGCCTGGGCGATAGAGAAGCGCATACGGTCACTGACTTACTGGTAAAGGGTGTTGTCGCCATCCTTTGGGATGTGTCCGAGCTGATCACCTCTGCGCGAGGGGAGGCAAGAAAGGAATCCATCCTGGCGCGCACGTCGGCCTGCACTTGATCTTCTGGTTGGTATCTGCGATTGCGGTCGTATTTGAGGCACTCTTCGGTGTCGATAGTTTCTACTGGCCCTTTGCCACGCAGGAGCACGTCGCGTTCGCGTTCACCTGTCTATTGCTGTGAGTGTATATTATATTGTGGTACTGGAGTTTCACGAACGTGGTCTTAACGAGATCCCTAGGTTCAACCATTTCATTTTCTTTGTCAGAGCCTGTATTGAAACCAGCCGGTGCAATTCTGGTGCTAATACTATTTACATGGTCCCCGCCAGCATGACAGCGCCGCAACAACAGCATGACGTACACCATGAGAAGGATCAAATACCAGGCGCTAACCTCCCAAGGACGTAACTACCCCACCCCACATCCAAACCACCCCCACATCCGAACTATTATCACCACCACTATCACCACTTATTCCTCAGGCTTGCCGCCTACCTATATGCAACTTTTGGCCTTACTAGATAATTCACATGCACTAGATTTATCTAGACTATCTATATTGCTAGCTTCTATATTTCTAGCCTGCTAGATATACTTTATAGTAGTAAAGGTGCTATTAGGTAATAGGGGGATCTTTTTCCTCTTACGTAACTATTAGTCTTCTAGTTAGGCCTATAACATATTAACTTACCTCTCTAGAAGGGCTAGTCTATATATCTACTTCTTATATCCTTTTTATACCTTTCTAGATAAGTAATAAATTTTATAAGTATCTAACCTATTTTAGCCTAGCTAGGTTAACTAGTATAGTTAATACTATAAATTAGTAAATTAATAAGAGGTTAACTATAAAATAATAAACAGAGAGTTAAAAAGTTACAAAATACAATATAAATATAAAATATAATATAAATATAAAATACAATATAAATACAATACAATACAATATAAATACAACATATATATTTATATTATATTATATTAGAAAAAGAATATATATATTTATATTATATTTATATTATATTTATATTATATTATGTATTTAATATAATAATATAAGATATAATATAGATATTAAAAATAAAAAGTAAAACTATAAATATAATACTTATTTAAATTCTATAATACTTTATATTATATTTAATATTAAAAGCGCGTAAGGTAGGAGGGACTCTTGCAGTGCAGTGACTATATAGAACACTATAACCACTAAAAGCAACACAAGATTCCTTACTAATCGGTACATAAATCGTATTAATCTGTCCAGAATTAACGTTAATCGCAAGTGTCAAACTGTAGGATCAAGCATAATTATGCCCCAATCAGGTAGGCAATTGCTCCTAATCGTCTTGTGTTATCATAATTAAAGGTAAATCATAGGGAGGCTCTAGTTCGATCAGAAGGTAGGTATGAGTATGAAGGATGAATTGTGCGTGTGTATCTCTAAATCTATTAACGCTAGCTTATATCTCTGTACTTAATTAGGATTAGGATCTTCTGATTGGCCTGTATACTATCTTGCTTTAGGCTGATCGCCCTACCCTACTCTAATATTCTTAAATAAGAATATATATATATATATATATAATATAAAAAGAAGATTAAAAGCTTAAAGTAGTAAAGAATATTAAATTCTTTAAAACTAAAGTCTAGATATAAGTTATTTATAAGGTAGAATATATATATATATAATATAAATTATTTAAGATTATATATTATAATATATATAGTATAGTATAAGTAATAAAAATAGTAAAGCCTTATTATTAATTTTAAATAATATAAATAAAATAAGATTAATACTAATTAAAATTCTTTAAAGTAAATATAATTTATAACTATTTATATAATTTTATTTTATATATTAAGACTTATAAATATAGTAACCTATTTAAGTAAACTTAGTTAACTACTAAGTTAATCTTAGATTTAGGTAGATAAGAAAACTAGTTTTTTTATAGATTGCATATAGATCTTTATGTAATATTACCTCTTATCTAGACCTTATAAGGGGTAATAAGAGAGGGGTAAATATAAAGAGTTAAGTGTTATATAAGTGTTATCTACTATTATACTATCTTTCTATTTAAGTAAGTAGCCCTACAAATTACTTATTTAAGTAATTAATTAGATTTATAGTATTTATAAAGTTTAGACTTTTTCTTATTTTTTTTATATAATAACTTATATTATATTATATATTAGTATTAAAAGTACTTAATTAATACTTCTAACTTCTATACTTTACATATTATAAGTAATAAACTTTTTATAGTACTTAATTTATATTTAACTTATTATTATATATTTTATATTTTCTATCTATTTATTAAGTTTTTTCTATTAATATTATACTTAATACTTATACTTTATACTTATAAAGATTTAACTTTTATTATTATATTATATTTAGTATACTTTAATATTATATAGTAAAGACTAGTATTTATAAAAGTGTAATTATACTTTATATTTTTATATACTATATATATTATACTTTTAAGTTATATATTATATACTAACTTTTATAAATATAAGATTATACTTTATGTCTTTATATAGAAGATATCTTATAATTCAAAGTTATATAGTATATATTAGCTTTTATAAAAATATTATTACACTTTATCTCTTTATTTACTATATAGCTTATACTTATTAAAAAGCTTAGTTAACTTTTATAGTTTATAGATATTAAGTATACCTTATATAGCTTATAATTACTTACTATATATATAGCTTATAATCTTCTTAGTTTGCTAAGTTCTTAACTTCTTTTAACTTAATTTTTATCAAAGTTATGTTTTTATAATATATATAAGCTCTTATTATATTATATATAACTTAACTTACTACTTTAAATTATATATAATACTTATATACTTTCTACTACTAAACTAATATTATATACTTTATATAATAGAATATATATAAACTAAGGTAAGTAAATATTTTATTATTATTTTAATACTATTTTAAGTATTTCTTTTTACTATTTAAGATTTACTAAACTTAGGTTATATTATTTACTAACTAATACTACTTTATTAGATAGATTCTACTATATCTTTAAGCCTTCTTTATTATAATAAGTACTTAGACCTAGAAGAAAAAGTTAATTATTATAATACTTTAAATATTATAATTAATAATAATACTACTACTAGTATTATATATCTTGTTAACTTAATAAAAGAATCTAATAATTATATTTCTTCTATATATTCTATTTTACTAGATAATCTAGAAGACTAAGAAAGTAAATAACAAGAATTACAAGAGAGATAACATATTAATACTTTAGAAATATTTAACCTTTATACTATATTACATAATATTATTATAAATAATAAAGAGACTATCATTAGTAATAATTTAAAGCTATTACTATTTAAGATTTATAATAACGAAATTATTAGTAGTAATAGTAATAGTTTTAAGGACTTTAAAGTAAGTTATTTATATATTATTCTTTATTTATATATAGTATTAAAAGTTAGATATCAATTGCCCTTATAAGTATGTAACTATTTAATTACAGTAACAAAACAGGTGACCTGCGTACTCTTTTGTGCGGTCGCATTTCTTATTTTAAACTATTACTAATATATAGTACTTTAGACTACTATTAGTAATACTATAAAGTATAGTATTAGTTATAACTATTATAAGTAAGAAGAGAATAGTATAAATATTATCTTAGATTATAATATTAAAGAAGTAAAAGAATATTATATTACTAATATTCTTTTAAATACTTTTTATAGTAGTAGAATTAGAAGTCTAAGTATTACTAACTAGTTTTTAAAACTACTTTAGTATAACTATACTACTATATATTTATATATTACTTAACTATTATATATAATTATATATAAAGAAAATAATTATTTTATATTTTATTCTTATATTTTTATATTAATTATAAATATAATAACATATATATATAGTAAGTAGCCTATTATAGTAAGTAGCCTACTTTCTCTTACTTTTCTACCTTTTATATAAGTTAATTAAGCTATAACATATAAAATTAATTAAAACTACTTATTACTATCTTCTTTATTACTATTCTAAACTACCTTATAGGTTTATATATTATATCTAGTCTTTCTATAATTACTATATTATTATATATATAGTTTACTACCCTCTATATAAGCCTTCTTTTAGGATGTTTTCCTACCTCTAGCTTTAACACCTTCCTTTTCTCCTTATAGTAACTCTACTTTAGTTATATTAAGTAACCCTCTAAGACGTAGTTAGGTCTTTTTAGCCCTCTAGCGCTTACTTAGTATATCTATCTCTATATAAAGTCTAAGGTTCTTAGCTTTAATAAAAGTAAGCCTATATACTAACTTACTAATACCTTTAGCTTAGAGGTTAATTAACTTATATATTAGTGTTAGTAAGCTTTTTTAATATCTCTAGATCTTTTTTTTTAGTAAACTAGCACTTTATATACTTTTTAGTGCTATAGTTAGTGTCTTTAGGTCCTATAAGCCTAAGCTAGTTAGATATAAGCTAGAGGGTGTAAGTATATTTAGCTTAAAGTCTAGGTAAGAAATAACTACTTAAGGGTTAAATAGTATAAAGGCTAGCCTATCTAAAAGCTAGCTTATATATTTCTTCTCCTTATTTAAGTAGAGAATACTACTCTTAAATAGAGAAAAGTTATATTTATATAATATAAAATCTATATTTATATTATCTTTTAATTTCCCTACTATATAAGAGCTGGAATAAGCTAAAATAACCT